GGAACAACGGAACCAAAGCGCGATTCAGGAGACTACAGCGCCATCTCTTGACCATTGGTGTAGTAGAACCAAAAACCACATCTTTATTTTTTGTAATAAAGTAACAGTTATAGGTATTCATATTTATAATATTTATCCACATGTTTCTAGTTCGTATATTCGGAATACGTGTTTGAGTATAATACAAGCATACAAGTGCAAATCACATATGTTCTAATAAATTATATTCAGTAGCGATTTTAATTGAATATTTTGATTATTTATTTATTTTTTCAAATTAAAACTGAACTATATTGACTGTGTCCTTTTCCAGACTTTTTATTAATTTATTGTAATTAATTATTTGCATGCAATTAAAAACTAATTTTAAACGATGCCAAAGAACGATAACTTCTCACGCGCCTACATAAGTACACGCACCCATTTTTTTTTATTATTGAGATGATTCTGGCTTACAAAATTTTGAATTTGAATGTCTGCTAAGTGAGTGAATGCCAAATGATTTTCTACAAAACGAAGTTATTGCCTTCACCCGTTGTTGTTTAGTATTTATTGTTTTTCTTTAAGCGCGTTCGATTTTCAAAAGCTGGAAAAATTGTTATAGATTTTTGTTTGCTTAATATTATAATTAGTATTTTGCAGTCTCCATATATATTTAATTCAGTGGCATCAAGTGCGTTTTATTATTTTACCGCTTATAATTAGTGAAACCTTTTGAAAATCGAACGCGCGAAACGAAAAACAATAAAAACTAAAAACTTACAAAATGAGGTTGGTCAGTAGTCTAGTATTGCACCTAGTATTGCATAGCGCAAGCCTTACCATTACCGTAAGCCTAGTGCTTATCTTTTGTGAAGGTATAAAATATTCATTTAAGGAATTTGTTCAATTTTTAGCTAAGTCAGATTCAATGCTGTCATAAATAAGCCCCTCGAGGTATTAAAGTGTAAAATTCATGACATCTCAAGTAGTCTCATTCCAAGATTCTTTATTGTCTGCAATAGGATCTTTTGCTCCTTATTTTTATGGTATAGCTTGTTAGTGGAAATATATAGAGGACAACCTTTTAAGTACTAGCTAGTGCATTTTATCTGTGATAAAAATCCGCCATTGCTTTGATTGCAGTAAGCCCAGATTTTTAAATCGGTTAGTAGGAAAGGAAATATGCATCGCTGTTCTATTTTTGTTTTTACCCCTTGATGTAGAAAGAGTTCAGAAAACTTGCAACATTTTTTTTCTGTTAAAATAAGTATCAATTCTTTTGCAATACTGCCCAGAAAGTTAAGTAACTTGTGAACCGGCTCTTTGGTTTTTAATTTCTCTATTATTTTTACTCGAAAGATATTAATTAATAATACAACTAGTTTGATGGTAAGTCTTTGATTTTGATAAAAAAATCCACCTACTTATTTAATATTGTATGAGAATGCTGATAATCTTTTCATACATGTAATAATTTTTAATAAACCGGTCATTATTCAAATATTTTAGTGTCTACCACCATCGATCACACATTATTTTTGTTTGAATTTTCTCCGTAATCGTGGTGAAATTTTGCTAAAACCAAATTAACGCCGGCAAAATCTGGTTCAATTTGAATCTAAATATTCATTTTGTTAAAATGACAAAGGATACTGTTAGAAATTTCCTAAACGGTGGCTGCGTAATACACTGATTAATGATTGTTTTATTATGCGCAATCTTCTTCGAACCATAAAAGGGGTGTTGTATGTTACTATAATGCTATTAAAGGCACACTTTTGCTGCCTTTTGCAATAACAAAGGATTACCGGGTCGTAAACACGGACCTGAAAAAAAGACGGACGTAATATCAAAGGCAAATCTTGTGAAGCATGACAATGACATGTAGGTCAGACAAAATCGTGTGTTGTACACTACCTACACTCACACTAATGCACCAGGTCGGACAATCTGCTGCCATTTGAACTCGCGTGACAGCGCCAGTCACACGTTCAATTGCTACGATATATTTAAAAAAAAATGCCGTCTTGTGTGGTGAAATCTTTTAAAAACTACACGAGTAAATATGAAAAGTCACAAGGAATCACCTACTATGCTTAAGTATTGACGATTCTTGATATTTTTTTTATATTATATTTTATTTACAAGGATGAAAATTGTAAACAAAAATACAACTGTGTGGCTACTTTATCTACGGGAAATTATCCCTAAAAGTAGGGAAATGTGTATTTCTTGCATTTGTGACTAGGCAAAATAAGATTTCGTAAAATTTTAGGGTTCCGTATCCCAAAAGGAAAAGAAAAGAAGCCATATTATTCATAGAATATTTAATATAAATTATTGTCTTGTCTTCTTTCTAATAGGTTTCTTAGAAATAGAAACCGTAGAGATGACTGGGTTTTAATTATTCGATACTGCAAAGGGGATAACACCTGTGTGCAGTGCACACGTTGTTTGGTTTTCGTTCAAACCGGAGCCTGTTAAGAAGAAATATTAAAAACTAGCGGTCCGCCCTCGCTTCGCTTCGGTGTAGAGCTGAATTGTTGTATTATACACAATGACATTCATCTATGATTTTTCTTATACCTGCATGCAAAGTCTCAGCCCGATCGGTTTAAAATTGACAAAGTTCCATACAAACTTTCATTCCCTATTTTATCCCCTTGGGGGTAGAATTGATCAAAATCCTTTCTTAGCGGATGCCTACGTCATAACATCTACCTGCATGCCAAATTTCAGCCCGATCTGTCCAGTGGTTTGGGCTGTGCGTTGACAGATCACTATGTCAGTCAGTCAGTCACCTTTGTGTTTTATATATATATAGATACAGTTGAAACCCGTTAACAGAACTACTATACAAATAAACTTTGAAACTAAATTACGATAACCAAAATTATTACAAAATGAATTACAGGCAGGACTTGAACTTGCATTTTCTGCTGTCTGGGTGGATGCACTAACTGCTATGCTACCGAGAACTTAATGATCGTGACGAATTTCTTCTTGTATTTCTTAGGCTGCACGGTAGTGCCATTTCTTCGCATTGTAGGCAAAACCACGATGTCAAATGAAACCATAGATATAGGATGTAAAGATAGACCGAGTACCTATCGCTACTGTTCCAAAAAAATATCTGTGCATGTGTGCGTATCGGTGTTTGATTCCGAGTGATAGTGTCGATTTATCAAGATATGCTTAAAACACAGGATACCTTATTCAGTTTATAATAAGCACATTTGTGTTGTGTTATATTTATTTATTTATTATTATTATTATATGCATTATTGTTTTCTTAGTTTCACAGAATTTCATAATAAATTTTATCTCAGTACGACTTGACAGGGCTCTGCGGCTCTTGCAAAAAATATATTATTAGACGAAAGGTACATCATGTTGCGTCTCTTTCTACGTTATAGGATTGGCATGATATCTCTTTTCCTCACTCTGTCAGTCTTTAAATACCTACTCAATCTATGAATGAAATACTTACATTTGAAAGAAGAAATAGCAATATTAGTCTATTATATTTTTATTTTAAGCATTAATCTGTGCGATTTATGTATATTAATGTATGATATTGACCTCATACATAATATTAAGACACTAACATTGATATGTAAACAATAAAGTTCTTTTGACGTGACAACGTCTTAAATTAGGTTGCGGCTGGGAGTCACTTATGAAAAAGTGTAACGCTCGGTAACGTTACGATGAGTCTCTCGTGTTAAGTTTAAGTTTACATGTACAATGTTTTAGTAAACAAAATATATTTCTATAGTTAAAATTTGTGCAATTCTTATTTTCATTCAATTCCTTGTTCCTATTGTGCAATTTAATTATATTCATATCAATAAATATTCTACCGAGAAAAAGACGTTGTCACGTAAAATCTTCGCCCGTAAAACCGACTTTACAGGCAACCATTTTTTTTACATAACAAGTGCTTTCTTTTCTATCTCGGTGTTCCTAAAAATTAATTTGATAGACCGTTTAAATTGCTGAAAAATCAGGAGCTCACAATGAGTAAAACACGTGGTAAATATCCCGTTTTTATAATATATATTTGATTACATAATGTTAACAATGTTTTAGTTTGGGAGATTTAAAAAGTAGGGAAATTGATGATTTACCCGACAACCCTCAAATCACGCACACGCTGTAAGCGGGCGGCCATTTGCATGCTTCACTCTAAAATAAGACGAGGTTACGTCCGTCTTTTTTTCAGGTCCGTGGTCGTAAATCATCTTTTGTTTTAAAATTGTCTACCAGATCTTGTCAGTTTTCAGGAGGACTTTGATCGATGTTAGGCGGAAATGAATCTGGTTTCCGGTGTCCGATGTGTGATATGAAAACTGTCAACGATATTAAACTTCTCATGGGGATTTATGTATACATACAAAGTAAAGCTTCTTATAGTAATATTAATTGAGAAACTAAAGATAGATTGAGTAATAGTCTTCTTTCGAGGATAAAAGAAAAAAGAAAAAAGCAAGCATATTGCAGAAACACGCGATATTGTATTATTACGTGAATGAAAAACTGTATTCCTATAAGAATACTGCATTACTCTTTTTTAAACTTTACTCGTGACATCAAGCAAAGTTTAAAACAGACTAATTTATCAAATAATGTAGGTATAATATTAGGTAGGTACTCATTAGCAGCGTAGATATAGAAATATGTGAAACCTAAGCTCTTAATTTTATTTGAAGAACGATTTTTTATGGGATTCAGTCATCCGTTTCAAAGGGGCATTTGGGTTATCGTCGGGAAAATAAATAAGGGTCGGTCGCCTCTAAGCCCCGTATCCTAGCGACGACGCATCGAATTATGTAAACAGACAGACTACGCGAACGTTCTGCTGTATTAATTAACGGGTTTCATTTGTTTTTATTTTTAACACACCAAAACAACCGAGAATTGTGATGACCAATAGTAACAACAAACAATTGCGACGCACAAAATATTAAACTTTATAGTGAAATGGTTAATAGATCGTAAAAAAATATAACAAAAAAATGATTCTTCTATTGAAGATACTGGCTAGTTTTACTATTTTGGGAGTGGATTGTTTTGAATCTACGTGCAATAGAAGTGAATATTTGGATCCAAGCTCAATGACATGTCAAATGTGTCCAGTTAACGTCTCTATGGTCGTGTCTGTCGATGGTAAGTGAGCATTACAATTCCGCTTTCTTGTTAAAAATACTGTCATCATTGATTAAGTAGAGATCATTGTTGAAATCGGTTCATGCGATAGTAAGGTAATATTTATTAATATATAATATTAAAATAGACGAGCTCGATGGCGCAAGTGGTAAGCGCTTTCGGCTGCGATCTTTGAAGTTTCGCAGTGATCGGTCATTGGATGTGTAACCAAAATTTCACTATCTCTAACTCCTTCGTGATTCGGAATTCGGTGCAATCGTTAGCACCCACCAATCCACACTGCGTATTTGTCATCCGCTGGGTCATGGCCCAATCTCCCTATTAAATCCATATGAAAGGCCTGTGCCCCAGCAGGGGGGACATTAATAGGTTGATGATGATATAATAGTAAAAAAAATAGTTACAAATTGGAGGTAGAAAGAGCAACTGTTTCTATTCAACATTATTAATGTATAATATACTCGTTCCTAGCTTTAAGCACCGTTTTTAAGGTTTTAATTCGCATAGAAAAATTTACCACATATCATAGTTTGCCACCATCATAATCAGCTGACTCAACAGGACCAATAATTGTATCCGTGGAAAGATGTTGTATCATCATCAACATCATCAACCCATGCTCGTCTACTGCTGGACATAGGTCTCCCCTAATGCACGCCACTGCTCCCGATTTTCTGCCACCATCCAGCCAGCCTGCGTGTGTCATAATCTCATCTTGTCTCAGGGCGTCCTACACTACGTTTACCGAGTCGTGGTCTCCAGTTCCAGTCCAGTTCAGGCTGTTGCATAATTATATAAGATTGCGAATAGAATAAATGTACAAAGGCCCCCAAAACAGTATCATCAAAATTCCTAAGCAAAATTTGTTGTCGTTTGATGAGTCCCTAAAGTTGCAAAGCGTATAAAAACTTTGGCGAAAACGCCGGCTTGACATAATTTTGTTGTGTCTTTTTTTTAGAGATATATACCTGTACTCGTCTGTATGAGGATATGATGAATATTAAATATTTTGCCTACTTTATAATTTGAATTGGTTTTAACTACCTAGTTACTTTTGCAAAACCGCCATATTTTTTAAAGAATCACAGTAATCGCATCTTAAATCTCGGCGTAATTGGTGTACATACATAAAAAACACCGACTGAATTGGGCGAAGTTCTCATTTCGTTCTAAAAACCGAATTGAGCGAAGTATCGTTTCGTTCCTCTTGAAGTCGGTTAAAAATGTTATTAATCTTGAATGATGGTAGAACATCCTAGTAAGAGTATGTGTATCTCTCACATTTTCCGGTTTTATTTTTGTGCTGCATTCGTTGGCAGTTGAAATTTTCTATTTCCTTTCGATCCCCATTTATTATATAAGTCCGTAGAAGTATGACAAAAAAAATCTTTGTTTGTGGGTTACCGACAATGCGAAGACACGGCGCTGCCTTGCAGCCTAAGGCTAGAGACAATTCGACACGGCCGTCAGGGCCGCGGTAGCATAATGGTCAGTGCATTCGCCCGGATAGCGAAGGTTGCGGGTTCGAGTCCCGTCTGCTGCCTGGAGCTCTATTTTTGAATCACTCGCCTTGCATCGAACCCTCTATTTCTACTAATTTTCATTCGACATAATTAAATCGGTATTTTTGAATCGCTCGAGTGCAACGAATGGGTGAGACCACTCGTTACATGGCGAATGGTGGAGGCGAATGATAAAATAATTGTCAAATTTGTGTCAGACGTCACGTTAGTGTCAAACTTATACTTATTAAGATTTCTTGTGTGATTGGATTTAGCCACTGAGTAAAATAAACTATTACAAACTGTTTTGAAACGGGTGTTGTGACGTTTGAATTTTTCAAATGCCTGCACTTTACTATTCTATTCATTTTGCTATTAGACGACGATAATCTATCCTTGTCATGCTTTATATGAAACAACAAGGGCAGACTGACGTCAAGTTTCTTCTTCTTTCATTATGGCGTGACGGCTAATGCATGTCAAGTTTACAAACAGCAATCACGAACAGCTAAGTGAAGTGCCGGTAATATAAACAACATGTATTTACAGCCACGTACTAAGAATTTTTGTTCCATTTTCATTGCGGTAATTACCGGGTTTTATTTAATCTGCGTGAAATGAATAAAATTTTATATTTCGTATTAAACTGGTAACATCTGTGACGAACGATTCAAAAATACGGAAAATCAGTATCATGCGACTTGAAAGTCGAAGGAGACTTATGTCGCATTCGACGATACTATGTCAGGCGAGTGATTCAAAAATAGAGGTCCTGGAGTTCGTCACCGGTGTTACCTGTTTAATACGAAATGTAAAATTTTACTCATTTCACACAGAAATAATAAAAACCGGTAATTACCGCAATGAAAACTGAACAAAAAAATCTCGTTGTCGTTTCATACAAAGCATGACAATGATAGATCATCTTCGTCTAATAGCACAAAAAAATTGACAATTATTCTATATTTCGCCTCCACCATTCGCCATGCAGCGAGTGGTCTCACCCATTCGTTGCACTCGAGCGATTCAAAAATACGGAATTAATTATGTCGAATTAATTTTGTAGAAATCGAGCGTTCGACGCAAGACGAGTGATTCAAAAATAGAGCTGGACCGCGTGGAATTTTTTTTGCTAGTAAACTTTTCTTTAGATTTAAACATTTAGCAGTTAAAAGCTTAAAAAAATAGAAAATTCAAAAAATAACTTTTTCCAGGCTTCTCGTGCACCTGCGAAGATAACAGCATACCGGACGGCATAGCACGTTGCAGACAATGTAACTCTACGGAGGTGGTGTCAGCGGATGGTGCTTCATGTGTGCCACGGAGATGCCAGATTGCCAATAACAGATATATCTGTAGAAAATGCCCCAGTGATTATATATCTGGTAAGTTATTAGTTGCTGCGCGATAGAATTAGAAATGAGCGAATTCGTAGGAGCACTAAAGTAAATTAATGATAGCGCTCAAAGGAAAAGCTCTGCCGAAGGGGCAATGGTTGGAACACGTAACGAGGAGAGGTCCGTTGTGGTGGAAAAGTCCTCCAATGACCGCGCACCGGATAACGCTCAGTGGACAGGCCCCCCACCAGGTGGATCGATGATCTAGTGAAGGTCACAGGAAGCCGATGGATGCGAGTGGCGCAAGACCCATCGGTATGCAGATCCTTGGGAGATATCTTTGCTCAGCAGTGGGCGTCGTACGGCTAACATAATGTGATTTATTTTGTGCCCGATGAAATGTGTGTAGTTATCAAGTTCCTAATTTGTAGTAATGGTAATGAGTACAGTGCGAGGGAGACCGGGAAATATTATTTACAAAAGGATTAGGTTGATGCTCCAATTCAAAGGAAAATCCGCAGGTCTCTATATTATATCTTGAAGAAATAACACTGGAGTTTATCTCAAGCAGGCAGGCTAACAGGTTTCTTCGAAAATGGTCATTTAAGGGGTGAAGATGTTATATTGTCTTGTTAAATTGTCTTATCAGCTTCCGCCCGGGACTTTGTCCGCGTTATAATTAGTTTCTTTTATAAATCCACAGAAATTTAACAAATTTCCCGGGATAATAAGTATCCTTTGTATCAAACTAGGTAGTAAACTATATATGTTTCAAATTATATCCAAACCCGTTCACACGTTTTAAACTGAAAACTTAATTTCACATCAGTCTCTCCTTTTCATTCTGTATAAAGACTGACTTGACTTGACTTTAAATGATGATACACTGTTGTCAAATTTAAGTTTAGGTTTAGAGAACCCAGCCAGAATCGACACCAATTTATTTTCAGCTTTTGCATAGCGCGGCGACCGACTCAACAAATTCCGAAACGAAATAACCTGACAAGAGTGCATATGATACCAATAGAACACAATTTTCGCCATTCCATTGTCACGGTAATATTATCTATACAATATAACAGGACTCGGCCCTGTCCTTGAAATAACTGCCTACGACCGAGCGGGGCGTAAACACGCGATAGGGCTGTCCGCCTACAGTATTTTAATTTCATCTACATAATTGAGTTTCTTTCTAGTTTTTTGATTGTAAATATTTTATTGAATATGTAAAAAAAATGTTGTGAATGAATTAGGAAGTTTTTAATAAAATACATGTTATTTTTAGGTAATATTTAATAAAAAAAAAACAGATTTGAGACAAAAAAATATTTACGCCTCGACCGAGGAAAGGACAGTAAACATGAGTATTAGATATGAATTTCAGTTTAATACCTCCACGCGTTCCTGAGAAAAACGGTCTTGACAGACGGACGAACGGACGGACGGACGGATGGACAACAAAGTGATCCTATAAGGGTTCCGTTTTTTCCTTTTGCGGTACGGAACCCTGAAAATAACAAATATATCTAATACTGGCTGCTTCTACATACATTTAGACATTTTGTCTTGCAATGGCGTTATGCATATCAAAATAATGTATAATAATTATGGCAGCTACAGAAATCGGAAGTGACATTTTTATTTTACAGAATTACGATTCTGTAAATGTTAAGCAAAGATGTAGTCTAAGCTGGAGTACGCAAATTCAAATAATGCCTGTTCACTCTTGCCTTGATAATTCCTATATTAAATTTATCGGCAAATACAAAGGCAGGAAGGAAGTTCCATTCCCTAGCGGTACGCATGATAAAGGAGGATGTGAATCGTGAGGTGCGCATAGGTATGTCAACCTGGTACGGATGAAGACTCTGTCTACGTCTAGTCGTCGGGTGGTAGTAATAATAGTAATAGTTATTTCCAATTTGTGTTACAATTGATATACTTAAGAATATAGGTAGTATATAGGTAACATCGTTAAAACGATTAATACCTTATACTAGGAAAAAACCTGTTACATAGGGAACCTGTAACATAATTTATAGTCAGACTCACTGTACAGTGAAATAAATTATGGGTAAAAAGAATACCAACCATCAATATTAGTGGATACTCTATGCAACACAGGTTACAGTTGTATGTGTCAAACACAGATTAAAAACGAAAACAAGAAAGAAAGTAAATAAATAAATATTTCCGTCACTCAGACCAATTAGCCTAGCCCCAAAGTAAGCACTATAAGGCTTGTGTTATGGGATGCTAGGGTAACGGATAGAATACATATACTGTACATATATAAGTATATTTATATAAGTACATATTAAACATCCATGACTGGAGTACAAATGCTCGTATTCATCACACAAACATCTGCCCCCAATGGGATTCGAACCCGAGACCTCTCGATTCGGCTACAGCCATGAAACCCGGCGAACAAACCACTCGGCCACCGAGGTCGTCTAAAAAGTACCTACTCAGTTTGGTAAAAAAGGTGCTGGCGAAATTAGTTCGAATAATTCTCTCCGGAATGTAATCTTAGGCGCCCAGGCACGAGTTTTTAAAAGCTGCGTAACGTATTGCATCGTCAAAGGTTCTATGATAACTAAGCATTGTCCATTGAACGTAGGAACAAACTACCTTTTTTTATACATAATACGACGATTACGATACTTTACGGAGCTGTCAAAAACTTTTGCTTAGGACTCTGTAGAAAACGCTCAGACACGCAACCATTGAAGGGAAATCAGCCGGTATTGTAGGAGAAAGTCCGTTGAAAATTAAGCATTATTATAAATATAAACGACTGATTTAATGCTTTAACAAAAGACTCTCCAAACCGATCTTTAAATGGATCCCGTCTTGTTCAGTCATTTATTATTTGGCTTCAGGTTTCCCTAGTTTCATTTGTATTAAGCCTTTGCAGAGGTTCTTGTTAAATCTACTTCAATTAAAGATTGTTTCCTGTAAGGTTGGTACTGTAGGGCTTTCCTGTAGGGAAACCTGGGGAACGTAGCTTGTAATAATAATAAATACGAATACTAAGGATGTTTAACTTTGATTATTCGAACTCAGGAAAATTATTTTTTTTCTCTATCAACCGATCGAGTCTGTGCCGGAATTCAATTTATGCATGTTCGATATGAGACAGAATATTCTCACATTTGAATCTTTAAAAATAATGACATTTACTTTTAAAACAACTGCCAGCCGTAGGCATTACATAAGCAATGAGTTTACGCAAGCAAGGAAGCCGTAACGCTACGGGCGTTACAGTACTGTTAGCTTGAACTTGGCTTGATTGATATGCTACGCTACTGCGTATCTATATTTTATACGAGTTGGTTTTTTTTAATTCATAAATAAGCTAATTATTGGAAGATGTCATCTACGTTTACATTTGTCCTCCGATAAAGTTCAACCTGAAATTAGGTGAAGCTAGATTAATTATTTATACTTTAACTATATAAAAATTACAGTCCCTTGGTCACGTCATAACTTAAGATCAACTTGACCAACTTTATTGATTTTTTTGAAAGTTGTATAAGGTTGTTATGGAAATAATTAGAAAGTGACGTAAAACTAAAGTCATCACGGTTGAAGTCACGGGCGTGAGCTAGTCATCGAAAATATGATTACAAAAAGTATTCTAAATAAATTAAATTTTACAAGAAACAAATTGTAATTCAAAGTAAGTAAGTAATCGTGTGTTTTTGGAAACTGTTTATTTCTTCACTACTAAATATCTTTATTTTTTTTATCTCAACGACATCGATCGATTGGTTTTGTTATTGATATTTTATTTACATATAGTTAGTGCTTATTCAAAAGTAAATCTCATAATTTTGAATGTCTTTGTTAAGTCGAATTACTTTTTATATGAAACACATGTTTTTTACGGAGTACAACTAAACATAACCAAAGAGGAGTGTGGCTTTCTTTGAGGTGCGGTTATGTGAACCATTAGGTATTCCATTTATTTAATGCTTGCTAAATATGTCCCATGGTGTTCGCATGTGATGCTCTTTTAACCCTCAGTGCGGTGCTATTCTGTAATAACAAACTCATTTTTCAGTGCGGAATCCGCGGAATAATTTGACATTAGAATGTTGAATCTTTGCAATTTATATTAAACAAATCAGACCACAGATCCGGCGGTGAAAAGTGAGTTTGTACTTACATAAATAGCACTACTGAAACTGAGTGTGTATAATAGGTTCTGAACTATAGTATATAGGTATATATCTAATATATAAAATTCTCGTGTCACGGTGTACGTAATTGAACTACTCCGAAACGGCTCGACCGATTTTTGTAAAATTTTATTTGCATATTCAGTAGGTCTAAGAATCAGACAACATCCATTTTCATCCCCCAAAATGGTAAGGTCCACCCTTAATTTTTTTTTGGGGATTTTTTTATTTTTATTTTTATGATACATCATACAAAAATACATACAACCCTTAATTTTCACCCACATACCACCAACCCCTATTTTTTATGGCGTGTACCGCCATAAAATGTTCGCTGGGACAGCTAGTATATATATTTATATTTATATAAATCAATTGTGGTCCCTATGTCTCGTTAAAACTCGAGAACATCTGGGCCGATTTAGCTGATTTTCGTTTTATAAGTTAAACCATCTTTAGTATAGTACCTATGTCGAAAGTCTATTGTCACTTGAACAAAGCCAGAGCTATAGAGATAGGGACTTACTTTTCTTTATTTATTTTGCCTAAACTACGCATTAGAAAACATGCGATGCCCCTTATAGGCAGGCATAGCAATCACAGAGAGCTTCCGTTTAATAATTCGTTACGTTGAGATTTGCTCCAACCTACTTTCCCAGAGATTCTGGATTTAATACGTATTCTTATTGAGGGCGGATTTTCTTTTAGGAACGTCGGAAGAAAAAAGGGAATCTTATTGAATGGAGGAGGACATTAACGTAAATAGAAAGTCTTTTTTCAATCTGAAAAATACAGTTCGTGTATATTGGCGCGATGATTTAAAAGAGTTTTTATTACGTATAATGAATGGAATGTGGGCACCTTCCCATTTATCGTTCTTCAAAGTATTTAGATAAAGGAGTTGCATACGAAATTCAGAAAATCATTGTTTCTGAATGATGGTAAGTACCTACTAAAACAACCTACTACTAGAACAACTCTCAAAAGTAAATTGACCTGACAGAGAATTTACTAACTTGCGACATTATGGTGTTAAATTAATCACGAGAATATTTTAATGATTGTTTTTGTTAAGTAGGTATTTTAAATTGACTACGAAATTATTACTTATGTTCTTTCGATAACTCATGAAATTTTCGAAAAAGTGATTACCTACCTAAATTCAAGCTGGATGTCTATTGCAAATATCTTCGAAACTTATTAAGAAGGGCTCGATTGAGCTTGACCAAACCATTGGTGTCGGTCTGAATAAATATAAATAAAAAATACATTATACACATAGTCACATTGGCTTTATGAGGTTTCCTTGGGAAAAGGAATCCCTTAGAGAAAAATTTAAAGAAAATAATATTTTAACACTGGCATCGCAATACATTTATGAAAATTTAATATATATTCAACGATCGCAGCCGAACGCGCTAACCACCCGCACCATCGAGCTCCTCAGTAGGTATGTACTACATACTAAATTAGGCGCCTTCCTCATCGGGTTAGTGCAGGATCGTTTCGTTTTCATTTCTGTACAGAATCAGTCAGTACAGATCTTTTACTGAGTATCACTTTTATACCGACGCGTTTTGATTGCGGGAGTGACGGGCCAGGCTAATGGAATAGTTCTGTAGCTTTCGGAAGAACTCGGTAGCACTAGGTTGGCACAAAGAGCTGTGTATCCGCTCGGTAAAGATTCTGTACCAAAACTACTCAGTGCGGAAGCTCTTATTTATTTATATTCACTTGGTAAAGAATCTGTATAGATTCGGTACAGAAACGAAACGAGCCCGCATCGATCCGACGAGGAAGGCGCCTTAAGCCCACCATTCACTACACGCACCGCGAGCCGAACCCCGAGCCGTACCCATCCGTGGACAAATCCGTCATTGCCCACACACTACACGAGCGTCGAGTTGCAGTCCAGTCGCTTGTGTACTTTGGTGAGCCTCGCGCGTATCGTTCTTCCCTGTATGGATAAATTCTTGCCAAAACTCTTTATGATCGCCGAACGACATGTTATTATACTCGTTCATGATACAAACAACACAACTGCAGGCCAATTATGCTCGCTAATTGTGATATTGGTTTGATGTCAATTTCACATTACTCATTACGCTCTCCGAAAAATGCGATATCAAAATGACATCAACTTTAAAATGATATCAACTTAAATGCGTATTACGTTCAACTTTTTTACATAAAACAGTATCGCATAAACGTCAAAAATGTGATACAGACTTAACAAGTTAGGAGGTGGTTTTTCTGTATCAAATTCCTTTTTTTTTTTAATAAAAAAGAGTAAAATGGCTCGTTTCGGGTTAGTAATGGACTATTTAGAACGAGCTCATGCCGAGGACATGCGTAGAAGAGATAAACCACTTGTAGAAGAGATACAATTAGCTCTTTATGTTCGCTAATTGTGATATTGTTTTGATGTCAATTCCACATTACGTATTATGCTCTCCGAAAAATGCGATATCAAAATGACATCAAATTAAGCGTATTATGATCTACTCTTTAAAATGACATTAACTTGATATCAACTTAAATGAGTATTATGTTCAACTTTTTGACTTAAAACATTATCGCATAAACGTCAAAAAAGTGATACAGACGCGATACAGAATTAACAATTTAAGAGGTCGTTCTGCGTGCACGCACTACAAATGACTGACAAGTTCGCCGACAAATCTGTGCAAGCACACACACGTACGGATTTGTACGGCGCGGCTGGGGTGCGGCGCGGCGCTCGCGTCTCTCGACGGCGAGCGCCGCGTCGAGCCGCGAGCCGCACTCACCAATACATTCACACGCGGATTTGTCCGCGGACTTGTCGCCAGCGACAAATCCGGCGGATTGGCGCGCCCGTGAATGGTAGGCTTTATATTCCTGTGTACCATATATACTTTACTCTGCAAAATAAAGTTGAATCAAAAAGTCGACCATTGTGTTCAAAGTTTTTCTCGCGAAGAATCTGATTCATTAGAGCCGATTGTTATTCTGTTACAAGTTAAATGCTCTTAGGCATAGTTTCGAGGCTGTAGGTAGGTCCGTTCAAGCTTGGAGCTAAGAATATATTTCTCGTATGTCGGTTAACAAAAATCTCGGGTTGCGAATTTTGCGGTAAGGTAAAGATGGCTACTGCGCACTTATCTATCTTCGTTTTGGGCTTTGGGCTTTTTATATCCATTAAAGTAACGGAGCTATTAAATTTATAATGCAGCAAAACAGAAATGGTGGGTAGCGGGTGCTTTCAAGCATTTGCACATGTTCAAGTGGGTTATGCAGCATTATGTTTTATTTTTAATTTCAAATTTGAAGACTTTGAAACTTTGTACGAATTTACCCCATGTTCAAATTCAAAGTTGTCAGTGTTGTTTCTTTGTGTCATTTTAGTTACGCAAAATGTAGACGGATCTCCGGCTAAGGAAGTGCAGTGTGTGAAGTGCGCGCGCGGCTATAAAGCGCAAAACAACGTGTGTGTGCGGTGCCCATCATGCGTTTGCGCAAAGACCGATATCGCGGTAAAGAACGAGTGCATATCGAAGAAGTTTCTGAGCGAAAGACCGCGGTATGAAGGAAATATGCCCGCGACTCTTTTGATGGTTCTGCTGAAGAATGAGTATTTGTGCACTGTGAGTATGTAATAATATACCAATCATTCATCTATGTATAATGTTATATTTTTATCTACACCCATGCTTTAAAATCCCTATTAAAGATTCTGAAACAGTTAGCTTATTGCCAAGATTAAAACATCCAATGCCATAATTAAGGAAAAAACACTGATTGTAATTGACTTGTGCTAAATTTCATAATAACAGTCTTTCGCTTTTTAAATCCTTTCCGTACCATGGACAGCCACAATTTTCACTGCTCGAAACGTAGTATTCAGAATTTCAAAAAAAGAACATTGTCATTCACGCGCTTTTCTCTATTACAATTTGATTACAACGCTGAAACTTAATGCATTTTAAGTTCTTACAACTCTCCATGGGTTGAGAATCTTTTGTAGAGGATTCATATCATGGGTGTAGATAAAGTCTTGTATGCAACTGTTTGAACTGTTTATATTTACGTTTTAAAACACTCCTGCTATTCTATTATCATCATATCCGACGTTCGTCTTTATAGCCCTCATTATACAACAGTTGCATAAACTACTATTATTATTATATAGCTAAATGTATGCCAAAGGATGCATTCCTTTCTCCTTACAACGCTGCCCAATTTTGTACCTCAAGTATAATCCCACCAAAAACATTCTGTAAAAAACTAGCCAAGTCTCGATGAAGCTGCTTGTTTATCTCTAAAAAGTAATGAAATCTAGACAAAGTCGTGCCAAGTGTAAGGTTCCTTACTGCGATTTCTTTATTATTATAGTTAATGCTGTGTGACTCGGCCGTTGAAGGGTACACAAGGGTACAAAACTGCGTATTTCAATAATATTTTTGTTAGTGCCTGAGCTTAGTGGATGTTAAAATAATAAAGTTGTTACCGAAAATAATTACGTGTTTATTGTTGTTCACAAAATGTTCTTGAAAATACGATAATAATGTATGTTAATGAGTGCATTCGCAAAGACGTCGAATTGTACACTAATTTATATTTGCACCGCGGCTAATGACCTAAATTAGGCCAGGCGCCGTGACGGTGTTGATTATTGCAAATAAGCAAAATATAAATGTTCGGTTATGCACCGAACAACTTTTGTACAGGCGAGCCTGAAATAAACAGTATAAAAAAATATTTCGAGTACAGGCGGACTCCTAATCATTGATAGAAAGAAGTCCGTCTGTACGGCAGTGTTTGCTTCGCGCTCGACTTGGTGGGGCACTGCCGTGCCCCCCGATAGGTACCTGTCGAAAAAACGACACTTTACGTACAATAAGTATTTTTTACGCTTTTTTTCACGGAGCTCTGCTTCATGTTGACTTTTTAATGGTCCGCGCGTGACTGTGAACCAAGAAGTGCTTGAGAGGTGTTCAGGCACTTTTTGTTTTTCACACACATTTCGAGCGCTCTTAGCGTAGCGATTATCATGCATTTAAATGTAGAAAAATATGTCGAATTCATCAAAATATAAATGGAGTTTATTATCCACTTGTAAAATGTCGTTCAAACATTTAAATTAACGGCAACACAGATACCATGCTATTATTTTACATCGTTAATTAATAGCAATAATTACCTACGGAAATCACCTGATTTTTGATACAACCAATCACAATCAAGAAAATTAATTTCAACCAATATAGTATTAGCAGTCATCGGTTAGTCAATAACAACTTGCGTCAAGGTAATATTATTTTGATTCAGATTTTCAGCAATTTTTAATGAAATTATTGAGCTTTTGATGAATGATGTTTTTTTATTTTTTTTAAACTTTATTGATCAAAATACAAGACACTGGTACAAAAGGCGGACAGCATTCTCTCCCAGTCAACCTTTGGGAAAAAAGAAATACTCGAATGGCGGTAAAAGCTAAATATACATATAAATATAATAAATAATATTAAAAATTTATACGAATAAAATTGATACATATACATATAAATACATACTACGAAAGGAACACACATACATACATACCACAATTATATTTAAATATATATGTATACATAAATATACACATGATGATGATTAATAAAGTGACTCTTCATCTTAAATTTTGATATGTGCGAACATTCCTTTTAAATGCAAGTTTATTAGTAGATTTTCTGATGGGGTAGGTCATTCCACAGCCGTATGGCTTAAAGAGTATAATGCGATTCAACTAAGAATGGGACCGACTAGGCGCCATATTGTGATGTCATAGCTGTCAATTCAAACGAAATAGGTAGAGTGAGCAAAAAAAATGTTTTTATTTAATAAAACTTATTTACTAAGGTTAAGTGAGAAAAAGCATCAGATTTTTTTAATAACATTTATTCCAAGATTTTTTTTGCAAACCGTACTTTTCAAGCTACATTTGACAGATAGAGGTCATTGGCTTTCCTATTCTTATTTGAATCCCATTATAAAGGAGTTGGATATATATATAACCTGCATGAGAAAGAGAAATAAAGCGAGCTAATGAATCGCAAGAGCGGAGAGGATGTTCGTGACTATCACAGAGATATTGAAACATGCATTTCAAATACTCTGGAGAATGCGGATTGGAATTATAGAAAAGGGAGTGCAGAGAAATCTTAACTGCCTGCGCTGACGGATAGGAAGCCATTTTAGTTGAGATCGATATGAGGAAATATGGTCAGCGGAGGCAAAAGATGAAACGGATAGCGTTATTGATTAGGCGATCCAATTTGTTGAGAAGATCTGCGTTTAAGTCAGGATAACCAGACATCGGCATAGTCAATGAGTGGTAGAATAAGGGACGATCTTAGTTTTTATGGGGAGAAAATTTCTGAAGCGGTTAAGGAAACGTAATGAAAAAGTAACTGCTCGGCTGACTTCAGCAATCTGCGACGTCCAACTAAGAGTGGTATCAATTTGAAAGCCGAGATTCTTGCCGCGTTTTGAAGTGTAATTTTACTATTGTTGATCGATGGTAATTTTAGATGTTTTTTTAAATAATTTGTACCAAGGTCCAAACTTGGACAAAAATCGATGGTCTTGTTTGGTACGCATATAGTTAATTAAAGTAGTTTTAACGGGTTAATGCACGAACTTTATTTATTTATTGACGTATCGCAGCCTTTGCAGGTCTGCATCGTCAGAATAATGATTTTTATTTTTTTTTATTTACTTTGTCGAGCTACCTTGGTAAGACTTTTATTGAGCGTTCCGATATTTCATTGGAAGATTTTTAAAACTTTATTGTCGATGTATGAATTTATTAGTTAATTTAGTTAATAAAGTACTTTATTTAAAATTCTTTTTTGTAATTTTGAGTTTATTTATTTGACCCTAACTAAATAATGAATAAAGTTCGTGTATTAACCCGTTAAAACTAGTTTTATTTAATGAGTGATGTGCGTGAAAACCTAAGAAACAAATACACATATAGTTTATGACCTGGATTGAGAAACAGGATAGGTACTTTTTATCCCAAAAAAATTAGGTTTCTGTGGGATTCTCAAGAAACTAAAGTTAACGCGGACGAAGTCGCAGGCGGCCGCTAGTTTATATTATTAGTTAGGGATTTTTGGCCAAAAACATGTACCTTGTTACAGTTCTCGTTTCGTTACTTGAAGATTTGAATCTTCAAAGTGTTCTAAAGCTTAATTTAACTAGCAGAATACGTAATATAATTCTGATGAAATTTACATTTTAAGTACAACTTCCAGGCGACTATAGATCAATCTCAAACTAAACTTAAGGATCAAACTTCATGAAACGCTCTACGTTTCTAGTAAACAAAGTTGTAAAGCTTGAATGAAACCAATAACGCGACGTAATACCTATTATACCCATAACAAACAAAACACCCTATGTTAGATTAATTACGTGAACGGTATTGCTCAATCGACAACGTTATGTATGCCAATGTAATAATTGACTTACTTTATTAGATTCCTAAACTAACGTTGATGTGAGTCTTACAGCAATGAAAATTTTTATTGCAACTCCTTATCTAAGTAGGGAATATGCATGTTATTCAAATACGCCTCATTATATTTTTATACAAATTCTACGACTCTTAAGATGTCGCTCCATCAATACTTGGTATTAAAATTTATTTTCGAGCAAGAAGTTAATGATATAAAAGTTGCGAAAAACTTGTGGGAAATTCAAATATTTTTAAAACGCGACAGGAGCGGTTGTGATTGTGTCGTAAAAATATAACAAACAGTACCCTTAGCACGAACATCTTCCTATATTGAATTCGTATCGTTTGCGACATGGAGGCAGAACATGGAGGTTAGAGAGAAGGAGAACGATCGCTGTAGAAAATAGTGTCCCAGAAATATGCACAAAATAAGTGAGGCGCTGCGATCGCTAAGTTATCTCAATAAAAGCGGGCCGTTGTGCGCTAATTTGAAATGACCAATGCCGCGAAGAAAATTTGTACATTATTCAACTAACTTCATCTGCTTGTACTCATAAACAGCTAACTTCACAGATACTACTTACCGATGGCAGCGCGGCTGGTGGCTGAAAAATAAACTATAAATTCTACAAATTTTCAGAGACAGGCGGGCTAATGCTTTAGTACGTAGCGATCGTTCTCCTTCTCTCTAACCTCCATGATTCGTGCTAAGAGTACAGGATGTTCATAGGATATGAGTATGGCAATGTATAGGAGATTAGTGAGAGTACGTAAATGTGAAAGCAGTGTTCCTCCTACACACCGAATGCAACTTTTCACTATGACATTTATTTTTTTACCAAAAACCTATTAAACTTAATGTCTTTTTGATTGTCGTATTCCGACTTCCGTTAGGAATGAAGGTATGGAAAGCAAAATATCAGTATCTTCTGAGGTTATTGATCTTGTTTGTAGAGTTCTTTAGATGTATCATGACATCCCATTAAAGCGTCAAAAACAGCGCGCGTTAAAACTGCCTGCGCAAAGTAGCTATTTTCAAAAAAAAATTAGATACTATGCTATTTTTCCGATGTAGATAAAGGAAATGTAAACTACAAAATAAAAAAAGGCAGGCAGTTAATATTATAATCGTAATGTAATCAGGAAATTACGATTACGAGTATGAATACTGATCTACCAATTCCAGATATGTAAATATTTTAATTGCCCAATAGGTACCAGCCCTATGTTTAAATCAGCCTTATTTCCGAAAAGTTAAACATGAATGTTAGAAAAAATTACATCTTATAAAAGTCGTCTGAACAAAGTGTAAGTTGTTATGGTATTTATTAAGGTTAATCTTTAATTATCGCAAAAAGAACTATCAAACTTAAATTTATGTCTTTAAATTTGCAATTTAGAAACTACCTTTTTACTAAACCAGATCTTAACACCATAAGATTTCAACGCTGTGCCATAAGCTTTTTCCTGTGTTCAAGTTTTCCGTGACACAAGCTCCTACCTATCATTAGTCTCACTTATGGGATGAAGTAAGAAAAGTCCTTTCCGTAGTTTCTCAAATAAAGGAAAAGGTTTTTGTTGTTGTCATTAACTGCAAGTCTTATTAAAAAGGATCATTTATTCATATATAGACTGTAAAACACTTAACCCTGTCGCGCATTGCGCAGTAGGGTAACAACTTTTTTTTTAATATAAAATAATGATGTGATTTTATCAATCAACGATGCAAGTAAGACTTTTTAACTGTTTTACATCGCCTCAGATTTTTTCTGGCTTATAAAAAGAGGACAATTCGAATTCAATTCGCCCCCATAGCAGGCGAACTTTTTACCACTGAGCTACGAACGCTAGTTGATAATGTCTGTATTTTTCAAAAAATGAGTGAAGTGAGTAAAATATTGCCACAAACAAAATGAAAGAAAGAAAGAAAATACATTTATTTTGACACAAAGAATGAGACAGGAGATACAAGATTTTGAGCAACATACGAGAAAAAAATATCCAAAACAATAGGAAAATAACACAGCTAAAAGTAATACACAAAGTGTTAACATGCCGTACGTTTCTACCGGTGCATTAATCTGTTGCTGTTGTGGCTGCGCCAAAACAGGTTATCAATTCAGCATGTTGTCAAGTTTGTGGGACCTGACAGGACCTGACGCATGACGCTCGTTTTCAATTGACACCTATGGTTCTTTTGCCAACTGACCATCGCATCAAAAATATAAAGAATAAAAAAAAACAACAATACATACTCGTAAAAAGATTTAGTAATATAAATAATAAATACAGTAGGATATACAGTAATATGACGGAGCATCATTTGATAATGATTTGATAATTGTGATCAATATTATTTAGTTCTTTATATATTTGAATAAAGTGTCTCACAGCAGCCGCGGTTGGGGTGGCGGTCAGATGTATTTACTTTGTAATGTAAGCGAGTGCTCAAACACGAACGACAAACAAGGATTGACCGCAGCCGCAGGACGCGTCTGTCTGTGAAACCCTTTCATCTACAATTCTAATTTTATAAAATGTACCCGACACACTGACACACGTCATTAATAAGGTAACGTTTGTAACACTGTAGGAACCGGAATCCTAAAAAAGGCGAGTCATACCTCGCAAGTTTGGCCCGATCTTGTATGTAATAAGTTTATAAAGTTCCTCAAGATCTGCTTGAGCTTCCACTGACTAAATTTAAATCTCAGATCTAGAATACTTTTATGAATAAGGGCTTTTATAAAGTTCATGATTATCTAAATGATCGTAATGCATGGACATAGTGTTTCTTGTAATTTGTTATTTGATGGGTATTAGGCATTTTTCATAACAGTAATTTGGCCTATCTAATGCTGCTTTCTATATACTAAATTGAAAATTTACTATAAAATTTATTGTAACTATATATCTATATCCTAAATGATGTAATGGAAGGTGACTTCAGAAGTATCTCTGAAGTCATTTTTCAACTTGACAACTCTGTATATAACAATACAGGGAGAAAAAAACAGTCCTTTCTGAGTTTCTTGCCGGTTCTTCTCAGTACAAGGTCTCCCGCCGTAGTTTTGCGAACGAAGCGAAATAGTTTTTCACAAGTGCTTGTAACAACCAAGACTGAATAAATGATTTTTGATTTTGATTTATACTAAAATCTTTTTTTGAAGGAAGCTTTTATAAGTCCTTTTCTGATATTCATATTGTGCATATATTCATTCATAATATGCACACAGCTATCCATGCATTGTGATCCATACAAAACTTCAGAAGACTGATCCATCCGAGAAAACATACATTGCAAGTTAATAAAAAGTATTTATTAATATTTTAAGGAATTTGTCATGTTTTTCATAAGATTGATGTAAATGCTGTGTTTACCCTATAATGTAGATGCATATTAAATAAAATTTTCAGTTTAAGTGAACTATTGTAATATACTTATATGTGTTTCGTTGGTAAAAAAAACAGTGTGCTTATGACCACACAACTGAAGTGAAACTTATTTAGTTCCAATAACAGTGTGTTCAATATATACATAGATGTATGTACACATACATTTTTCATTTACTAGCTATAAGAGAAAGAGCTGCTTTCTCTTGCTTATATCCCCCACTCAATTCCCGTTCGCCTCGCCCGAAAATACTATTCGTAACGCGTAACGCATTCGCCAGCTTTTTCACTTCAAAAATAAAAAAGTTGTAAAAACTAAAAATTGTATCAGTTACATATACACGTAATGGACTTCCGTAATAATGATATGTGTACTAACACTAACCGATGTTTCTTAGAAAGGTGATATCCTCGCATGTCGGGCGTTAGCCGCCGGATGTGTGCACGGCTTCTACAGCACAAACGCGGCGGGCCCCTGCCGGCTGTGGCTGCAGCCTAAATCAACTCCGCCTCGAGGTCAGACTCTTAATAATAATAATAAACATTTATTTCAGACTATTATAAATCCACTAGTGGGTGCCCATTCATTTCATACATAAAAATCTATGATCAATGCATTCTTTGTCTTACTTTTTTCGATAACTTGTATTACAAAGAAACCAGAAGCCCTCAAAAATGCCAAACATTTTTTTACATTTTTTTACCATCACTAAAGACGCCTATTGTGGAGATTCAATAAGCGTTTACTAATTTTCGAGGAGGATATCGTCGAAAGTCAAACCTCGAATTTTGCAATTTTTATATGCAATTTTCAGTTAGCTACTGTTGTCCCTATCGCACGTTATCTGACAATGCGCGAGCGCTATATATTTTTTAAATTACCCTTTTCTCAAATGTCTCTTAAGAGGCTGAATTTTGGAAAATTCTTTCTTTGAGCACGTCTATATCATAATAGCTACATGTGTGCCAAATTTCAGCGCAATCCGTTCAGCGGTTTTTATATACAGAAGAAGATAATTGTTAGTAACAATATGCTACAATCTTGTTAATGATAAAATTAACATGAAAACGACATTTATATTCGGGTTTCGTTGTTATTTTGATCTAAATGTAAAAAATATATTTTACCAGTTAAGCTGTAATAGGTCTCTCTATCTTTTATTGGTGTTTCACTATCATTGAAACTACGCATACGCTTCTGACGCGACACAACACAACACGGCACTATAGTCTGTTTCCACCTTTCTGCCTCAACTCGACCATCGCAAACATTGCGCGACGACTATGGAGTGATTAAATGCGATCAATTACCGAGCTAGAAGGGAGGACGTAGCATGATTGATACGTACGGGAAATGGATGGGCAATGTGCCTACTAGCTACCTGAATGGTGTTACAACACGAGAAAACACTTATTTTTTGTGGCCGTTGTGCGCTGTGACGTCATTCACATCGCAAGCTGTTTATACGGAAATGTTATCTGAATTGATAACCTTTTTTTTATAGATAAGTCCGACAAATGATTCCACCCCACCTGATGTTAAGTGACAGTGATGGCCAGACGTGAAGATAAATGGTACAGCAGTTCTACTTGCCACTCCAGCCATCCTTAACTTGCCGGCTTACATGTTGCTTCTTCACGCCTCTTCAGGATCCCAGGTTGTAAGAAGGTTTTTCTAAACCTTTCCTAATCTGAGATGCGGAAAGTCTGAGCAGCATTATTCCTAAAACTAATTCGATCTAGATTCGGGTTTTATCTATCATCTATCTTCACGCCGTGTCTCTGGCGGGGTATGTAGAGAGAAGACCGTCTTAAACGCACGGTCCATATTACACATCACTTCATTTACATTTATTACTTTTTCACATACGCCCGCCGGTTTTTGCGGTTCCAGATGTCACCTACTTTCAGAATGCAAATAATTTCGGTATTTTGACCTAGAAATATTTTATTTAGAAAATTTCCGTTATTTGGAATTCTTATATATCGTTGGAATATTTATCCAAATAGATATCTTCTTTAAACAGACCTAAAAACAAAGGCGTTTGCAAAAACTTGACGAGAAATCGCAAAAAAACCTAAAAAAAACTCTCGGTTCCTAAAACCCTTACGGGTTCGTGGGTCATAGCTTATAGAATTTATGACTTTTGTCTTATCTAATTTAAATAATAAATTTCACTAAATAAAAACCATAATAAGTAAGAGTGTTTATAAAAAGGTATATTTTTATTTCTTTTAAAATCCCTCTTTTTTCATCTCAAGCGCTCTTGGCCCATAAGCCTGTTTTTTTTATTAGCGTGAGGGATTTAAATGTTTCAAGACGTGTTAAATTATTCACACATTCGAAATGGGGTTCGATTGCTAATATCGAAATCAGCTATCGTAATAGCTCCCGCATCACAGAAATATTGGGATTCGGAATACTGGAATCGTTTCCATATACGCCCGTATTTGGTCTAAGGATGACGTTGACAAAGGTTATACATACGTAAATTATTGAAGGGACTATACCAACTTTGAATTTGGATCGTATTTCCAACACCGGGAAAGTAAATTAGCACAGCGGAAAAAGGTTTATTACATCATACATCGATAATAATGCAAGAGCTTTGTGTGCATGATACATATAATAATAAATAAATAAATAAATATTTCCAACACTCGCACCAATTAGCCTAGCCCCAAAGTAAGTACTATAAGGCTTGTGTTATGGGATACTAGGGTAACGGATAGAATACATATACTGTGCTTATATATAACTATATTTATTGAGAAATACATATTAAACATCCATGACTGGAGTACAAATTGCTCGTATTCATCACACAAACATCTGCCCCCATCGGGATTCGAACCCGAGACCTCGCGAGTCGGCATCACCATGAAACCCGGCGTACAAACCACTCGGCCACGGAGGTCGTCCTATATATATATATTCTATTTGATATCTAAATATTCTTTCCCAAATAGGTAGTAAACCCGCTTTATGGTAAGTGGCCAGCATTGCCCATAGAAGCTCGCGATACCAGAGTCAGACGCACGATTTCTACCCTGGCTGCGTCACCTATCTTTGGGAGCGCACAATAGAAAACGCACAAACTGCAGGAAGATAAACAAAACTAACTTTAAAAATCATTAATAAAAAAGAGACCTTCCTCTGCTAGTAATACGAACCCGGGCCGACCGCATAACAGGCGGGTTTCTACCACTCAACCACCGATGCTTGCTGTGAATTGTGAGGTGTGAATTTTGTAAATAAAAATAATTAAAAATGTAATGCGACATGCTAAAGGTGAATGAAAAAAAAAAATTGCTTGTCTGGAAAGTCGGTTTACGGACGATAGTTTTAATTGATAACATCATAAAGAAACCTTGATGAGAAATTATCGTGCGCCTCTCTATCATCGCACGCTCAGGCTCAGGCGGAACGTGACACTTTTGCGTGCGTGCAACCGGTTTTCATCGATTTATAAGACGTTATCACGTTAAACGTTTGTTTAACGTGAAAGTGAAATTTTTATTAAAAAGTTTCACTTTAAAATGAAGATAGCTGTTAGTGCATTCGCAGTATCACAAAGAACGTTGGTTTGATTCCAGTTTGATACCTTCTGAAGTTCTTATCCTAGTTAATTTTTATAGTATTATTTTTTTGTATTTTATTACTGATTTTCCTTTCATTTCTCGTCAAATTTTTGATTTTGTCTGGACAGTCCCCCGGGTCGGTCGGGTCTAGATTTTGGCCTGACTAGACAAAATCTTGAGTGATAATAAGTTCGGGTACTAACTACTACTACAAGCAATAGGTACAGACAGCCACAGGTTAAGTTACCCAAAATATGGCCCCTACTCTATGGATCTATTTTAATGCCCGAACGATTAATTCGCACCAAAACTTCATTTAAAAGATCTCTTGCCACAGTAGCGCCAACACCCCCCACAACGACGGCAACTAGAGCTGAGGTCCGAGTCTCAGAGACGCCCTAAAGTTGAGCCGACCCCTTCAGGTTCGAGTGGTCTAGAGGCTCCAGACGGAGAGGATGCTCCCCCCGTGGGGATATGCCATCCGCCTGGAATACCTCTAGAGGCACTTGCTATTTCTCTGCTTGAGGTCCCCTTAGGATCTCGGTCATCTGCGACGAACAGCATATATAAAAAAAAAATAAAAAAAAGGCGCCAACTCATGTACGTATGTAAAGTTTCTTAAACATTCTACCCGAATAAATTTATTCTGTGCCCTTATTGTGGTAACTTGGTGTTTGGCTGACTGTACTTTTTATACGATATTTGTACAAATGTTATTATAACTTTTTATTTATTATCAACAGGATTACCAGATCTCGTGATCGCACCGAGCACAAGCGAAAAGAGTCCGGGAGAATTCATTTTTGCGTATGGAATGGTATGTTCAGATTTGATTCAAGCTTGTTACTTATCACAAACGATTACTACAATAACATAAACATTTTCTAATCAGGTTAAAATAGTTGTTTGTCAATAACCTTTGGTTTGTCATGACGTCATTCTTAGTTTTTGAGGGTGGCAAACAAGCGTATGTCCTGCCTGATGGTAAGCGGCCATTATAGCCTATATGTTTGCGATACCATAGGAATTTCAAAAGCCCTGACAAAAATCCTGACATTTCGAAAAAAGTCCGAACTTTTTAGTCACACAATGGTACCATTCCTCACTTAGTTACAATGATATGGTATTTAAATCAGTATGCAGTTTTATTATTCATATTAAATGTAATCCAGATAAAGTCCGGACTATAGTCCAAAAGTCCGGACATGTCCGGATTAATCCGGACGGATGGTTGCCCTAATCCTGACCCTATCCCCTACCCCGTAAAGCCCTGGAACATTTATTCATCAACAGAAGTGTTGCGTTTCTGTCGATGAGTAAGGGTTCTACGAAAAGGTGATATTTTATTGTGGTCTTCAGTAAGGTGGAGGTTACTTGCGGGCACTCCAATTTGAGAAAACCGCTATGCCCTATCTTTCTTAAAAGTAAGTATCGTTTGCCTTAGTCACTGATTATTGGTAAAATAGAAATTTAATTCGTAGACAGCAAAAATTCGATATCTTAAATCTTTCTTTCTGAGAACGCGACGTTAAAATCTTGAATTGACTTTCCTCTCTTGCAATAATCAATAGAAGCTTTTTATAAACAACCCTTTCAGCTTTATTATTGAAGTATTTGAATATACAATCAATACAAAACAAGATGAAAAGGTTCTTTCTGTGTGTATTGCTCTTGAGTCGTACTCAAAGGTCGCCTAACTTTATGATTAGTTTTGTAAGTATAACAAACTCACAATAAGTACATTGTTATGTGAGCTTTAGGAACAGAGTACGGACATTATAAAATAAGGCAACTATTTGGTGATGAGTAAGTTTTCCATGGCTTCATGCACATGGTAGGGGATGAGCTCGGGGTAGGCAATTCGCTAATGAAACTTTGGTGCCTCAAGCGTCTTTAGTCTATTGTGGCCTGACCTTTAGGGGGGACATATGTTTGTTTGCCACCATAGAGCAACACGTTAGTTGTTCTATGTTTACTACCCATTTCAAAAATTAAAAGAAGACCAATATTACACAGCGTTAGTTGATTACCTTACCAGCGCCGACTCTAGAGTAGAGTGAGAGCGCTCTAGGTACCAAGAAGGCGAAGATAAAACTGTGGTAATAATTTTCAACGGCAAATTTTTCAGCGAAAAATAAAATTTCTTGATGTGAAAGCTTCGACCAAGGGGCTAATGGACGATCTTGCTCTATTATGTTATTAATTAAGACTTATACGTAGGTGCTAATGCAATCTTATATTAGGGTTTAGTTATATTATATATAAAAATGGTATCAATGGGTCACCATGCCAAGGCACCATAGCTTATAGACGGTAGGTGATAGACTAAGGCGCAGTGCAGCAGTTTGCAGGAAAGGCGAACCGAGACTCCTAACGCGGTCAAGAGCCACGGAGCGGCTTACGGCTACTTTGAGCGCGGCCTAGAGCTACAGAGCGGCGCGCGGCTACTTTGAGCGCGGCCTAGAGCTACGGAGCAGCGCGCGGCATTTTGAACGCGGCCTAGAGTTACAGAGCGGCGCGCGGTCTAGAGCCACGGAGCGGCGCGCGGCTACTTTGAGCGCGGCCTAGAGCTACAGAGCGGCGCGCGGCTACTTCGAGCCCGGCCTAGTGCCATGAAGCGGCGCGTGGCTACTTTGAGCGCGGTCTAGAGCTACGGAGCAGCGCGTGTCATTTTGAATGCGGCCTAGAGTTACAGAGCGGCGCGCGGTCTAGAGCCACGGAGCGGCGCGCGGCTACTTTGAGCGCGGCCTAGAGCCATGGAGCGGCGCGCGTTAATTTGAGCGCGGCCTAGAGCTACAGAGCGGCGCGCGGCTACTTTGAGCCCGGCCTAGAGCCATGGAGCAGCGCTCGGCTACTTTGAGCGCGGCCTAGAGCTACAGAGCAGCGCGCGGCATTTTGAACGCGGCCTAGAGTTACAGAGCGGCGCGCGGTCTAGAGCCACGGAGCAGTGCGCGGCTACTTTGAGCGCGGTCTAGAGCCACGGAGCGGCGCGCGGTAATTTGAGCGCGGCCTCGAGCCACGGAGCCGCACTCGGCTACTTTGAGCGCGGCCTTGAGTCACGGAGCGGAGTAGTCGCTCGCTGGCTCTCGTGGTCGAGTCACAGCCACCGCTTGTGTATTGTTTCATGTTAGCAATGAAATTTTTAAACTTATGATATAGGAATTAGGGTTTAGATAACAATTTAATTGTTAACTTCTCAGTATCTTTGCCGCGCCTCTCCTGGTGTGCGCTGCGCCTTATATTCTGTCAATAATATTTTCGGACAATTGCTAAACTCACTTACATCTCACTTATTGAAAAGCCACATGCGGTGTCATGTTTGAGGTGTGGCTATATGGAGTTGATAATATTATTGATCATGTATTTATTGATTGTGTCCCGCCTTTGATGATCTGCTCAACCTCCAAGAGCCCGATTTCGGCGTTTGATATTTTTTTTAACAATGTTGTAAACAAAGTATATTTTCTCTAATCACCATAAATGAGTACTTAGGTACTTCATTATCGAATATAAAGGACTGAAATGAAATGAAATTATACTTTATTCAAATTGACTCATTGAAAGCTCTTTGCCTTCCACCCATTCATGACATCTATTGGGCAATGTCGTTGCCAATACTACGTCCACTCACATTTTGATTGCTGTGTCATACAGTAGATATAAATACAAACAGTTTTCATATTAGGTATAATTAGATAACATCTCAATAGTAAACTAAGCAGTATAAAGCAGACTCAATTTCGCTGGCAGCACCCGTTCACGAGCACGACGCATGAACCAGCCATCGCTTCGCTCAACCATATTGTAGGGAACGTAATGACCCACCTCACACAACACCATCGAAGAGATTTTTAAGAGACTGTTCGAACATGTCTTCATATGATTGGATAGATGATTAAATCAAAAGAAAATATATAAAAAAAAAAACACGCGGACAAGGCAGCAGACGGGACTCGAAACCGCACCCTTCGCTATCGGCGAATGCACTGACCAATTATGCTACCGCGGCCCTGATGGCCGCGTTGAAATTCCTCTAGCTATTCTTAAGCTGCAAGGCAGCGCCATTTCTTCGCATTGTAGGTAACCCACAATGTCAAATGAATATTTTTACAAGTATTATACATTTAAAAGACGAAATAGCTACCTATTATAGTTATAATTTAATTTTTTTAAGCATGCAACTGCTGGATGTTTAATTTCTTTAGATTTAAACATCAAGCAGTTGCATGCTTAAAACATAAAAAATATAACTATAATGGATGGATGATGTTGGATTTTTTCGAAGGATACTGGAAGAGTAACAATTAAATGTATGTCAATACATTCATGCAACTTTGAGAAATAATAGGAGCATCAAATTTTGCAGTACTTATGGAAGATATGCTTCAGTGTAAACCTCATTTTTATCACTACAAGACGCCATAAGTAATGTGTGTACAATATATACATGTATGTACCTATACATATTTCATTTAGTAGCTATAAGAGAAAGAGAGAAAGAAAATATGCGCGCGCACCGCTTATATCCCCCACTCAACTCCAACTCCCGTTCGCCTCGCCCGAACACACTTTTCGTAATGCGTAACGCATTCGCCAGCTTACCCCCCAAGTCAAGCGTGCGTAAAGAAGTTTCACTTCAAAAAATAACACTTGCGCCGTTGCCTCACATGTCCCAATTGCCTACCCCGTGTAGCCCTTTTTTTTTTTGTCTGGGAAATGCTTTACGCATCCTTCAACCACCGGGGGAGCGAGAAGAAGGTATGTGGGACTCCTCCCTGCTCATTTCAGCCAGCCCTTAGGCCGGGCTAAAAACCAGACAATACTCCTGCACCGGTCACCCGGCGTACATTCTGAGGACCGCAGTCCCTCCAATGCACACCGGGAGTGCGGGTGTGGTCGCGGCAACCGTTGCCGTCTGTCCGCGCACCCGCAAGGTGATTGTCCGCGAACGGACCCACCCCGATGAAGGTACCCCGGAGTATCAGGGGCACCAGCATCAAGAGAGCTTGTGCAATGCAGGCCGGTCCCCCCCCAGGGCAGACCCGCGGCTCTCACAGGAGTGGGAGGGAGAGCGTAGTTCTCTCCGTCCCTCTCCCGCCCCCCTTGGCCCTAAGAAGGGCCTTACCCCGTGGAGCCCTGGAACCTTGCTCACCGACAGAAACACAACACTACCAAAAGGTAGTGATATTTTAGTGTTGTCTTCTGTAAGGTGCAGGTTATTTCCCCAGACGGACACTCCAATTCTAGCGGAAAATCCACTATGCTCTACCTCTCTGCCCGGTTACAATATTAATAACCGAGTCAGCAGCCATATCTCGAACTTATCTTCCTCCTTCTTACAACCTGGGATCTTTTAAAAGAGGCGTGAAGAAGCAACATGCAGGCCGGCAAGGTAAGGATGGCTGGTGTGGCAGGTAGAACTGCTTTACCAGCTATCTTCACGTCTGGACTTCACCATCACTTAACATCAGGTGGGGTGGAGTCATTTGTAGGACCTATATATATGTAAAAAAAAGGTACCTACTGAAGTATTTAATGCTTTCCTTTCACTCCCAGTTCAGCATGAAAACATTTTTTAAGATTTTTTTTTTCATATTTATCCTGCTTTTTCCCTAGGAATCGTTACTGCTCGTTCTAGCAGTATACACATATGAAGGAGGATTAAACATTCTTAAGCTGACAAAGGATAAACAATATCCGTGCTTTTTACCCATCGAGGTTAGCATAGGAAAAGATATGTCGTGAGTATTCTATTTTATACTATTGAAAAGTCATGTGTATTTGTACATATATACAGTAGAATCCGTTTAATACGATCACGCTTAATACGATTTCTCGCATAATACGCCATTTTGCGTCAGTCCCTGCAACTTCAGACTAGTTTTCATACATTTCTTAACGCATAATACGATTCAGCATCCCGTATAGTACGCCTAAATCTCCAATACGTACGACACGTATTACCTCTTGCGGCAGCATAAAATTTAATGAGCATGTGAATAACACACAAGAAGAAACCCTAAGTGATAATGATCAAGAAGAAGGTTAAAATCAATCAGCATTTATGATTTAAGACACTATATAACTTCTTTGAATCAAAGCAAAGACGCACTGCGAAAGTTAAATTTTGTAATTGCTTATGCCTCAAAATATTTTGAACAAACTAAAATATGTGATTAATTTAAATAATGTAATAGTAAATAATAATACTAATATTTTTTTATGACATATATAATTCTTAAATGTTGTACATTTAATACCTCAATACCTACATTCGAAATATCCCTATCCCGCATAATACGCTTTCCCGTTTAAGTTTTTGGTTGAGTCCTTGTGAAATCATCTTAAACGGATTTTACTGTATGTATATTATACTATACACATCAAACTTGTCTATCTGGGTTCAATATTTTTTTAATTAAAAAAATATTTAATCAATTTAATCAAATATAGTCCTTCAGAAGCCTAGATAGTATTTTCCTTCCTTCAGAAGTCCCAGATTGACTTATTTTTGTTTCTTAGGTTTTCACGCACATCACTCTTTAAATAAAACTAGTTTTAACGGATTAATGCACGAAACTTTATTTATTTATTGACGATTCGCAACCTTTTCAGGCTGAACCTTTTCAGATATTTTATTTAATTTGCGACCCGTCAATAAATGAATAAAGTTTCGTGCATTAACCCGTTAAAACTAGTTTTATTTATTGACTTTGATAGTTGGACTGGATGTATATAGAAATTCACCACATCTAGAGTATCTACCTATCTCACTATGACGGCTAACTAACTTGACATTTTTATTGTTTTTAGATATGATTGTAACATGAACGTATCGCAATTATTAACGATCGATCGTAACAGCACATATGCGGTGTATGTCGATTTGGGAGGAGTTTTAAAACCCATACCGATAGCGATGAGAAAACCGGGAGATTATCATGTCAAGGTTTGTACGGAGGTACCTTGTTTAGTAAAGTTTCTTAATACAGAAGTTACCCTAACTCCTGTATTTAGAAATTTAAAGTGCTTAAATTCCATATATTTACTTCCTTAAAAGGAGCTACAAAATTACATAGGTACATAAAACCTTAAATAAATAATTGGTCTCCCGTCGACCGCAGGGAGACTAATCAGTTATCTAAGCGTAAAACAATAAAAAAACCATTCCAGATTTATTCTATGAATAAAAAAAAATATACAAGATAAAAGTATTCGTCGCTTCATTCCACTTAACATCATTAGCAGTGTCTGTGAGAGTAGCACACAGTTGGTTTTTCTCCAACCCATTATTTAGAAGATTATGACCTAAGACCTAAAACCCCCCGGTACCCTCCTACGCCCATATGGGGGCGTCTCAGGATCGACGCACCTTAGCGTGCGCCACTTCACTGGGACGCCCCCGGGCAGGCCCGGCCCAACGAGTGGACCGGGCGACGCGCCTCAGGGGGACTGCGCTAGGGTACTAGGCAGTCCCCAGACGTGGTGGCCTATGCCGGAGCGGCACCTAGGACGCGCGGCTGGTCAGGCCGCGCCCAGACCACCTTAGGGCCGTCGAAGACCGGCAGTCACCGCTGCCTGTCTCCTTCGGCCTACCCGTCTACGCCGGAGAGGGGGGGCTAGAGCGTCCTCCTCCCGCTCCCTCTCCGCTGCCTCCTTCTGTGCCATCACAGATTCGCAGAAGGAGGCGGCCGCCTTCCAGGCTCTCTCGCTACCAAGCATGGCTCTTACCATACTTGGCAGCGTGAGGCCTCCTCCGCCGAGCGCCGCGATCAGATCGCGGCGCTCATTTCGCCAGGCCGGACACACGATCAACGTGTGCTCGGCCGTGTCGTCGGGAGAGGCGCAGTGATGACATGACGGTGCAGGTAGTGACCGAAGCATCCATGTCCGGTCAGTACCTGCACCAGGCGGTTGGTGAGGGTGCCCCGCTGGCGCCCTACCCACTCCTCCAACACCGGACGAATCGCCTCGATCGTCCGGTGGCCAGCGGCTGGGTTGGCGAGTGCCTCCACCCATCGGCGCAGAGCCTCACTCTGCGCCTCGGTGCGGACCCGTTCAGTCTCCTCTAGAACGGGTCGCTCGCCCCGCTCTCTTGCTGCGACCCGGTGTTGATGCACCTGGGACAGTACCAGAGCATCAACCTCCCACGGGAGCGTGCCTGCTAGGACGCAGGCAGCCCCGTGGTTGACCATGCGGTAAGCCCGCACGGCCCGGGCCGCGATGACCCTCTGCGGTCTTCGCAGGAGGGGGGCCCTCGTACGGGACGAGAGGCACTCCGCCCAGACCGGGGCCCCGTACAGCGCCATTGACTTTATCACGGAGTGATAAAGCCGACGGCACTTCGCCCTCGGCCCACCCACATTGGGGAGGAGCCGTCCGAGTCCGGCTGCTGCGGCGCACAGCCGGGGAGCGAGGAGCCTGAAATGCTCCTCGAAGCTCCAGCGGGGATCCAGGGTCAGGCCAAGATACTTCATGTGCATCTCGACATGAACCTGGATCCCCTCAACCCGGACACGGAGCCCCGGTGGGGTCCTACATCTTGGGGCATGGAACGCCATGGCCCTCGTTTTATCGAGGGCCACCTCCAGCCCTAGGAGGCGGATGCGTCGGACGACCATGGAGGTGCCGACCGACGCAAGGTGGACCGCCTCCTCCCACTCCTTCGCTCTCGCCGCGACAAGGGTGTCGTCCGCAAAGCAGACGACATCCATTCGCGGCAAGAGCGAGCCACGCAGGAATGACCTAAGACCTAACATAAAGAATAACATGTATCAGGGTTCTATAAAGTCTACCTCAAACGGGGTGAAAAGGGGTAGTAAATTTCACTGACGAATATTTTAATGCGGGGCTTTATTAAATCGGAAAACGGCAGAACGAATTAGGGTAAAGTTTGACACGCATATAGTTTTTTACTTAGATTAAGACAAAGGATAATTTTTATCCCTAAAACATGTAAGGTTCCTGAGGGACGTTCAAAAAACTAAAGTTACCGTGGACGAAGTCCCGGGTGGCAGTAGCAAGTTTAACAAAATGTTTAGTAAGATTAAGTATACGGCTAGTATCTCATAAAAACTTTTTGCCTATAAACTTTTATTTAATTACTAGAGGTCGCCCGCGACTTCGTCAGCGTTAACTTAGTTTCTTGAAAATCCCTCTGGAACCTAACATTTTTCCGGGATAAAAGTAGCCTATGTGTTATTATAGGGTGTCTGCTAACTCCATACCAAATTTTATTAAAATCTTTCCAGCCGTTTAGACGTGAAGAAGTAACAAACATACACACTCACATACTCACAAACTTTCGCCTTTATAATATGAGTGTGATTTCAATAACTGGAATCAACCAAAATAAGCTTTAAAACTTCTCACCAGTTTATCATCCATAGACGTTTGTCTGCTCTGTACCCCTAGCACGAACCAATATCGAATTCGTATCGTTTGCGAGTCCGAAATGTCAGTCAAATGTGTACTGATTTTTAGTTCTCGTTACGTACTTTGTGCCGCTGCTGTTCAAGTTTCCATACAAAATTTGACATTGACATTTCGGTTTGCAAACTATTCGAATTCAATAATGATTCGTGCTAGGGGTACAGTACGTGGCAAAACATTTTCTCAGTACTTGGCAACTGTTCAAGCAGGCGTTTTATGAAATCTCTTTGCGCTTTAGTGCTTTTAATATTATGCGTAGTTTTTATTCTTAACTCCGCTTTTACGTGAATGACATTTTTAATTTATTAGCAGTTTATACAATTAAATTTCTAGTTATTCAAATGCGAGCGAGTTAATTAAAAACTCTGTTGGCAAAATGACCTCCGTCAGCAACATGTTTTGTTCATTGCTCATTTTAAGTCACAACGAATAGAAAGATTAGACCTTATTATCGTAGTAGTTACTCCGTAAACACGACACAATAGTTTGTGTCGTGAAACGACAAGCTGAAAAATCAGAAACTCGCAAAAACCAACCTATACCTGTATTTTATTCTGTACCTGCATTGCTATTCTGTAAAAACAAACCTACTTTTCACCTAGGAATCCGCGGTGTGATTGGAAATTTGAACACGAATTTAATTTCCAATTACACCGGTATGGATGTAGTAGTACCATAAATAAGTCATAATATATAGTTATATATATATAACACTTGTACGCCCAATATGTATGCATATATATATATATATTCGGCGTACAAGTGTTTTCCCTGTCTTTGAGCCCTCCACTTTGTTTTTCACGATTTTCCTCTTATTTTTCGAGTTCTACTGTTCATCCAGGCTTCATTTATGTCTTTAATCAATCCTGAATAGTTTATCTACAAACTTATCTATATATTAGATAACGCTATATATCATAAAAAGCAAAATATGAAAAATGAAAATAATTTTCTTAACTCGTGGCAGGAATCATCCACTTACTCACGGCATAAGCAGTTTAACTAATAAATACGTATTCCTTTTAGCGGGGCACTTGGAGTAGCGGCCATTTTAGACGATTTTTTCTCGTCGGTCATATGACAACAACGGACAATGTGACCAGCACTGTATACATCCGAAAGTTACATATTAATATTCGGTAAGTACCAGGAGAGAGTACGAATACCTTTTCATAAACGAATTGGCCATGAAATCTTCAAAAGCCAAAATCTCAAATCTCTTCTATTTCTAAGAATGCGAGTATTATAAGATTCTGATTTTAATATAGACAAAAAACCTTAGAAGTGATCCGTTATGTTTTTGTTTAAGAAATATATAATTAATCACATAGGATTGACACTGTAATAAGTCTAAAGAAAATTTTAATAGAAAAAAATCCACACGGCTCAGGCAGACCTCAGCAGTATCCATCTAGTAGTTAAATGATTAAAAAATTAAAAACGGGCATGTGCTTTTCACATGCGATAGTAGTGAAACCTACAAAAATGTGAACAAGTAAAAGTCCTTCATGACTAGGTACTGTAAAATACTTAGCAAAATAAATATTCTATACTTAAATTATTTCGAAAAATAAATAATAGCTTATTAAAATAAAAAAGAACATTTAAAAATAATAGGCAAAAAAAACAATTAAAAAAACCAAGCACAGGATCGAACCACCGATCATTTGGTGCCGACCCCAAAACTGTTGCCGTTCTGCTAACTGTCTCTTGCAGAGACAAAGTTACGGATACCTTGTGTCAAATAATGTTTAATTTTCTTTTAATCGAGTTTCAAATCACAACGGTGCTAAAGAAGTTTTCACTTCAAGAAAAATAATGATAAATAAGTAATTGTAAAAACTGAAATTGCTATTAATAATAAATATTTCCAACACTCACACCAATTAGCCTAGCCCCAAAGTAAGCACTATAAGGCTTGTGTTATGGGATACTAGGTTCACGGATAGAATACACATACTTTACATATATAAGTATATTTATATAGAATTACATATTAAACATCCATGACTGGAGTACAAATGCTCGTGTTCATCACACAAATATCTGCCCCCACCGGGATTCGAACCCGGGACCTCTCGAGTCGGCGATGCCATGAAACCCGGCGTACAAACCACTCGGCCACGGAGGTCGTCAATTCGCTGAATTTTGTGATGTTTCTTGCACTCTTTCTCCACAGCCAACAGTGTCAGCTAAAAAAAATCACAAAAAATGTACTGTTGGACCAATATTGGAAAAGTGGAAAAGCAGCCACGCCATAAGTGCCCCGGCCACAATGTCGCCTGCGGTTCTAGTCTACCCTCTCGGAATTGTACCTTAAGATTTATGTTTTAGTGTAGAAAGGGACACACGCAGCGCAACTTCTTTGCGATTACAAATCCATGTAGAAGCCCACTATGAAAGGAAAACCTCAGTGTCTCCATCGGTGACGACGTCGCTGCGAGTGGAACACGAAATGCCCAGCGCTGGGATACGCCGGGGCTTGGAGGTATGTCATTTATTCCATGAACTTTTAACAGTATTAATTTAAATTATGCAAAAATACTGTTATCGCTACGAGTATAAATATCTTATATGACCAATGTCATTATAAAAATATGGGTAATTAATTATATGTCAGTTTTATGAGCCAGTCGCTAAAGTTTACGTGTTAGAATACCGTCTGATGGAATGAGAAATCAGTTAACAATTTCAAGAACAAAGAAAGGACAATGTTAAAATTGGCCTAAGAACCAACACCAATTTGGCATTTATGATAATTCTTAGTATAGTTTTTGCGATAATTATCAGTATTTAGATTGTGACGGACACTTCCAGTTAAGTAAGCTAAATTAAAAAGTTAATAAATAATCTGAGACAATAAATACCATTTTATGTATATAATCTATGACAGCGCTGCAAACAAAACACTATTTCTTCCTAATGCCGGCACTTCACTTGGCTTAGTTTTCCAATTACAGAGCATACTCAGTGGCGCACAATGCCGAATTATAATGATGCTTAATTGGAACGTGAATTAGTTTTCAAATGCACCAGCAGAGTGCGCTAAGTCAATGTTTGTACCTTCATCCATACTTATATTTATTTTTTTAACACAGTTTGAATTAACTTTGATTATTTTAAAAGAACTACAATGAAACGAAAGCTTTAAAAAAATTTCAACAAAACTTAAAGAAAAAACACTTGTTAATTTTCTGTCACTGAGTTGGTAGCTTGCACGCATCACACGAAAACATTAGGTACTTTTGAGAGTGCTCGATTGTGCGAAGCGTTGCTATAGTTGAAATATTCAACGATAAGCATTATGCCGCATAATTCGCTCTAGTGCTGTAATTGGAAAACTACCCTTATTATATACAGGATAAACTGTTGTCAAATGAAGGGCCGGCATAAAACTTGTTACCCTGTGGTTGTGGTGCATGCAGTTTGCATTCGTAGTAATCTGTGGCATTCGTGCATTACAAAGAGTAGTATAATATACCGGAAAGTACATTCTCGTTTCGGATTACCTGCTGTGTGTGTTTATTTGCGATTGTTTTGCCTTTAATTTAACTATTTCGGCTATCTAATATGCCATCGATGTCACCAAAGAGATGAGCCCTTATTACCAAGTGCTAGTGACCTGTGCCACAACATCCTGAGAGGATCATACTGCCAAATTATTCAAGAACACCTGATACACATTCACGCTGTATATTTACACAATATACATGTGATATGCAAATAAATACAATATACAATATTATACAACTACGTGAAAAATAGTCAATAAATAAGAAGCAAAACTACAGTTTTTATTTTATTCATGATTCCTACCTAACCAAGTTTTTCCTAATAGATATTCTTTAAAATCGCACCGAATAAAATGAATTTGTTGTAATATTAATTTACTTTATACAGAGTACACACTAAGTTCATAAGTTGACCTATGTTTCATTGAATATTAAACATAACCTCAAAAACATTTTAGTTTTCCTAATAATTTAAGTTCTCAGAAGTGTCCGTCAATAATCTTTGTTTTTACAGTCATTTAAGATTTCGAACCTAGAAAATAATATTTCATGATTGTTGGTTCTTAGGCTAACTATGTATGGACGCTGAACAATGTCCTTTGGTGACTCCTTGTCGTACTTTGGAAATTTGGAAATTCTTTGTCCCCGCACTATTTCTATGGTTATCGTTATCGCTTACGATATCATTTTTTTATTTCTGACCGCCTAAGGTTTTCGAATACCTCACACTCACTTTCTTTAATATTATTATTACAAATGCAAAAGAAAAAAAGAGCGCAAGGCATTTGAAAACCTTCGGCGGTCAGAAATAACAAAATGAAATCGTAAGCGACAGCGATAGCCATAGTAATCTCGTTAGGCGATTGCCACCTGGTGTAGCAGGTGTCTATGGGAGATGGTGATGTCTTACAATCTGGTGAGTCGTCTGCTCGTATGATTCCCATATAGTCTATAAAAATTAAGAGTTCTTTTTAAATTAGTGCTACGACGTGTACCTATGTACTTATTGGTGTCGATTCTGGCACGATTCTCTAAACCTCAAATTTGACAGCAGTATATCCTTGTCATTCTCTATACAGAATGAAAAGGAGAGACTGATGTTAAATTTAGTTTTAAGTTTAGAGAATCACGCCTGAATTGGCACCATTGTATCTTTTTTTAGATATGGGGTGGTGTTTTAAGCACCCTCCTGTCTCTGTACGCCATTCTGCAGTGGAGAGGTGTAATGAAAAGAGGAGGATTACATTTCTCGTTACTACCCATACTGTGTGGATACCTGTCAGATGCCTTGTATTTTGTGAGTATGTGAATCTCTAGTGATGACCCGCCCCGGCTTTTCTTTTTTATGTTAAAAGGATGGCAAACCAGCGTGTAGCTCAGGTAAGCGTCCACCATGGCCTATAGACGCTTGCGATATCAAAAATATTACAAAAAAAAATGTCTACCCGGGAATCTTTTTCACGGGTAAATTTTCAGTTAACGCGATAAACATAGCCTTTATCACTCAGGAATAAGAAGAAGCTTCATCATCATCAGCCTATTAATGTCGCTACTGCTGGGGCACAGGCCTTCCCCGTGGATGGAATAAGGAGTTTTGGGCCATGACCCACCACGCGGGCCCAGTGCGGATTGGCCGAGACCACCGTCTTAACGTGCCTTCCTAAGCACGGAGGAACTCGAGATAGAAGATTTTTGGTCAGCCATCCAATGACCGACCGCTGCGAAAGTTGCTTAACTTCAACGATCGCAGCCGAATGCGCTAAGCACCCGCGCCATCGAGCACCTCCAAGAAGAAGCTTGCTTTTGGTAAAATAATTATCAATTTTATTCAGTGTTGCTGAGAAGGCGGTGATCAGGCGATGATACTGAGAAATTAACAATTTAAGTTAAATCCTAATTCAGATTACAGTTAGGTGGGCAGAGATATTTCTCATGAAGTCGGTTTTGAGCATTTCGACCGCGGGCCCACTTACTAGAGCCTATTATTCTGTACTGGTAGAATATATTAACCTCATACTCACAGGGTAGCATTTTGACTACTATTAAGCTAATACTTAGCTTAAACTACAAATTGGAAGCAGTACAGAAAATTTTGAAGACGTAAGAACTGAGGGCCCTCCATTTGATTGGATTTTCCTTATTTGTAGTCACTCAACAGAGCTCAAAATTTCGGACGTAGTCCTATAAATTACTTTCTAAATATTACCATTATAATCAAAATGATTTGAATTGATCAGGTGTAATATGAAAATTGAGGCGATAAATCTGAGAGTCCACATTAGGTGAGTCGTACCGTTGGACTTACAACAACTACAAATTTATCTTTCTCGCTACAATTTTGAGGTCCTGATAAGTCTTTATTTATACGAAACCTACGTTTTCCACTGTGGCCCCTCGGAGGGCACACACACATTAGTATTAATGTGTCCACTAGGTAGGGGATAGAGTCAGAGTAGGAACGCAACGTGCGATGGTCTGGAAGTTGGATTACTGTTTCCGATCCTCTTGGTTTCAACCAAATACAAAATGTGTAATCAAGTACACCTCGTTGTACTTGTGGGAGTGATGTTTTGCACCACAAGGCACAATGGGGATGATGACAGAGTAAAGTAAACGAAATTCTATTTAGTCTGTTCGTTACGATTATAAAACATAATAGTCACCTTTTTTTTCTTTTGTCAATTATCCATAAAATCACAAAAATAAAGCGCGGCAAAGTTTGTAAGTGGGGGCTCGTGATGTCACTTTTGGACGTCGTGCAACATTTCAAAGCAATATATCTCTGTAATGTTTTGATTATGTGAAAAAAGAAAAAAAAAGTGTCCAATACTTTTTGATAATCCACACGATAGACAAAGAAAAAAAAATATCATTCCTATATTGCTGTTTGTTTTTATTAAATACACCAATAGATACCGTATTAACAACGCGGAAGCGGCAGAACAAATATCTACTAATACATATGGTAGATATGCTCGTCGCTACACACACACACACATTGACAGCTTTAGTACAATCTGACGTTAGACGACACAATGCACGAAACAAGCTGACTACGAAATGAACCGACCTTCCGAACCTTCCTTCTGGCGTAGTCGGGTAAAATAAATTAATCGTGCAAAATTATATCAAATTGTTTTAGTGATTGGGCGCCCATTCTTTGTGTCAATACCTTTGTTATTCAAATCCCAAAGATTATTTTATGAGAGATTAGAGTAAAAAAAGTTTTTCTTCTTGAAATATTCATAGGGCATTATCTCGTTCAGTCGGCAACTTAGCACAACGTCAATTGATTATGAATCTTAAATTTAGCAGGATAAAGCGACTAGTCAGATGGACAAAATTACAGTTCGGGATAACCGATTTGCTGGTAGACTGTACCTAGGTTTGGGAGTGAGACATTGTCGACTTTTAATGGAACTTTTAACACTTAATTCTCTTTTCAATCGTCCCGTTTCATCTTTTATTCATTGTCTTCTAATTTCTCTGGGGACATGAGAAATTGGATTATCTAGACCTGAAACAGAATTAAAGCGCAAAGGTTGACTGACCCGAGGTTATGTTTGTAAATGAGATTGAGAGATATTAATGGTCCATTTCGTGCAAAATTAATGCAAACTGTAATTGAAGTGATTGTGGTGGATAAAGCCATTGAAAAAGCGACAAATTACAATGTAATTTAAATATTTGTTAAGCTTTATTATATCATAGATTAATCTTATCAAAGGACAATGTTCAGCGTCCATACATAGTTAGCCTAAGAACCAACAATCATGAAATATTATTTTTTAGGTTTAAAATCGTAAGTAAATGACTGTAAAAACAAATATTATTGACGGACACTTCTGAGAACTTAAATTATTAGGAAATCTAAAATTTTTTTGAGGTTATGTTTAATATTCAATGAAACATAGGTCAACCTATGAATTTAGTATGAACTCAGTATGAAGTGAATTAATATAACAACTAATTCATTTTATTCGGTGCGATTTTAAAGAATAACTATTAGGAAAAACTTGGTTAGGTAGGAATCACGAATATAATAAAAAACAGTAGTTTTGCGTCTTTTTTATTGACTATTTTTCACATTTGTATCACATGTATATTGTGTAAATATGCAGCGTGAATGTGTATCAGGTGTTCTTGAATAATTTGGCAGTATGATCCTCTCAGGATGTTGTGGCACAGGTCACTAGCACTTGGTAATAAGGGCTCTGCTCTTTGGTAACATCGATGGCATATTAGATAGCCGAAATAGTTAAATTAAAGGCAAAACAATCGCAAATAAACACACACAGCAGGTAATCCGAAACGAGAATGTACTTTCCGGTATATTATACTACTCTTTGTAATGCACGAATGCCACAGATAGGTAACAAGTTTTATGCCGGCCCTTCACTGGACAACAGTTTGTCCTTGTCATGCTTAATAAGGAATGAAAAGGACAGACTGATGTCATGTTTTAAAATAGCAAATACGAATAGCCAAGTGAAGTGCCGGCATTAGGAAGAAAGAGTGTTTTGTTTGCAGCGCTGCCATAGATTATACACATAAAATGGTATTTGTTGTCTCAGATTATTTTTTAACTTTTTAATTTAGCTTACTTAACTGGAAGTGTCCGTCACAATCTAAATACTGATAATTATCGCAAAAAATATACTAACAATTATCATAAATGCCAAATTGGTGTTGGTTCTTAGGCCAATTTTAACATTGTCCTTTATAGTCTTTGTAAAATTAAAAATTAAATCTGTAACAAGCACAGAAATAAGTAAATTATATTTCTTTGGGACTCTGAATTGGGTATATGTTAGTTTGTATAGAGATAAATTTCGTAAATAAAAGAGGGATTTAAATACGATTTCATGTCATTATCTCTTGGGTGATTGGCGGACATATACTTGTATATACTAACGTGCGTGAACACTTACTAGTACCCTTAGCATGAACCAATATGAATTCGATCTCGTTTTCCAAGTTTTGTATGGAAATTTGAACAGTACCAGAACGGACGTAACGTTCCATACAAAACTTCTCGACATTAGACGCGTATCGAGATCGAATTCAACTGTTCGAATTCGATATTGGTTCCTGTTAAGGGCACAGTACTCCTGGCTACCCAGAACTATAACGAGCATGTAAAATTTCTTTTAATATTTTTATAAGCTGCATGGCGCTGCTTATGTAAATACAAATGTAGCTCAAAAAGACTCAATATGCTTAACAAAACAAATAGAGGTTTGAACAGTTAGTCTGTGGTGGTGGCCCGGGGATGGGTAGCGTATGGCAATGTGTGCGCATAAAGGCGTGCAAAGAGGAAGGGCATAGTGGATTTGCCGCTCAAATTGGAGCGCCCGTCTGGGGAAGTAACCCCTTACAGAAGATCACAGTATAATAACACTACCTATTGGTGGTGTTGTACCTGGAATCTCACCGACAGGGTGACTAAGATTCCAGGCTCTACGGGGTAGGGATTGGGTCAGGGCAGGCAACGGTACGAGTGATTCTTTTGGTGTCGCAAGCGTCTACAGGCTAAGGTGGCCACTTACCATCAGGCAGGCCATACGCTTTTTAGCCAACCTTTTAACATTAAAAGAAATGCTTCCTGTTCCATTCTGTTAATAGAAAGAAACAGCCAATGCAAGAGAAATTGCCATAACTGCTGAGACATCTTTTCATCAAGAAGTTGACAAAAATGTTATTGGTTTTTAAATCAAAAGAAATTTTTAGTTGAAAATAATCCACGCAGATCAGGCAGCAGACGGGACTCGAATCCGCACCTGCACTATCCGGGCGAATGCACTCACAATTATGCTAACGATAGCATAATTGTGAGTGCAAAATTTACTAGAAAAAAATGGATTTTTTTCTAGTAAATTTTGACGTGACAACGTCTTATAATTCGATGGAGCCGGCTGCACGCACGAAAAAACATGACTCATGCGACGTTACCTCGCTCTAAGGCATTCCATTTAAGGCTTGAAGTGCAACAAAGAGGCACAATCGGCCTCCGCGTTAGGTAGCGTTCGACATCGTTTTGTCACGAAGTGAACTATGTACATTGTAAAAAAACGTTGTCACGTACAGACAACCGATTTTTTTTCTTTAGTTTTGATCATCTAGCAGACATATGCTTTAAAAAAATATATGTTATTGGTGTATTCTGCAGTCGGTGTGGTTTTCCACATTGCACGCCTTGGCTGCGGAGGCGGGAACACTTGGACTAACATTACCGCTGTCCTATAATGAGGAACACTTCATCAAATCCTTTGTATATTCTGCATTCGTTTTAAAGGTACGCTATAATATTTCTATTATAATTATTATAATCTTATTTTAATAATTAAACTGTTGGATTAAGAGCCTGCCTCACAATCTATAAGTAAAATTCTAAGTAATATTACATCGAACAAAACAGTGCGTTCAGACTACGCTACGCTATATAGCATTAGCTGTTAACTCATAGCACGATTTCGTGCTTCATTCATTTCCATAGAACACGTTCACACCACGCTATACTATAAAATAATAATAATAAATATTTCCAACACACCAATTAGCCTAGCCCCAAAGTAAGCACTGTAGACTTGTGTTATGGCATACTAGGGTAATGGAAACAATACGTATACTGATACATATATAAGTATATTTATATAGAAATACATATTAAACATCCATGACTGTAGTGCAAATGCTCGTATTCATCATATAAACATCTGCCTCCGGGATTTGAACCCGAGATAGGCTATAAACCCAAATTAAATTTTACTATAAATATTTTTTACTCGGTCCAGGCTTGCAGCCTAAGAAAACTGGAAAATAAATTCGACAAGAACATAAAGAAGGTCTCAATAGCATAATTTATTAGTGCGTACGGCTGGAGATAACGGATGGTACAGTTTCGAGTCCTGTCTTAGCAGACCAGTGCATGTAACGCTGGGCCGAGTGGACTTTTTGTAGTAAAATTATTATTTAAATCTAATATAATTATCGGAACGTCATGGCAAACATTTTTAAAGTTATTGATCACTGGAGAATTAATTGTACCTATATTAATTCAAGCAAGAAATTGCTCGATTGCGAAATTTCAAGACAATTTTACTTTATTTTAATAATAAGAATTCTAGAAAAACAAAAAATAAGAATAAGTAACGTAAAAATAGTATTAAAGATATGCCTTCAAAGCTTCACAAACAGAGATTGAATTCTTATTTCTTTATAAAGAAAATGTTGCTCATGTATGTATATGTAAGTTGTTGTATTCATTGGAAATGTATTCGTTTCAGTCTGTGAATATAGCGTGGCTGAATTGGAAACAGTGTTTTTGTGACATATTTCTCTTGGATTGGAGCGAATTTAACCCTGTCTATAGAGGTATTATAATCGACTTTGAGAATTCGTTTTTAATGAAAATAAATTGCTGTCTTTTTTGTTTCTTTCTTATATTTCGACGAACGCCATTAATTTAATAAACATATAATGCTTTTTACATAATTAATTACTTGTTGCGTGAAATAAACACATATAGTAACATTAGCGCATTTAAATATTTTTTTAATTAAATTAATATTTCTTGATATTTAGATGTCTCTATTAATAATCATGATGAATGGAGAACCAGGACTTTGGCCAGAGAATGGAGCAGAGTGCAAACTTTGAGGAGAGCGCCTCCGAGTTACACTGTCATTTTAACGTTAGTAATTATAAATGTAAGTGCAACTACAATACTGTTTATATAAAACAAACTTGTAAGTAAGATAAGATTGTGGAGGAGCTCGATGGCGCGGGTGGTTAGCGCGCTCGGCTGCGAACGATGAATTCAAGCAACCTTCGCAGCGGTCGGTCATTGGATGGGAGACCAAAAATCTCTTATTTATCTCGGGTTCCTCCGTGCTTCGGAAGGCACATTAAGCCGTTGGTCCCGGTTGCATCTGCAGTCGTTAGCAATCGCCAATTCGCACTGGGTCCGCGTGGTTAGTCATGGACCAATCTCCCTATTCCATCCATAGGGAAGGCTTGTACCCCAGCAGTGGCGACTTTAATAGGCTGATGATGATGATGATGAAGTAAGATAGGTGATAATGATATAAACTTGTAAGTTGTAGCGATAGAGCTATCTGAAATACGAAAACTTGTTAAAGTGGAATATTATATATCGCTTTATCATATCCCGTTTCGGTGGTCATGCTAGAGGGGCAGGTGTAAGGGCCCGTGATATAATAAGCCCAAGCACTTAATTGTATATTAATGTATTATGTAGTATTATGTAGTATGTGGGACTTGTGGTGTGTTTCTGAGTGCACTGTTAGAAAGGAGGTAATGTAGAGCAATATAAAGAGCGCCGTACTTCCCAATAGTGACTACTGTACTAATTTAATGAGCTGATCACATTTAACAATACGATTGATTGAATGTAAGGTCAGTAATACTTTAATTGCTTGACAATAAATGTAAATACCTATACAACGGGAAAATTCATTTTCAATACGGTTCAGTACTTCCAGAGATTACCTACTCCCTAAAAACAAACTTTACCTCTTGATAATATAAGTAAGTAAAGATAGATATTTTATAAAAATCTATTCCACCTGACTAAATTCAGTCGTCCTAGTTAGGATCCTAAAAAGAAAGCTAATTAGAAGCTTCTGATTACACTTGACTAATTTAGTAACTGATTCAGTCAGTTGCAAGCGCGCGGCGAATTCAGTCGGACTTTTTCGTAATGGCTCCAGTCCTGTCAAAACAACAAAAATCTCATAACTTCTTTTTCTTTTGCCGCCGACATCGCGTAATTCGTAATAGTAGACTAAATAACGTCCTCACGCAGTGACGCCTGCGGTGCGACTGAAGCATCTAAACCCTATCACACGTTCCTAAATCGCTTTCTAATTAGGATATTTATTTATTTATTTTATTTTATTTTATTTTATTCGGAAAACGTACAGTGTTTTTTTTAACAGCAATTATAACTAAATGTAAATCTAGACACCATTAACACGTTTTCGCATATGACTAACAATACAAAGCTCGTCGCTGAAACCATACAAGCAGTGCCAAGTGAAAAATACAGGAAAGTAATAAGACTAGAGATAATTGAGATATAACAGCAAGCGACGCTTAAAGCATGCATTAATTAAGCTAGGCAGTTTGAGAATCAGCAAACCAAGAACTGACTAAGATATTTTTAAGTATTTGTGGTTTAGTTATAAATAAGTCAAGTTGGGGGAAACTTACTAATTTGTTAGTTTCTTTAGCAGATCTTACGAAAAAAGAGTTTTGTCTGTAATTAGTACCACATTGGGGAACATCTAAATGTACAAATCGCCTTACGGTTTTGTTAGGGATTTTTATACCTATTTTTGTTAGTGCGTCCGGCGAGTCAATGAGATATTGAGCGATTTTTGCCAGTAGAAATACATCTGCTATTTTTCTTCGCTCATTCAGGGGCAGGATGTGATGTCTACGACACCTTTCCTCGTAGCTAGAGTCATAAGTCCTACTTTTGTATTGTAAATACCTTAAGAATCTTCGCTGAACAGATTCAAGTCGGATAATGTGAGCGCTATAACAGGGGTTCCAAACTTGAGAACCGTACTCGAGGATACTTCGCACCAAAGAACAGTATAAAATTTTCACCACTTTAATGTTTCTGAATTCTGAACAAACTCTAATCACAAACCCCAAGGATTTTCTAGCCTTTTTAGTTATAAGGTCTATATGTTTCTCATATGTTAATTTCGAATCATGTAAAATACCCAGATCTCGAATCTCATCAACTTCCGCCAGTTCACTCCCTTTCAAAACATATTTATTGCGGAATGGCTTCCGTTTACGAGTGAAGGTTATGAGGTTACATTTAGATATGTTCAGATCTAATTTATTTAAAGAACAATATAACTCAAACCTATTTAAATCTTCCTGGAGTAACTGGCAGTCTTTTTGACAATCGATTCTTTTAAACACTTTCATGTCATCTGCGTATAATAGAAATTTTGAATTTTTGAAACAATAAAAAACATCGTTAATGAATATATTAAAAAGCAAAGGCCCAAGTAAAGATCCCTGGGGTACACCTGAGGGAACATGAGTCCAGGTAGAAGAGAAACCGTTCAGAACTGTCGCTTGGGAGCGATTTTTTATATATGATGTAAACCATCTAAAGAGGCTACCATGGATTCCTGCGAGAAGGAGCTTACGAAGCAGAATTAAGTGGTCAATCCGGTCAAACGCTTTGCTAAAGTCGGTGAAAATTGCGTCAACTTGCCCTCCAGAGTCCATGTTAGTAGTAGTAAAGTCTACGAATGAGAGAAGATTGGAAGTAGTAGAGCGCCTTTTTAAAAATCCGTGTTGCTCGTTGATAAACCCCGGCGACAAAGCATTATACACCTGATCATAAACTATTCGTTCTAAAATTTTGGAAAAAATACAAAGCTTCGATATGGGTCTGTAGTTCTTTACTTCATTTTTAGATCCACCTTTATGTATTGGAGTTATAAACGCGGATTTCCAAATGTGGGGTACAATCCCTTCTGAGATTGAACGTTTGAATAGAATAGCTAGTGGTTCCGTTAACTGATCAGCACATTTTACAATAAATGGTGGCACTATTCTATCCGGCCCTGCTCCTTTATGTAGATCAACGGATTTAAGTAATTTTAAGACTGATTCTGGATCAATCTGGACGCTACCAATATTATTAACAAAGTTTGAGTTATTAAAATCTGTTGAAGTAGAAGAAAACGGATTGTCGTATTGATTATCACTGGAGGACCGAGAAAGAAAAGTAGTTTGAAAGTATGACGAAAAGAGGTTGCAGATCCCCTCGCCAGTATTGGCTGACTTATCCCCATAGCATAATGATGACGGCACTGTATTAGAGCCACTATTCTTCGACCTTACAAACGACCAGAAGGTTTTTGGCTGCTTTATTATTAAATCCTCACAACGCCTGATGTAATCAAGATAGCAATTATGTTCAACTTTTTTGGCCCTTTCTCGAAGAAGATAATAAGTATCATAGTCATAATTATTACCGTATGTTTTATACTTTTGAAGATACTTATACTTTTCCCTAAGAATTTTTTTCAAAGGCGCATTGTACCAGGGTGGGTATGAAGTACTATCTAAAATGTACTTGTGTGGAACGTATTTATCTATAATATTATACAAGTGTTCATAAAATATAGTAGTAGCTTCCTCCACTGAATTGTTATATAAGTAATGTTGCCATTTTATATTTTTCAAGTGCGAATTTATTGAGGAATAATCTGCTCTGTCGTAATAATATTTCAGCCTAGTTTTCGATTTTAATGGGTTAGCCTGGGTTAAATTTAATATAATAGTTAGAGACTTATGATGGTTGTCTTCAGGTACTATGGGGTCGTTGCATGGCGTAACAGATACTTCCTTATTACATAACACGTAGTCTAATATTCTACTATTACAATTTCTGTTGGAATTAAATTGATTGATGTTACATTCACTAAGAATATCAAAAAAGTGTGTCTGTGCTTCACCCGTAATGCCTTCCGGCTGTAAAAGTTCCAACTCGCCACGCCAATCGACATTGCTAAGGTTAAAATCACCCATAATTAAAAATAGATCATTAGGACAGGATTCAAAAATACAAGAGAGCTTTTCAGTAAAATTTTGCAGTTGTGTATTGAAGGAATTACCTAAATTTTCTTTACAGAGATATATAGTACATATATGTAATTTTATCTTATCTGTGTTACGATTTTTACTATTCAGTGTAACAGTAACCCATAAATCTTCTGCGGAAGAACGCCATTCAGGGCGTTCTACGGCTGCCAAGGTACGACGAATAGCTAGGAGTACGCCACCTCCGTATTTTTCACGAGTTAGAGCGTAATTTCTGTCAATATTAAACGATTTAGTCAGTCAGAAGCCACACTTCTTCCGATTTAGGATGCTAATTAGGATCGATTTCCTAAAGGGTATTTCACTTAACTGAATTAGTTAATGAATGATTTAGAACGTCTGAATTAAATCAGGTGGAATACGAAAGGGTAGACCTGGGCCTCAGCAGTGATGATACCAACACCTAGGCAGATGATTAATCACAAAATGCATGTTTGTAGCTAACAAGTTATTGGTGGAGTTATGTACACCAAAGCGGTGGCTACAATTGGGCTGCGGCAGGCATTGCTTGGTGGGCGTCGTATGGAGTAATACTGGCCTTTCGCTGGGCCTTGGACCGGCTGGCGGGTTCTCCACTAGCGTCTATACCAATCATTTGTAGAGGAGTCGGATTGTCGTTATTGGTGTTCCAAGAAGAGCATTACGCGCATTACGTTCACGGAAGGTAAACACATTATTTGGACCTACGCCAAGTGACCTACGTTATTTTAGCATTTATTAAATATTCAAACACAGGAGGAGCTCGATGGCGCGGGTTGTTAGAGCGTTCGGCTGCGGCTTGTGCCCCAGCAGTGGGGACATTAATAGGCTGATGATGATGATGAAATTTTCAAATGTATGGATATGTCATTAATTAACGATGCAACACGAGATGAAGACGTAATGAACTGTCAAGTGTCCTCTAATTTTTAATTACAACGTGGCATTAATGTAGAGCATAATTAAAGAATTCGCTACGAAGCGTTTTCCACTTTGCTAAGGGCGCTTATTATAAACATAACATATAGTAATATTCCTGATTTTCATACCGGTGCGTGTGTGAAAGGGTTAGAAGCGGTTAGATAAAACTCGGATTGAGTAACTTGGCTGTAGTTTGGGAGTTTCGCATGGGCATAGACAATGAATTGCATAAAATAAGAGAGTTGTCAATTTCAAGAATGATATAAAATCAGCCAATGTATGCTTGATCGCTGCATACAAAGGTCCAGCGCTTGGTACCGGCAAGGTCTAGGATACCTATTGTAATTAATCCCTTAAAATTGTAAAAAATATGATTTGACAATACAAACATAATATTATGACACCTCCTCATCCTTATATTAATCATCTGGTAATTCAGTTTCATCATGAAACAATATCGAGAAACGCGGAAAAAAAATATTGCAAGCATAATTGCTTATTAAAACTTTTTTAATTTTCAATTTAACTTTTTAAAGGCACACTTTTCTAATTACGTTAACTTTGATGGGTCTTGTCGAACTTTTTGGACCTACCTGAAAAAGAAACTTTGCACCCATTTGTCTTCATACTGTTATACCAAGGAATGAATAAATTCAAATTACTTGGCATCGTTTTTTAACCTTCCAAGATTTTGTGTTTGTATTACCAACTTTTGGGTATTTATGGCTGAAAACAAACGGCCTTTGCGTAAGATTATGGGGCCTCGAAGATTTATGGACAAGCAGCGATTTAAACGGGTTAATAAATAACAATATAATGATACAGCAATAATAGGTACGTGCTTGTAGAAGAAGTAAATAAATAATTATTTCCAACACTTACACCAATTAGCCTAGCCCAAAGTCAGCACTATAAGGCTTGTGTTATGGGATGCTAGGGTAACGGATAGAATACACATACTGTACATATATAACTAACTATATTTATATAGAAATACATATTAAATATCTATGACTGGAGTACAAATGCACGTATTCATCACACAAACATCTGCCCCCACCGGGCTTCGAACCCGGGACCTCTCGAGTCGGCGACACCATGAAACTCGGTGTACAAACCACCCGGCCACGGGGGTCGTCATAATCGAAATTTAGAGTCGAAAACAAGTAGGTTACAAGTTCTAGCGTAGACATTTGTTTTAATTTTAAATTCAACACCGAGGTTCCCAAGTACCTACTTATTAATTGCTGTTATTGCTTGTTTAGCGTATATTATATATTTTTTTAATTAATGGTGTACATGTGCGTGCAGGTATAGATCGACTTGTGTATTACTAATAGGTTTACAATATATTTATTTATTTTGTTACAGAAGCGAAGATAATAAAGAAATGCGCATGATGTCGCGACCACTATCGATGTGTCGTATAGCGATGGCTCCACAATTAAGGTAAAATAACATAGATTATACTATTGAATTGACTTTGAAAATGGATGTTTTTCAAGGTTTTAACGACAATCGTGTGTTTTTGTGTAACTAGCTTTTGCACGCGACTCTGCACACGTGGAAATAGTAATTTGAGTAGCTTACTTTTTTATCCCATCTGATTTTTTACGGATTTGATTTGAGTCAAGTTTTTAGTTTGTAAGCAAAATCTTTGGGTATCTCAAAGAATAAGATAGATAAATATGATAATAGATCTTTCATAAAAAAAAATCCTCTTTTTTACTCTCATAGGGATAGATTTTCGAAAAACCCTGATGGTATTTTCACTAAAGAGTAGAGTTAATCGAAATGCGTGTTAAAATTCATCCATATAAAAACTTAGACGTCCTCCCGTTTCGGAATCTCAAAATGACAAACTATAATTTATTGTCATAAGTATTCATGCCAAGTTTCAAGTCTATTACCTTAATGAATATTTTATTTCATACGAACTTTCATGTCCTGTTTAACCTTTAAATCCTTCGGGGGAGAATTTTCAGAAATTCAGAAATCCTTTCTTAGAGCACTCCTAGACCTCATAAGGAATACATGCCAAATTTGGAGTCCCTAGATCCAGCGGTTTGAGCTGTGCGTTGATAAGTCAGTCAGTTTCTTCTTTTATATAATTAGGTTGGGGAAAAGTTTCTTCGCATGTAATATGAAAATTCAAATATTGTTTTAATTAAGTTTATTTACATTTAACTAAAGTATGTAGGTGCCATTATGCTCAATTATTTTTTGTCATCTTGTAGACATGATCCCATTTCTATAGAAATTTTGGGGCTTCTGATTAAAAAACCGCGACAAGTGATTTTGGCAGTCCTCTCCTGATGTTAACCTGACACTGCCTAAAGAATTCTGAAGAGACAGAAACAGTTAAAAATCTGAAGATGCAAGATCAGGACTATACGGCGGATGCATTAACACTTCCCAGACAAACTATCTTAATTTTTGCTGAGTGGCTAAAGATGTGTGAGGTCTAGCCTTATCATGATGAAAAACCACACCTGTTCTGTTGATTAATTACGGCCGCTTTCTCTCAACTTCATGCTTTAATCTCTTCAGTTGTTCGCAGTACAGTTCAGAATCGATAGTCCTGCCTGACGGTAACAGCTCATAATGAATAATGGCCCTTCCAATCCCACCATACACACAGCATCACCTTGTTGCGAGTTAACCAGCCTTTGCCTTTGACCACGACCTTTTTCGCACGTTCTTGTCGTACGTGATCTACATCACCAGTTATCAGCTTCTTCAAAAATTGGTCGGTTTCATTACGTCGTAATAAAGTATCACAAATGAGTACATGGTTCATTAGGTTACTTTCAGTGAGCTCGTGAGGCAACCAAATATCGAGGTGTTTAGTGGGTGAATAGTGTACCCAGCTTTTTTTAAATGCGCCAAAACTAGTTTGTGGTCAATTCCCAGTTCTTCAGCTACGTCGTAACTACTGACATGCCGATCTTGCTCCACTTTTTCAAAAATGGCATACATTTTTTTCGTTACTAGGCGACCAGAGCGACGTGCATTTTTGACATCAAAATTTCCGGATTGAAAACGCTTAAACTTAAATTGTGCTACTCTCACAGACACTGCACTAGGTCCATAAACATCATAAATTTTTTTCGCGACTTGCATTGCATTTTTTGTAGTAAAATTTAAACAAAATTAATCTGAATTTTGTTTATACATTTCATTAGATACACTCATCATGACAGTAAGCAAAACAAATGAAAATCACACATTTTTTCTAATTTTAATTTGGAATTATCTTCTTTAAGATTTAAAATTTTAATGATACCAAATCCAGCCATATACAAATGGTATAGCCTAAGATTTTATTACAAGTTCATACATCCTATAATGCGAAAAGACTAATTTTCCAACCTTTTATTTAGATAGAATGTGCTAAGTACACTTCTTTTGTTTATTCTACTCCTAAAATTCGCGTTTGTAAATCCACAACCTTATAGAGCTGGTTTTGCGTCTACTAAATAAAAGTTTCAATATCGAAACAGTAGAAAAATTACACTAAAAAGATAATTTGAAAATGGTGATCTTATAAATTATCTTTGTTATTTTCATTATAATTATATATTAATTATTTATGTCTACACAGGATAGTCTACAATCAACTATCGAGCTATACTTCAGGTAAGCTGAATTAGTATAAAAATTAGTTTGCCTTAGAATAATATATGAAACACCTTCTTCACTTTTCCGTCTTAGATGGTTTCGATCAAATATTGAAACATTGATTAAAATCATTATTGAGGAAGGTCTTCCTAGGAATCTGACATTGAACCTAGGATTTAGAAAAACGTAGAAAAAATCTAAACCAAGCTTTAAAGTGTAGGAGGCCAAAGGAAAGATCTTCTACCGAGCTGGGTGATATTAGCTCGGGAGCCGCGGCCCGACTGGTGCTGGTGTTAGTCGGGCATTACATATATTAAATGTTTGCCTCCGAATTTAGATCTTGCGCTTAAAGCATTATGCTCTATGATCTTGTACGATTTAGGCTTCCATACTAATTGAGCGAAGCGCCGGTAGCGCCATCTCTTGAAAAGACGAGTGACTTATTTCTTCCTTGTTGGTTATATGTAAAGCGTGTAGATGTCGCCGCCACGAAAGTGTTTTAGGGAAGCCGCACACGGGCCACCGGCCACAACCACAAAACGCCGCCACCGGCATATTTCCTGTAGTTTTCATACATTTTATATGGATTCGCCGCACACGATTAACGCCGGTGGTCGCCACACGCTACCAATCGTCGTTGCTCGCTTCTTGTGGCCCACACCGGCTACTAATGCGCAGATACAAAACGCCGCCACACACCACTCGCGCGATTGCCCACCTTCAAACCTTCTTCGTCAGAGACCATTATGATACTGCACACATATGTTAAAAAAAAGTAACAGCCATCGACGGCAAGTGTCAACCACCGGCCACAAGTGGCTGTCGCGCGCTTCAGCTACCTTTGTAGCCGCTTCTAGCTTCTTGTGGCGGCGTCTGTGGCTGTCGCGTGTGGTCTGTATGCGGCGACCCTTAGTGTCCATAATTTGGAATTTCCTGGCATGATGGACTCAGGTTCCTCAGGAAAGGAAAAATGGATTGATCATGGAAGGGATGATTTGATGGTTGAAATCAAACGTATTGCATAGTAGATGATATTTTTAAAACTTTATAAAACGATTCAGATTTAGTTTGATAACATATTTTAAGTGCTTTGATTCAATTTAAAAACTTCTCTGTTACCTATATATAGTCGGATAGCAAAAGTCAAATTCATCTTGCTATTATACATATTTTTAATTGGTCATGCATGCTTAAAATTTACTTATTACTTATTTAATCTATAAGTTTGTTATTGATGGTTTTTTTATATGTTATCAAAATTATCTTAAATTTATTAACATTAGTTGGCTCAAAGAAGAATTCGTATAAAATCTGTCACATTTATTCACACTGATTCATAATCTCATAAAATGGTTAATTACATTTTTTTATCATGCAGATGATTCGGAGGCTTTCGCAAAACGGGCTCTTCTTTCGAAACTCCTCGCTGCGTTCTTTGAAAGAGTAAGTTGATCAAGTTGTAAATATAAATTTAAAGTTACAATTACTACAAAAAAAATTATCACTTTTTGGCAACTTTACTAATATAATATATTAATAATTTTACTAGAAAAAATTCCACGCGGTCCCGTAAGCAGACAGGACTCGAACACTTATCAATACGATCGGATAGCGGAGGGTGCTGGTTCGAGTCCCGTCTGATACCCGGATTGCGTGGATATTTTCTAGTAAAAATTTTCTTTAGATTTAAGTCATCTAGAAATACCTAAATAATAAAAATATAATATTCTAATTTTCTTATGAAACCCCTATTGTACGCCCGACTTACTTTTTTTTGGTACAAAGCTTTTTCATTTATAGCTATTAATTTAGAGTATCGTTTTAAAATAAAAGTTTTAAATATATAAAAAAGGTGGCGCATTTATTAACTTGTATATTTAGTAATTTATGACAAAAATTAATGAATTTGGTAACCATCCCTAGGCACTGGACGGCCTCAACTGGGTGGCTAGCGAGCGCACTGTGCTGGAACGCCTACTGAACGTTGAACTGACTGAAAGGGAGTCGGGCACCACCAGCGTGTTGCTATACGACTCCTACGAAACTACTCCATCCTGCGTCGCTTTAACCTGGTAACTATACTACGGCTATTATTTATCCGACTAACATCAGTTGGGCCGCGGCCCCCGAGCTAACATCAAACAGCTCTAAGGAAGTTCTTCCCCTTTGGCCTTCCTACACTGGTGACTGAGCACAGCAGCAGCAAGCAACCTTCAACCATCGCAGCGCCAACCATCAATCATCATACCCCTTCCTCATAAGGTCAAGCATCAGTAAGCCACACAGCAAGCCAGCATCATCAGCCTCAAGGTTCCATCGCAATGTAGTGTATACCTATCGGAAACGTAATTAGGTCATGTCGAAATCCGCTATTTACATAGATTATTTTAGCAAGTAAGCAATATTATTAATTCAATTATTTTGTAATGTTTTATTTCACTCAATAAACGGACTTCAAACTATAAACTATGTTTCCTTAAATAACCAACGATAGGCTAATATTAGAGCAGCTCTCATCGACGCTTCCTGGACCTTCGGCAGCACTCGACGGCATCATCCCGACCTGGTTTTCGCAGCCCACGACCGGTACCTCTCTTGTCGGCCGCAAGCACACCGGCGTGGCAGCCTTGCACACCAGCAGCTTGGACCCACCGTCACACTCCACCCGTCTCGACTCACCGTAGACTGGAGCAACTCTGTAGCACTGGCGACGCGCCTTCACCCCATCCGTCTCGACTCACCGCAGACTGAGGCATCCTGCAGCACACTGGCACTTGCAAGCTCTCACGCACTGACTGCTGAAAAAAAAACGTGGTGATGTGGCGGCGACATCTACCTGCCCCACATATAATTAACATAGAGGAAATAGTCACTCGCCTCCTTAAGAGATGGCGCTACCGGCGCTGCGTTCACAACGTATGGAAGCCTACATCGCGCAAAAGAAATTCGGAGCCAAACACTCGATATATACGATGCCCGACTAACATCAGTTGGGCCGCGGTCCCCGAGCTAACATCAACCAGCTCGGAGGAAGATCTTCCCCTTTGGCTTCCTACAATCTTGATCGAACGGTCTGAAGCCAGGCGCGGTGTTAAAAGAGGTAGGCATAGCGGATTTCATGTTCAAGTTGGAACGTCTATATGAAATGAAATGAAATCACACTTTACAACTTTTGATAACAAATTATTTTGAGTGCCTAATTTTTCGTAACAAAGTTGCGTTAAATAATATGTACAATAATCATATATATGGATACAATTAACATATATATTAATAAAATATATATTCACTGTACAATGAAACTGTATTTTATTGATCGAAGCTTGTTTCAATATTTTATCCATTATAACAAATTCACAAAAGTTGCTTCACTCAAAATACTATATCTTACAAAATAAAAGTCTTTCAGCTTTCAAGTTTGTACACATGTCTTTCAAAGTCAAGGGATATATTACATATGATTTTAACTAAAAATCATGATTAAATACTAGTAGCGCCATCTATGTGTCAGCCCACGAACGTTCAGCCTAACGATTATACTAGCGACCCGCTCTCGTTTTGCTTCGGTGTGGACTATAGTTTTGCTCTTGAACTCATCTATCTACTATATAAAAATAAGTCGGGTTTTCCTTCCTGACGCTATAACTCTAGAACGCACGAACCGATTTCCACGGTTTTGCATTCGTTGGAAAGGTCTCGGGCTCCGTGAGGTTTATAGCAAAAAAAAATTCAGGAAAAATTAAAAAAAAAAATCTTCTTTTAATCACCAAACGAAATGTTACATAAAACGAAGCCATCTGGTGGCGAAACGGAGTTCGCCGGGTTTGCTAGTCTATATATATAATAGAATGGTAGGAAAGTCAAAACTGTAAATTGTTTTTTGTTTAAAGAATACTTGGGGTGTGAGCTACAATCGATACCGAAGCTAAAAATATAGTTTTTAGAATTGTTGTCTGTTTTTCTGTTTGTCTATATGTATGTCCGGGATAAACTCAAAAGTACTGCATGGATTTACTTCAAATTTGGCACGAATATTATTAAAAAGTGGGGTCAACATATAGGCTACACATTATCACGCTATCACCTACGGGGAACCTTTATTTCTAACTAACCCACGCGTACGAAGTCACGGGCGGCCGCTAGTTACCCATAAACCTTCATCTTGAATCACTCTATCTACTGCTGAAAACTGCATTAAAATCCGTTGCCTAGTTTAAAAATCTAAGCGTAAAGACTGCAGGAGCGACTTTATTTTATACTTCAGTAAGTAGTTCTGAAAATAACTTTTTGAGGAAACAATGAAATAGAAAGAAATTCTGAAATTAACTTCCTATTATAACTAAAAAAGTATTGAAGTTGTTTAATTAAAAGTAATTATCAGAAGTTTTTATTAAAACAATATCGAAAGTACCTATTAGTAAAGTATTAATTTCGTCAACGTCCGCTGCGTAAGGACAGAAAAAAGAGAATATAGAAAGTAAACTCATACACTTATACTTCACTCATATATACTTATCTACGCTCGGCGGTCGCGCTATGATCATCAACATTGATATATAGCCTAGGACACACACACATAACTTTGCTTTCTTTTGATAAACAATTTGCAAAATCGGTTCATTAGATCCAGAGACCCCTCCCCCGCCCCTACAACGTCACCAACTTTACCTCTCTAAATTATATAGGTACTTTTAATAAATTATATTTAGATACAGTGTTTCTTTTTCAAGGTGGGGCGAAGAATGGAGCTTGGGTACATTGGACGCAATGATATTCGGCTTGGTAGTGCTTATAACTGACGAACCATTGCTGGCAGCCCTAACAACAATCGTATTATGGCAGGTAAATATATCATAGGAATTACAGAGACTACTGTAAATTCATACAATCCGTTAATTTATTACTCGATTGTTTGCTTTAGGAATGAAATTATAAATAATAATAAATATTTCCAACACTCACCCCAATTAGCCTGCCCCAAAGTAAGCAATGTAAGGCTTGTGTTATGGGATGCTAGGGTAGAATACATATACTGTACATATATAAGTATATTTATATAGAAAATACATATTAAACATCCATGACTGGAGTACAAATGCTCGTTTTCATCACACAAACATCTGCCCCCACCGGGACCTCTCGAGTTGGCGACACCATGAAACCCGGCGTACAAACCACTCGGCCACGAAGGTCGTCAAATTCTATATTATATTAATCGATTTATCAAAAATTAATCTGTCTCAACGGCCACATTAGTGTTTGTGTTAATTTGAAATTCTATATAATGTCTCACAACATGTGAGTTATAAAAGTAGGTATATTATTATGTAATATAACTATATACTTAAGTATAAGATACTTTGATTATTTGTGAAAAAAAAAATCTTATCGTTATTTTCAGTTCATTGTATCATTACATACATTGGTTGACTTTAGTATTATTTTTCTCATTACAGGTTATGCAAAACCTTAGGCACACATTCGGTCAAAGGAATCAAATGAAGAAAACTAACATAATCATCTAAAATCTTTCACGAAATTTGGTTTTTAAAAATAAAACAGAAAAAGCTTAGTTATTGAAAGTTAAAAAACATTAAAAATATCAAGTAATGCATGGAATATTCTTTATTGCATTTGTGGTAACCACATCATTGTCTACGAGCGTATCTGGAGAAGAAGAAAACAATAAAAATGAAGTGTTTGGTTCAACTTTAATCGGGAGACCACAAAAGAGGTGCAATCAAAATAGTGAGGTGATTTTAGACCATGACTCGCGGAGCTGCGCCAGTGATTCTAAAGAAATAACCACAAAGAGAGGACTCGCATATACAGCAAAAATAAGAACCACTACAAAGAAGAAAGTTATTCCTCGCGGACCATTTTATGACTATCTAATTCACATTTGTGATGCCCTACTGAATCATTTCAAAGCTAACCGAATTCATAAATATTTCAACATCCTAGGAAAATCTCTCGATGGACTGGGCTCGGGGTTTTTCATGAAAATGGAAATTGATCGTTTTGTGAGATTGATAAAGAAAAGGTCAGTTTACTCGGCGAAGAAACTAAAGCAGTATGTGATTAATTTCGTCAATATAATATCCAGCGGGAGGCCAATGATGAATGAATTCTTTTACGCGATGAATTCAATTTTTACTATTTACGATGACAACAAAATGGACGATTACATTTATCTTCTAAGAAAATACGGAAAAAAGGAAATAGATATCATAGGTGACAGAACTCGGTGGATGTTCAAAGAATTCATTTTCGGCAAGTTTCAGAAACAAAAATACGAAATTACAAGTGATATAAAACTTAAATTAAAATTGGCCAACATAGAATATGAGAAAACACGCAACATTAATCGGTAATAAAAATACCATTTTTACCACACCGTGAAATTATTATTACTACGCAACGAAATGTTTTTTTTTCAATATAACTTCTAACCTTACTTTTGAAAGTATGTGTGTAAAGTCCTATTTTATTTTTTTATTTTGCACTGGGGCTTATATCAGGACAGCATTTGCCGTACATTTTGAAGGTGTGGTTGAATCGAGACACCCATTGGCTTTCGGGGATAAACTATCAATACACAGAGACGGTTTGAGATCTCATAAAATATTCGAGAATTTCTTGCGAAGTCTCTTGACGTTGCTATCGACAGGTTTTTCAAAGAAAAAGTTATCGAACTATTGCAGACTTTTGAGACATGAAGTTGATGAATTAGGTTTCAAATATACAAATAATTTGGCAAAACATCTGAAAGACTTATCGCGAATGGACCGCGACGACCTCCAATCAGAACTGGCTTCTTACGTGGAGGAAATTGACAAACCGCTTACTTTTCGGAGACAATTTTTAGACGCAATGAATCAAGTTTTCACTTTACAGCAGGATGTTATTTTCAAAGACTACATTTTGGACGTAAGAGATTATGGAAATGAGGACATATTATTTGTGCACGAGGAAACTCGAAAAGTTCTCAAAACGATTGTCGCTAGTGTTATGGAGATCAGTGCAAGAGACCGAAAGGAATTGGAATTAAAAATGAAGAAGGCAATCAAAGAATATAATAAATTGCAAAAACATGTTTTTTTCTAAATTTGATTACTTTAGTTTTTCTTTGTTTCGTGTTTTATCTTAACCCCTTTTTCCCCGACTGATTACTTATATTGCCTTTAAAGTGCAAATATAAAATAAAATTTGAAAGGATAGTGATTTAAAAATATTGTTGGTTTCATTCATTTACTAACCAATCTTTGCTTGGGTGAACTTTATTTAAACGCCTTAAAATATAGCCTATCCTATGTCACTCTGTGCTAATAAAGCTTTCCAATGGGGAAAGAATTTTGTGAAATCGGTTCAGTATTTTTATGTTTATTCGTTAAAAACAAACAAATATTCATCTTTTTATTCATATGTATAAGTATAGACTACCTCGTGCAATTAAGTTTAGTCTGCAAGGCTGATCACTGTATAAAAAATGCCGCACCAGAAATCATGGAGCATACGTGAGGAATTTTATTTGCATTAATATTCTAGAAAGAGTGCAATTCGTAAGGTTGTACCATGAATATTTATGCCAACATAATACATTGCTAAATGATAAGTCACATGTGTACAGTCCGGTACACAGTACCATTAACTTTTTAACTTAAATAATTAGTAACATGAGTGATGAGTGCAGTCCGGGAGATTGTACCATTAATCATTTGCTTTTTTAACTCAAATGATAAATAATATCATGAGTGCAGTCCGGGAGACTGTAACGTTATTTTTTTTTATTTTTGGACTTATATAATAAATAACATGACGGCCGGCAGTTCAAAGGATTGCACCGTTGACTCTTGGCTTACTTTGCCCATATATATATTTTATGAAATGCTGTGGTCTGTGGAAGCAAAAAACCCCGCCTGATAATAATAATTCGTACCCCGAGATAGGTAGCCCCGGAGGTGACTGCAACTGTGCGGGCCGCACTTCTATCTATTCCCACTCCTGCACCTCTGGAGTTGACTCCGCAGCAGCCACTACCAGTTATTGACGTCGCGGCGCCACTGCCGCCGGTCGAGTCCGCATTGGCTCCCGGTATTCTCCTCTGCTTGCTAGGAAAACCGCCCACAACCATTGAGCTTAGAGCGTATAGCAGTGGTATATGCTCTAAGCCATTGAGAGGTTTGGCCCGTGTGTTCATATGAATATAACGTTATACATTTCCAAAAATAAATTAAAAAATACTTCGAATAACGAAATAACAAATGAAATATCTTGAAAAGGGCTAATATTTTGATTGAAAAGCAAAATAAATTGTCAACTGTTATTTCGTACGTGGCTTCAACAATGTCAACCTTACTAGGTTCTGGCCATAATGAGAATAAAACTCAGTAATTAAATCATTAGGTAAGTAACACAGGAAGATTATTGTATTATTTATACTTTACTGAGACACAGCCTAGAATAAATTTTATATTTGGAAGTGAACTACAATAGTACCTATTTAAATTTAAAATAGGTTATTTCTCAAACTGGTGCAGAGTTATGACATGGTGATGACCTGCAATATCAACCAAGTCAAAACGCTACCAAAACACAAGTTTGTAGAATCGTCAATTCGACTCCAGAAGCTTTATACTAGAGGGGCCCACCATCTATGCTGGCACTGCCGGCACCTCAGTGCATGCAGCCGAGGCCCGGCCGCATCAATACCACGTAACCCACCAGCACCGCCAGTGCTTCCAGCCCGCTCCTCGCGCTATTAGCCGCCTCCGACTCCTCCCACACAAGCCACAAACACCAACACTAGACAGCTAGCAAACTTGCACACTAGTTTAGCATTAGGCAGACACCGCACTCATACACACGACACGCTATACCAGGTATAGATACGTATCTGTGCGTTTTTCCCTGACCCCCACGACAACGGCTAACTAGAGCCGAGGTACAAGTCTCAGAGACGCCCTCTAGTTGAGCCGACCCCCTCAGGTTCGAGTGGACTAGTCTAGAGGCTCCAGACGCAGAGGAGACTCCTCCCATGGGGAGATGCCATCCGCCTGGAATACCTCTAGCGGCACTTGCCTTGAGGTCTCATTAGGATCTCGCCGTCCCCAAACCCGGTGACGCTGTAAAGGTCATCTGCGACCAACAGCATACCCACTCAAAAGAAAAGCGCCGCTAGAACCGGAAGCCGTTACCAACATCAGGAGCAGTGGGAATACACAGGCTGGTAGATAACATTCTTTCAATATAATAAATGGCGTAAATTTACTTATGATGAATCATGTTTAATATCAGTCGAACGTCACTTACAGGTAAGTTCGTTTGACTCTAAATTTTATGTGTAAGCCATTATCGCTAAATTAGTGAATCGAAAATAAAATAATATTTGATATTCATTTCCAACAGGCGCATTTTTTTTTATAGATAGGTCCGACAAATGACTCCACCCCACCTGATGTTAAGTGAAGGTGAAGTCCAGACGTGAAGATAGCTAATACACCAGTTTTACCTGCCACACCAGCCATGCTCACCCTGCCGGCCTGCATGTTGCTTCTTCACGCCTCTTTTAAAGGATCCCAGGTTGTAAGAGCGGGCAGAGCATTCCATTTACTGATAGTGCGACAAAGAAATGAGTCACCAAATTTCTTTGTACGCGTTGGAATTGTGGCCACAGTTAGACGGTGACAACGTAGGCCAGCGCGCGTGGTCCTCTGAAGGAAAGGAGAAGGTGGGATAAGAGAGAATAACTGCTCAGAACACTCGCCGTGGTATAGACGATAGAACGCGCTTAGTGACGCCGCGTCACGGCGTAATTGAAGAGGCTCAAGATGTTTAGTCGCCTCCTCATCGCCTATGATGAGGATCGCGCGCCGCTGTAACCTATCCAAAGCATCGAGCAAGTACTTGGCGGAGCCATCCCAGAGTTGCGAGCAATATTCCACGCAGGACCGCACTTGCGTTTTGTACAACAAGCACAGTTGATCGGGCGTGAAAAAACGCCGCACCTTGTTTAGGACTCCGAGTTTGCGTGAAGCTGTTTTGATGACGGTTTCGATGTAGTTCTTTGGATTCAGGTCTGAGCGAACTTCCATACCGAGCATGGAAATGTTGCTCTGTAGCGGTAGTGTTGTGCCCTGAAGAGAGGGAAGAGGAAGGAATGGCGATGTTTTTGCCGTGAAAGCGCAAGCCTGAGTTTTCTTGGCATTGAACTCAACCAAGTTCCTGGTGCCCCATTCGGAGATGTGGTCCAAAGCCTGATTGAGTTCAATGACAAGATTCTCCCGTTTCTCCTTGGTTACCGCCTGCCCAGCCACTGCTTGTCCGAGATACCCCGCATGCACTGTACTGTCGTCTGCATAGCAATGAATATTCCCAAGAGGAATTAAATCATTGATATGCAGCAGAAAGAGAGTGGGGGATAGGACGGAACCCTGGGGAACGCCGGCATTCACTGACATGAACCGCGAACTGCTACCATCCGTAAGGACACGAATTCTACGCTCATGCAGGGAGTCAGCTACCCAAGAACAGAACTGGGCTGGCAGACCGTATGCCGGAAGCTTGGAGAGAAGGCTTTTGTGCCATACCCTGTCGAACGCCTTGGCAATGTCAAGGCTGATAGCCAACGACTCGCCACGCTTGTCGATAGCCTCACCCCAGATATGAGTTAAGTACGCTAGAAGATCACCCGTCGATCGTTTCGGTCTAAAACCATATTGACGATCATTAATCAGGGAATGATCCCCTAGGTAGCGGGTCAGATGGTTATTAAGGACCTTTTCTAAAACTTTACATAAAACTGAGATGACTGCTATTGACCGGTAGTTTGCCGGGTGCGAGCGATCCCCTTTTTTGGGCACTGGTTGCACATTAGTATCTCTCCAAGTCTCCGGCACACGCCCCAAAGAATACGAGCATTGGTACAAGCGCGTGAGCACGGCAGACAACTCCGCTGCACATTTTTTAAGTACTACTGCTGGGATGCCATCAGGTCCACTAGCTTTCCGGACGTCGAGTGATTGCAATTCGGCACGAACCTCGCGCTGCCTGATTTTAATATCAGGCATCGTTGTGCCACAGTGAGGTAATGATGGTGGCAGTGCATTGCAATCATCGATTCGGGAGTTAGCCGCAAAGAGTTTTGCCAGTAAATCGGCTTTCTCCTGCGGCTTATGAGCTAGTGTTCCGTCTGGGCATCTCAGAGGTGGCAGCGAGGGCTGGCAGAAGTTTTTTTGCACGGCCTTGGCCAAACGCCAGTAGCTACGGGAGCCCGTAGGATGCGTCATAAGTTCCTGGCCAACACGTGCAACGCGCTGGGCATCCGCTCTGATGTAAGCCTTCTTACAGGCCTTGGAAGCAAAATTGTAGGCTGCTTTGAGTGAATCGACCTCGGGATCCTTGAGAGCGCGGCCTCTGATCCAAGCACGATATGCCGCTTGCTTACGAGAAGCAGCTTCAGCACAGTCGTGATTGAACCAGAGGTTACGTGTGCCCTTACTGATGAGATCAGAATGTGGAATATAGTATTCCTTACCCATTATAATCTCCTCCGTAATGGCAACGGCACTGGCCAATAGGTCCCTGTCACTGAAGCAGCGGTGCTTCCAAATGACGGACGCCAAGTAGTCACGCATACCGTCCCAATCTGCCGACCCATAATGCCAGATACGGCGCTTGACCACTGCCGGACGGAAGGGCCCCCGCGCCCCCCCGGAAGTGGCCGCCGGGACCCCACGCCCCGGTCACCAACCGGCACGAACGGTTCACCCCGAGATTATGCGTGACATGATGGGGCAGCCTCGCGAACTGGTTAGGAACGCTCGGGCCCCTGTACTGTGCCACGGGCGGTCAGCGGGACAGCCGTTTCTACGGGTCTCCCTGGCCGGCGGGTCGATGCAGTCCTCCCGGCATCGGTTCGACGGATGCCTCGCCCTGGACCGAATCCGTCGCGACAACCTCCACTCGAGCCCTGGTTGTACGCTGGCTGACCCCGAAACGCGTGAGAAGCACTTCACGGGTTTTTCACCATGCGCACGGTGGTAACAAACCAGGCGGGTGTTAGGCACCCTACCACCAGCAGAGAGGATGGAAACTACGATATCCCTTAGTCGCCTCTTACGACACCCACGGGAAGAGAAGGGGCGGTGAGTTGTATTTTTTCTCCGTCACCGCACGGATTAACATTTTGTATTAACTAATTATTTTTTTATCAAAAAAAAATACTTTTATCGCTTCTGACATTTAAAGACGATAAACTTTGCCTTTTACACTATGCTATGTCATTTGGACAAATATTTAAAAAGTAACCACGTTGACAAAGTGTTTGCGCGGTGTACTATGCAGCAGATAACTGCGAGAGTGGACATTTTGATGAATTTTGGTATTTTCAATTACAACGTAGTTATGAGAGTTAGGAAAGGGAGTAGGCTACTCGAAGTATCTAATCCTATACGAAGTTACGGGCAGCAGCTAGTACTTACTTATAATAAAAAAAATGTAATAACGGTATTAAAGATGCATTTGTTTATTTATTTATGACGTTTCGCATCCTTTTCAGGCTGCGTCGTCAGAATTATACCTATGAATTTTAAATAAATAAATCAGTGCATCTATACCGTTGAAACTTGTTTAATTTGATGACTAGTGTCAGTGAAAACCTAAGAAACAAAAATGTAATAACGTTCCTCCTTATAGATGAAAAACAATTATGATAAGTGATAGTTATGTATTTACAAATTTAATGAAAAACTAAGAATTTTACAGTACTATAGAAAATTCGACACAGCCATCAGGCCCACGGTAGCATAATGTGCATTCTCTGTGCAACTTTTCTCATGGAATTCATTAAAAAGTGACTAAGACGGTCTCTATGTGTTGGTGATATAACACTAAAGCGCCTATACAATCATCACACGACCCTCAGATTGCTGAACAAAAGGTTCCGTAATCTGAGACGCAACCACTCTTTTCCTCAAAGAAGTCTTATATATATCTAATTATATTAAAGGTATAGTCTATTAGTTCTTAAAAACATAAATAAAACAACGAGTTATGGCTGCGATCAACGAATGAAAATAATTTTATTGAAACAAAAAAGTGACACTACATATTAGTTAGTACAACTATTACAAGATGGCGCTATTAGTATCTAAATTTTGAATCTTGCAAAAAATATTGGTCTACTTCAATCCACTGCATTTTTATTACTTAAGGCACCTTCCGGTCGGTGTGGGTTGGTTTAGTTTACAGTCTTTACCACTGCTTGACCGGCTTGATTTCGGTGCAGCATCATTTTGTATTCGGGAGTGACAGGACAGTCGAGTTGAATGGTTCGGTAGCACTCGGTACAGGGAGCTGTGTATGAGTACGGCCACAGTGCACGCAGGTTCAGAATCAGATTCAGACTCAGAAAACAAGCGCGAGAAATAAACAATTTAAGCAGGGTGGCCATAGTGGCAGCAGGCAACCTGCTTAAACTACACTGTATATTTCTCGCGCTTGTTTTCAGAGTCTGAATCTGCGTGTACTGTGGCCGTACCCTATCGCTCGGTAAAGAATCACACATACAGTATAGATTCGGTACAAAAACGAAAACGAAACGAGCCTGCACCGACCCGGTGAGGAAGGTGCAAGTCATTAGTTGTAGTCTTGGTAATATTTAATGATTATGTATTACCGAAGAGCAAAACATTCTTCTCGATTCTGGTATGATTCTTTAAATTTAAAACTAATTTTAACATCAGTCTCTCCTTTTAATTCTGTATAAGAATGACAATGATACACCTCGTCAAATTTAAGTTTAAGTTTAGAGAATCATGCCAGAATCGACACCATTATAATGATATATGCAATGATATTTTATTTGTAGATAAGTTACGTTCATAGCAATTGCGTTTAGAGTCTGTTACGAATTTTATAACAAAAAATCTATCATTTTAATACATAGGTAAACTAACAATTTATTGAAATGGTTTGTTTTATTTAGGTTTACTTGTGAGCATGTGAACCTCGGGCCCACACTTAAATTTTTATAGAGACGAGAAGACCACTTCTCTAGCGTTCCCACCCAACTACTATGAGTCAGTATTTCCCTTTCATTTACTTATGGTTTGTTATTCATTAATATGTTTGTCATGGTTTACATCTAAAAACCGATACTACTACCGAAAGTTGTCGAGAACGAACTTACAGATCATAGAGCACAAATATTTACAATGGCAATACCTTTGACATCGATGAACAAATGAAATACGGCAACGTCACGCACATACAAAGTGGTTGTCTGAGAAGTGATTGTTCATTCGGCATCTCATAATTTTTTTTATTCACAAATTATTACTAGAATTTTTAAGTAGAAATGGCAGATAACAAGAGGTAAGTTTATATTATTTAATTGTTTTGATTTAAAGTCATAAATATTCTTGAAACTCGGGCTTTGCTTCAACTAAATACACTTGTAAACTTACAATAGAAAATTGGCTTGTCATCATTTGGCATGTCTGGGTTGCTGAAACTGAGGAACTTTGCTGAGTTTTCTCTCAAATTACTGAGAGAATATTTGCATTTTATTCACGGATTAAACGAATTCACGGTACTACGAATGCTCATTGTAAATAAGTAAATTGTTGATGCCAATAGTGACGAAATATCTGCGTTTTGTGTAGCCCTGATGATCTCTCCACCGCGATCCTCCGCCGCAAGGACAGGCCGAATAGGCTTATCGTAGAGGAAGCTGTCAGCGATGATAACTCCGTAGTCGCATTATCACAGGTGAGGCCATTACTCCCATTTCATCTGTATCTGCAGCCTATTGGCTTCAGTGCAAAAGCCGCGAAATACAAATGATGATTGCTTTGTTCATATAAAAAAGTGCACTTTGCATAATTATATTATAAAAGTCAAATATAATTTGAAGCGTTCAATAAAACAAAGAACAAAATCAGAGACAAAAATAGAAATTTTAGCTGGTCATTCTAACCTATAAAATCAAGTTTGTTGGTCTATAACATTTACAGTCTCCACAATACAGGCTGCTATTTGATTTTGCTCAATAACAAATTTAAAGTACAGAAAAGTGCATATGCTATAGGAAATTATACTTATTAATTTAAAATAATGCCTAGGAAGGTGTAAGTAATTCCAAATGAATAACATAACAAGTAATAAATTTTCTTTATATTAGTTAGCATTATTTGGTACTCAAAATGCTCTAGTCACCTATGTAAGGTCATGCTTTCAGAAAATATTGTAGGCCAGGGACAGATAACAAAATAAACTCAACTAAATGCTAAAGATGGTATTGATAAGGCATTGCTAGGGATGTAGTTTTTGAATCAATCAATGCTGTCTGTATCATGTAATTGCTCTTCTGATACACTGTTGATTTTCAAGAGTATATTTTTTGCCTTCAAAAGTGTAAACAAATTTGAGTACTATTATTATTTATAAAGAAACTTTATTCCAAATATATATACATACAGACCCATCTTTCCCAGTGGGCACTTTGGGCAAGTGCCCAGGGCCCCACCATCAATAGGGGGCCCCCTCAGATCAAATACAAAGTCCCTAGTTCCTGTTAAATCACCAAACGGAAGTCATAGGGGCCCCATTATCGTAATATGCCCAGGGCCTCCAATAGGTCAAAGATGGCACTGTATACATATGGTAGCCTCATCATATGCTAAGCTTTACAAATAAAAATACATATATTGTATTAAAACCATATCTAAACATTCATTGTTGCATAAAAATATTATGAGATCTGTAATTATTACCATTCTGCCAATATTGTTTTAAACTTCCCTTAATTTAACAATATGTTTTTGAAACAATCCATATATTACATTGCTATAGTTCTTTGAACAAGAGTGAGTTACTTGTGTACATTGTCTTGCAATTACACAACAGATGAAAAGAAAAGGGGGAAATCCCCTTTATTCCACATTATTGTGTTTGTGCATAGCATTGAATTTGTAAAATATATATCAATAGTGATTGAATTAAAGCTTGGCTTGGTTTCTCACTATGGGATATACTATGATAAATATTACATCTCAAGATATTATATATATTATATTTTTGGCAGTGAATGTCGAGCTTTGATAGCTGCCAGCAGTGTTACTTTGTTTTCTCATTCTTCTGGTTTCATGCAGTTTTATTTTACTATGAACATAAACCAAAACATATGTTATAGTTTGTAGTGAAATAATTTTTGGGTTGGCTATGTCTATAAAAAACTAACCTCCATTTTTTATAAAAGTTCTTTAGTAACATATTGATCTTAGTAGATGTATTGAGAAGTGTAGCACTATTTCATAAATATAATTTAAACTATCAGAAAAACAGAAAAGAAACATCTATTTTTAAATGACATTCAACCTCAACTTTGCACATAAGCATTTTTTCACCTTCAGAATTTGACACTTTTATTTTTTCCTTCACAAATTAACACAGATTATGAAATAAAACACTGTTTCAAAGGGTTTAAGATCTGTTTTTAATACTTTTATACATATCTTATACATTATTTATTAGGTTTAGCACTGATGGACAGAATTCACAAAAACTTCACAAGACATATACAGGGCAGCCCAGAAACAAATTCATTCAATACTAACCAAACACATTTAATTTTTTTTTAAGAGTTTTATTTTAAAATCATGTGGATATCTTAAAAGCAAGGAATAATCCAATAGTACATGCCTTGGTAGACATTTAATTTTTAAAGGAAAATATTTTAGTGATACATGATTTTTGTATAACTTTTACCATTTACACTGAGCATGCAACATAACTCAAAAAGAAATATTTTTCCCATTTCTGCAACATATTTTATAGATGCATATAATATCAGGACAGGACTTCAATTATTTTTAGCATGATGTATATAGCCAAAAATCTTGTCCGATAAATGGAATACAAACCAGTAGTTTCTGAGATTAGCGCATTGAATCACGCACAAACTCTTAAACTTTATAATATTAATATTTATTCCTTTGACATCTTTAATCCACATCCTAGTTCTTTCTGTAAAACAAATCACTGTATAAATATAGTATGTTAAAACTTTTTGTCACACTGTCAAACACTTTTCAACAGGCCAAAATGGAGCAGTTACAACTATTCAGAGGTGACACAGTTCTTCTAAAGGGTAAACGCCGTAAGGAGACAGTATGCATCGTGCTTTCAGACGATAACTGCCCCGATGAGAAGATCCGCATGAACCGCGTCGTGCGAAACAACTTGCGTGTACGCCTGTCAGACATAGTCTCCATAGCGCCTTGTCCATCGGTCAAATATGGGAAACGGGTACATATATTGCCCATTGATGATTCTGTCGAGGGTTTGACTGGGTAAGGACATTACTATGTGCATATTTTTTAATCTTTTAAGCCAGTTTCCTTATTGATTTTTTGAAGACTCGAATTGTCGCTATTGTAGCTTTGAATCATGGAAAGTTATGTATTATATCATGTTTATGGTATTATGACAATTTTTATATTTGAATATCAAATTATTTTGGAGATATTCAAAAATTCAACTGTATTTTCTACTATAAAGTTGAACACTACAAAGGTATTAATATAAAATTAGCAAACCAGTGAACCAAATGTTCACCAAAACCGGATTTAAAAAAAAAATGTATTTAATTAATTGAGAACTTCGGAGATTTTGTGTGGTTTCGTTTGAAATTCGTGATTTCTCGAAAACCGGAAGTGCTACGTTACTCAAATCCGGTTTGTAGTCTTATCAGAGTATTCTTAACTTAAATATTCTCTTTATCTATCTCTTACGGTTTGGCCGCTGAAACAGCACCACAGACAGACAGACGGACGGACTTGTCTAATAGATAAGAGATTGAATGAGAAATTGTTATGAAATCTAAATGATTTTCTAAAATAGAAGTTTTCCAAGTCCCATATAATAAAAAAACCAAGACTTAAATTTGATTTAAAAACTGATGCAAGAGGGCCTTCAAATTTATACTAAGGTCTAGCTCCGTAGATTTACAAACCGATGGTGTAGCTTCTAGACATTCATGTGTGCTTGTAACAGCTTAAACTTAATAAATGGTTATGATTATGATAATTATGATTATTGAATAAGACAAAAACTGCTTTGGAAAGCTAAGTTTAAGTATACTTAATTCTTTCCCCTAGAAATTTATTCGAAGTCTACTTGAAACCATACTTCATGGAAGCTTATCGGCCTATCCATCGCGATGACACATTCATGGTTCGCGGGGGCATGAGGGCTGTTGAATTCAAAGTGGTGGAGACTGATCCGTCGCCGTATTGCATCGTCGCTCCCGACACAGTGATACACTGCGAAGGAGACCCTATCAAACGAGAGGTGAGAAAGTTATATGTTAAATAGTGATTAGTGAGAAAGTATTGAAGCCTTTAGTTTTTAGTTTAGTTTAGTTTTTCAGGGCGGTTTCCGCACTTAGTCCTAATTATTGGACCATTGTCCGTGTCTTGCAACATTCCCGTTTACTCCAGCCAGCCTAGCTTAGTCCAGAAGGAAAGCAGCCTTGGCAGTCTGCTGCAAGCTTCTGGGAGCGATGCTGGCGACTGGAATATTGAAGTCTTAGTAACTGAACTGCGAAAAGCTTATCTTTTTTGCTAGTGTAGGATTGTTGAAAGCCAGAAGTCAATGACTGGTTTAAAATATTCAAAATACATAATATGATTTAAGAAGTTAATTTTGCTTAAGCATTTGGGGTTAAGTTTGATTTTTAAATAGTTTAAGGCTACAAACTCAAGACCTTATTTCCAGTTTCCATTCGCACCTAAACATGATAAACTTAAATAATAATAATGTATAGGCTTGAAACAATATTATTATGGCATTTAGTGGGTGTCTTAAAATTTTGAAACATTCATTCTAATACTATAAAACTTAAAAATACAAAAGCTTTATTTTCTATCCCTTTGTAACCAACAGGAAGAAGAAGAAGCCCTAAACGCCGTAGGGTACGACGACATCGGTGGCTGTCGTAAACAGCTCGCTCAGATCAAAGAGATGGTCGAGTTGCCTCTAAGGCATCCGTCGCTGTTCAAGGCAATTGGTGTGAAGCCGCCACGTGGAATCCTCATGTATGGGCCGCCTGGTACCGGCAAAACTCTCATTGCTCGGGCAGTGGCTAATGAAACTGGTGAGAATTATGTATTTTTCTTTCTAGAAACTTCCATTTTAGATGCATGATCACTATCTGCTTCCTCACTATTGTATGATACAAGTTTTACTTACAATTTTTTGCCACAGGCCTGTAGTCTATTATTATTTATTTGTAATGTGGGTGACATTTTTTTTGTTTAGATTTCGATACTATCTTACAGGTACTGCATACTAAGGCCTGTTGTTTCATCCATAGTGAAATTTGACCATAGTTAATGTAACTTCAAATACACAGCAAATGTGTAAAATTTTCTTTAAAAAAAATATTTTTTCTCTAGTGTTTTAACTATAGTCTAATATAACTTATACATGTAACAACTTGGCCTTAGTAGTAAAAAATCCTTTATTTGTGACACACAGGTCACATAATGGTTAAAAGAATGACCCTGAGCCATGACAGTGACAACAATCCATCACACAGACCCAGTGCAGATTATTGGTGCTAACAACTACAGATGCAGCTGGGACCAACAGCTTATCGTGCTATAAGCACTGACCTTTATATAATACATATATACATTCAGCGCTAACCACTTGAGCCATCAAATAATTCCTCCCATTTACAAATTCTCCTTTTCCATCTAGGTGCATTCTTCTTTCTGATCAACGGGCCGGAGATCATGTCCAAACTCGCGGGCGAGTCCGAATCGAACCTTCGCAAGGCATTCGAGGAAGCGGACAAGAACTCCCCGGCTATAATCTTCATCGATGAACTGGATGCCATCGCACCAAAGAGGGAGAAGACTCACGGTGAAGTGGAGCGTCGTATTGTGTCGCAACTACTTACTCTTATGGATGGTGAGTGTCTATTTAATGAGATTTTTTAATTGTACTTGACAGAAGATGAAATCACGATACATAGGTAGAGGAACTTGAACATAGTATAGACTCTATTCAACTTCCTCTGCGATAACAGCTACATAAGTAAACCAATGTTTCTAAAACTTTTGTATCGAGAGTAAAGATGGCCATTGTAATCAGGGACTGATTACAAACTTCACATTACAACATAAATGATTTGCTTTAACAAGACTGATTACAAAATTGCAAATCTCAACATAAATTATGCGCTTGAGATTCAATTGGGTGAGTTTTTGCAAAAATAAGTAAACAAGTTAACTAATACAAACGGTTTTAATGGAGTGAGTGAGCAGCGACTTACTCACTCCATTAAAACTCGTTTTACTAGACTTACTTCAACCTATTAAAGTTCATCCATAAAGTAAGTCTTTAAGGGGGTGGGAGGATGGGGTCGACGAAGTGTGCCAAGGGGTGGGATGGATCCTAAGTTGCGTGACGTCACATTTCCAAATCTAATAGTTTTGAACTATTATCAAAAACATGAAAAAAAGAGTTCCGGAAATGCTGATAGGTCTCCATTAATAATTTCTAGATGCGGAATATGTGACGTCACATTAATGTGACTAACTGTAACAAGGACGGGGGAGAAAATAGTGTAACATACTTAATGAAATACCGTTATAGCCTCGTTACAATGCTTCAAATATGACCATTTACACCTATTAGGCATGAAAAAGTCATCTCACGTGATCGTAATGGCGGCCACCAACGGTCCGAATTCGATCGACCCGGCGCTACGTCGCTTCGGGCGCTTCGACAGGGAGATCTATGGATGATTAATAACCTTATATGTATTCTATCTGTTACCTTAGTATAGGTAGAGGCAAACTTCTTGAGACAAGATAAATAAACTTGCGCAGTTAAGGTTTTTCTATGTAAAATTACTACTACGCAGGGTTCGTTATTAGTGTTGCCCAAATGCAAGAACAAGACGAGACTTAGCCAGTTTTGGTCTTGGTCTTGCGCCAATACACCTGGTCTTAGTCTTGGTCTTGCGCTCCCAGTCTTGGTCTATTAGACTATTGCTATTTATTAAAGTTTACTGTAGATCTTAGAAAAACGAATTAGAATTGGAACATTGTGAGCTTGAATTAACATAGCCATAGTAAAGACCAATCAGATTAATAAATGTCTGAAGATTTGATAAGAAATTCGAAAAATCAACTGCCACATTATCAAAAGTTATCAACTGAGCTATATGCCGTTTTCCATGGGACTGTTTCTTAATAAACATTTACGCTTTATAAGCTTACATGTGCTAAAATAATATGTAAAAAACAAATTAATTACAATAATTTTAAAGAACAATATATGTCTAGAAAGAGATTGAACCCTCAACTTATATGAAATTTAATAAAAGAGTTTTACGATTTATTTGCTATGTATGTTCATGGTATTGGTCGTAATGCGCATAGGTCCAGTTTTTCATATTCTTTGATACAGTTTTGCGTCTCATAGAATTCCTAAGCGTACCTATACACCGAACTGTTATACCTAACTACTCCGTGAAATAGCGCTAAGTCCTAGCTGCAAGACGCAAGAGTCTTGCCGGATTAGTCTTGTTCTTGTTCAAGTCTTGCACGGTTAGTCTTGGTCTTGCTAAAAATACGCGATCTTGTTCTTGGTCTTGGTCTTGCAAAAATGCAAGAACAAGACCAAGACTGAATTTGGGCAACACTATTCGTTGTCTATGATCGATGTTCAAGAAGTTTGCTGGAATGTATATCCCATAACACAAGCCTTAGAGTGCTTGTACACTAATTAATAAATCTAATATATAAAATTCTCGTGTCACGGTGTGCGTAATTGAACAACGCCGAAACTCATATTCAGTAAGTCTTGAGAATCGGACAACGTCTATTTTTCATCCTATTAAATGTTAAGGTTCACCCTTAATTTTTTTTCTTGGACCATTTTTTTGTTTTTATTTTTTTATGATACATCATACAATAATATATACAACCTTAAATTTTCACCCTTCTGCCACCATATTTTTTTATGGCGGTACGAAGTTCGCTGGGACAGCTAGTAATATATAAAATAATTGGTGTGAGTGCTAGTTATATGTATTTATTGTTAACACCCGTTAGGAATGAAGAAGTCATCGCACGTGATCGTAATGGCCGCCACCAACCGTCCGAATTCGATCGACCCGGCGCTACGTCGCTTCGGCCGCTTCGACAGGGAGATCGACATCGGCATTCCGGACGCCACCGGTCGTCTGGAGATTCTGCGCATACACACCAAGAACATGAAATTGGGCGATGATGTTGATCTTGAGCAGGTAATATTTCTTTGTTTTAAACTTTTGTGGTCGCTAACATTATAGTAATAATATTTATGTTACTTTCGAGTGATTAGTGGGAATGTGAACAGTGGTACGGGTAAATGCAATAAAAGACTTCGTCGGAGGGTAGACCGGTATATCTGCCAATAACATCTTACCCGCAATTAATTCAGTTACTCTGTGATCATGGCGCTTGCAAAATATCGGAAACTCGCTAAAAACAAGGTACATGGTAGCAATCACGTAAATAGCGTAAATTACTATAATATTTCTTTTCCGAACTTGAGTGTTTTGAGGAAATTTTATTAGGAAAAAATTCATTGTGGCCATGTTTGTCAGGTTGTATTTATTTAGATATTTTTTTTATAAATCTAGCAGTTTACTGTTAAAAAAAATTGAGAGTTTAATTGGTGAGTGCATTTTCCCGGATAGCGAAGGGTGCTGGTTCAAGTCCCGTCTGCTGCCTGGTCCGCGTGGATTTTTTTCTAGTAATATTTTTTTTAGATTCATACATCGAGCAGTTACATTTTGAAAAATTAAAATTATAACTATAATTGCTATTTCTTCTTTAAAATTTTTAATACTTGTAAAGGTATTCATTTGACATTGTGGGTCACCTACAATGCGAAGAGATGGCGCTGCCTTGAAGCTTAAGACAGGCTAGAAAGACTTCGACACGGCAGTCAACCAGCTAGCGAAGAGTTGCTGGTTCGAGTCCCGTCTGCCGCCTGGTCGGCGTGGATTTTTTTCTAGTTATACTTTCTTTAGATTTAAACGTCGAGCAGTTATGCTTAAAAATTATAATTGTAATGAATACCTCTACAAGTTATAAACATTTGATAGAAAAAATTGCAATTATAGTTCATTATAATATATTTTTCTAAACCCGTAAAAACTAGTTTTATTTAATGAGTGATGTGCGTGAAAACCTAAGAAACAAATATTTTTCTAGTTCAATTTTCTTTAAATTTAAACATATAGCAGTGAAAGGTTTTAATAACAATATAATTAAGAATTTCTTATTTTTAAAATTACGTAGATCGCAGCCGAGTCTCACGGCCACGTGGGCGCTGATCTCGCCTCCCTATGTTCCGAGGCAGCTCTGCAGCAGATCCGCGAGAAGATGGACCTCATCGACCTCGAAGATGATCAGATCGACGCCGAAGTACTGAATTCCCTGGCCGTCTCCATGGACAACTTCAGGGTGAGATAATTTTTGGAAACTATAATTAGGGCTATAAACAAATGTTGCTTTTGCCGTCAAAAAATTGGTAATATTTTGTATACTTTACTACCATGAGGTTACTCACAGGGTAGAGATAGGGTTATAAGTAGAAAATATTATTTAATATAAATAAAATTAAACCGTCAAACATGCTTTATCCAGTACGCAATGACGAAATCATCGCCGTCTGCCCTACGCGAGACCGTAGTAGAAGTGCCCAACGTCACTTGGACTGACATCGGTGGTCTTCAAAACGTGAAGAGAGAACTACAAGAACTAGTGCAGTACCCTGTGGAACACCCGGACAAGTTCCTCAAGTTTGGGATGCAGCCATCCCGCGGTGTGCTTTTCTATGGACCGCCTGGATGCGGTAAGTCATGTTTCTTTTAATTTTTTCAGGGTATATTATATACAGATGGATCCATTGCAGTACTCTGTGAAACATCTTAACCTAAGTTATCATAGTTCCTTAAGTTTGGGATTCAGCCGTTGCGTGGTGTATTGTTCTATATACCCCCTGGATGCGGTCTTTTTTTCTTATATTCTTTACAAGGGTATATAATAGATGGGTCTAGTGCAGTACCCTAAGGAACACCCAGACACCTTCTATGGATCCTCTGGATGATGTGAGTATGGTTCCCCTTATAGATAAAAACAAATGGTCCTAGAGCAGTACCCTGTGTCACTCCCTCTATCATATAAACACATGAACCCAGGTCAGTACCCTGTGTAACACCCGGAAAATTTCGCATTCGTGACGCAAACTCATTGAAACTCAATTAAATCAATGATTGTTGAACATAGTTTCTTTTATCCTCAGGTAAAACACTATTGGCAAAGGCTATTGCCAACGAGTGCCAGGCTAATTTCATCTCTGTGAAGGGGCCTGAACTTCTCACTATGTGGTTTGGCGAATCTGAAGCCAACGTGCGAGATATATTCGATAAGGTATGTGTGCTAGAAATTATGATGTTATTATTAACCCAAAAAATGTGTAATCATCAAGATAATTATTTCCTAATTTCTAATAAGTTAAGAAATAACTCTTAAAACACAAATCTCATTAATAAATTTCACAATAATAAAGCCCAATGTGTTAATCCATAGAAGTTTGCAGACCGCTAGAAACAAAACGATTACTCCAGTATCCCATGACAAACTTTGCGGTGCTTATTGTACCATTCAAACTTAATGTCGGCTGAGAAGTTAGCACAAGTGGCGGAGCGGAACGAAATTTAGATGCGGTCGGATTTTTACTTGGCTTCGTCTAACCCCGTTGAACGCATGTCTAACTTTTTTATGGTGTCTCAAAAGTGCACCGCTTAATTTGGTGCATGAGCACAATTCGCTTTAGACGCAATATGACATCCAAACACGCTGTATTTGCTCCTAATTGAACAATGTTGCGGATATTCTGTGTTAAGATGATAAAACAAAGCCTTTGAAAAGCCTTGTTGTTAAAAAGTGCACAAATAGTTCAAGATCAAATAATAAAATTTTACGGCATCACTTTTCATTCATTATATTTTTTTTTTACAATTATCATGGTTTGCCGTGAATATTATTTTTTAATTAGAAAGGACAACAATACAGCATAGCTATTTGAAGAGAGAAAGGAAAACGCAGTTGGTTGCTAAACGACGCGGATTCGCCGTCGCGTTCCCGCAGCGTATCGTTCTGTCTCGATCGCTCGATTGCTCGATTGAATGTTTATTTATAGGTGTGCTTTTTTTTGAGTGTGTATGCTGTTGGTTGCAACTTGATTGACCTTTACAGCATCACCAAGTTTGGGGACGGCGAGATCCTAAGGGGGGACCTCAAGTCGAGAATTGGCGAGTGCCTTTAGAGGTATTCCAGGCGGATGGCATCTCCCAACGGGGGGTCTCCTCTCCGTCTGGAGCCTCTAGACCACTCGAACCTGAGGGGGTTGGCTCAACTAAAGGGCGTCTCTGAGACTCGGATCTCTGCTCTAGTTAGCCGTTGTCGTGGGGAGTAGTAGGTGTGCGTGTATGAGAGTTGTTTATATAGAGGAGTCGGCGCAATTTTTATCTGTCGCATGTAAGAGCGTACCATATATCCCCTTTTTGATTAAATCTAAGGGTAATAAGGATATTCTTTAAAATGTGACGACCTCCGTGACCGAGTGGTATGTACGATGGGTTTCATGGTGTCGCCTACTCGAGAGGTTCCTGGTTCGAATCCCGGTGAGGGCAAATGTTTGTGTGATGAATACGAGCATTTTTACTCCAGTCATGGATGTTTAAAATATATTTTCAATATAAATATACTTATACATGTATGAGTATATGTATTCTATCCGTTACCCTAGGATCCCATAACACAACCCTACGGTGCTTACTTTGGGGCTAGGCTAATTGGTGTGAGTGTTCGAAATATTTATTTATTTATTGTCCACACCAGGCTAGGTCGGCATCACCTTGTGTACTATTCTTCGACGAGTTGGACTCCATCGCGAAGTCCCGCGGCGGTTCCGTATCAGACGCGGGAGGTGCCGCCGATCGAGTTATCAACCAGATCTTGACTGAGATGGACGGCATGGGAGCCAAGAAGAACGTGTTCATCATCGGTGAGTGACTTCATTACCCATTACACCCAACGATATCATTAATTAAATTATTGATGTGTAACATCTTTCCTCTCGCTTTCCTGTAATTTGTGGGAGCGATTTCATGAAATGGGACGGAAGTGTGTAACAGGAAGTCGCGAAAGCGCGCGCTATTTGATTTGATTTTAGAACATAATGTTCAAATGGCTTATTTCTTTTGTAGTAGGTTTTATTTCTTTTTTTACTAATATAAGTTGAGGTTTCAAATGTTACATATACGCGACTACTGTAAGGCTCGCTCGTTTTTTTAGTTACTAATACGCTCGAGTTAATGTTAATTTAGTTGAAGTTATTTAATTCTTTAGTAAAGGACATTTTATTGTAAATTGCGATACTCTATCAGGGTTCATGTGTCTGTATCTATATTTTTTTATGGAACATCTGTAATAACCACATGAGTGCAATAAATACATTTGAAATTTATATTAAAATCCCTAGATACAAATGCGTTCAAAATGTGTCCCGACCAAATCAAGAAGTGTTTGAACATATCTCAGACATTTGAAGGACCAATTTCCAGAAGTCCTAAGTCCCAAAAAACGCAAAAGAGAAATGTTTAATGTTAAATGAAAAAATACCTATTCATTAGCGCATGATGAGGGCATCTTTAATAGCAGTTATATTATATCCTAATACTTAAGCATATGTGTATATTTAGCCAATTAGAAATTTAAAATTTCATTTATTAGAAATTTAAATTTAACAAATGAAACGCTATTGTATAGGCAGTAATTATTAATGTTTATTTTGTAAAAAAAATGTTATTAACTTAAAAAAACTTTAAAAGTAATGGACGTAGGTTCTAACAATCGGACTTGGGCACTTTTATTAAGTTCTATATTCTTCCGCTTATAGCAACAAGTCGTAAAATTTGACGAGCTTGCATTTCGAACTGTCATAACTCTGACGCATGCGTTTAAGTTAAAACATATATACATAATAATATAATCAAATGGTAGGAAAGTCAAAACTGTACATTGAATATTTTTTTAAAAGAATACTTGGGGTGTGATCTGCTATCGATACCGAAGTCAAAAATATAGTTTCTAGAATTTTTATTTATTTGTGTGTATGTATGTCCCGGATAAACTCAAAAAGTACTTACCGGATTGGTGGGTACTGACGACTGCAGATGCAGCCGGGATCAACGGCTTAACGTGCCTTCCGGAGCACGGAGGAGCTCGAGATAGTAAATTTTTGATCACCCATTCAATGACCGACCACTGCGAAAGTTGCTTAACTTCGACGATCGCAACCGAACGCGCTAACCACTTGCGCCATCGAGCTCCTCATCGAGATGCCTCAATAATATTCTTTTTATATGACGACCTCAGTGGCTGAGTGGTTTGTACACCGGGTTTCATGGTGTCGCCGACTCGAGAGGTCCCGTGTTCGAACCCTTTGGGGGCAGGTGTTTGTGTGATGAATACGAGCATTTATACTCCAGTTATGTATTTCTATATAAAAAATATGCTTATATATTTATTCTATCCGTTACCCTAGTATCCCATAACGCAAGCCTTACAGTGCTTACTAGCCCCAAAGGCTAGGCTAATTGCTGTGAGTGTTGGAAATATTTATTTATTTTTTATTTAATAAACATAAAAATGTGAACATTTATCGTTCAGGTGCGACGAATCGGCCCGACATCATCGACCCGGCGATCCTTCGGCCGGGGCGACTCGACCAGCTGATCTATATCCCGCTGCCGGACGAGAAGTCGCGCGAGGCGATCCTACGCGCCAACTTGCGTAAATCACCCATCGCCAAAGATGTCGATCTGACTTACATCGCCAAGGTAAAAATAGATTTTAGATACCTAATAGGTTTATTATTTTCTAGAACACACACACGTGCATTTTAAAAGTAACACAATGAAGAAGATACAAGAAATCAGCCATAAATACCTATATAGGTATGTATGCTGCGGAAAGCAAAAGGCCAACACTGGAAAACATCGATTTTCAGCTATCACTTTTTTGAGTGGGTTTAGCTTTGCCTGTACAAATCTTAATTAGATTACGATAAAACAGCCGTGACAATGCAGTGGAGACAAGCATAGAGAAAACTATATTATTTTTCTGGCGCTTCACCGGTTATTGTCTAGGGCACGCTCGACTCTTTCCGCGTTTTATGGTCATAACAATAACCTAACATAGGCCCACTTGCAAAAAATTGGAATGAATCTCGATTCTATTAAAACTAGATTTAACCCATAGAAAAATTATAATGTCAATTTGACATCATTGTATGGGCTAAATCTAGTTTTGGTTAAATTGAGATTTTGTAAAATTGTTGCTAGTGGTCCCTACTGTGAAGTGTCAACTCCTGGTCCCAGAAAGTACAGTTTAGCTCTTTGATTAATAACATCGTAAACAAAGAAAAAAGTGAAGTTTCAACCATTTTTTTTATATAAGTATATATTTTAAGGGGCATACGAGCTTGGCTCACCTCACCTGATGGTAAATGATTACCTGCAACACCAGGAGTATCACAAATGCCAATGCCTTTGAGGAAGGAGTGAGTGGAGTGAGGTCTTTCTTTGTGTATGAAAATTGTGAAGTATCAACTTTTTGGCCCTGACCCTCTGATTCCAAAACGCGAACTTAAGTAAGTCTTGGTTTAAATCTAATGTTGGCTCTGTCTTCTTTTTAGCAAACATAAATGAGATCATCAGCATTATTCCAGATTTAACTTTAGTCTACGTTTTGTAAAAAAAATGTGTGCGTGTACTAGTGAACACACGTAAGAAGTGAAACTTCTTTATGGCCTTATTTTTTTCGAAAAATGATCTACATGCAACTTTCCAGAAATATATATATAGGCGTGCGCTAAGATTTTTCAAAAACTCACCCACTAAAGGGGTATAACTACACCTTACCTTACCTTATTATTTTACAATTTATTTTTAATTTACAATCTACATATTTACATAATTATACAATTAAATATAAAATAAGTGTTTTAAAGAATATACAACTGTAAACAAACAAATATAATATACACAAAAGGTTAGGTTAGAAGAACATGACTCTAATCTGGCTTTTCTTTAAATCTGCGTTCACCTAAATTTCCATACATATTAATATGTTTATATATATATCTCATATATTCCAATTCACTCAGAATAATACCTACCACTTCAACAATTTGAAATATTTAAACCATATCATTATAATATTTGTATTTATTAATTTCAGTGTAGTAATTAGCACTGAAATTAGTAATAGTATCTATTAGCTATCTTTCTAAAATAAAAATACCTTACCTTACCTTACCTTACCTTACCTTACCTTACCTTACCTTACCTTACCTTACCTTACCTTACCTTACCTTACCTTACCTTGTGTGAAACACGAATATTTGCTGTCGATACTTTTTTTTTGAAGTTGACAGAAGAAGCAATTGTTCGGATGAGGTAAATAGTGCTCTTTTAAAAAAAAGATGGCGCGTAACCAAAATACGTGACGCGTAACCGAAAAAAATGTGACGGTAAATTTTTTTCCAACGCCGATAAAGAAGTTTCACTTCAATAAGGCGGGAGAGTACAGTTTGGCCATTTTTACCCATAGAGGTATAAGAATAGAGTAGGGAAGGCAGCTCAATAGTGTCCGTCTAGTAGAAAAAGAAAGAAGATGAGAGACCGCTAGCTATCTCTCTCTCTTGTGACGCATGCGCAGTCGTCTGTCCAATAGTTGGTCAAAGCATCACATCGAAATAGTAAGATGCTTACGGTTGCCAATGCGCGTGCGCGATTAGAGAGAGGGACACTTCCACTAGTAGTAGAGTCTATATCTCCCCTACTCTGTTCTTATACCTCTATGTTTGTACCTTAATCTATATAGGTGACACAAGGCTTCAGTGGCGCCGATTTGACCGAGATCTGTCAACGCGCGTGCAAACTAGCCATCCGTCAAGCTATCGAGGCGGACTTACAGCGGGAACGCACTCGTGCCAGCCAACCACCTGCCGCAGTTATGGACGTGAGTATAATGGTCACTTCATACTATGTACATAAGGTAAACAAACGAACTGATGTTTCCAAAACTTTTATCGAGCCGACCGAAAGAAGGAAGGTGTAGCCAGACTGATTTTTAAAAAAAATCATATTTAATCTTAAGAAAATTTTAGTAGAAAAAAATTCACGCGGAGTAGGCAGCAGACGAGACTCGAACCCGCACTCTTCGCTATCCGGGCGAATGCACTGACCATTATGCTACCGCGGTGCTGATGGCCATGTCGAATTTTTCTAGTCTTTCTTAGGCTAGAAACATATGTATATATTAAACGTAAATTATTTGCTTTACCACTACTCTACAATTAAGCAGGATTAAAGTGCGTTCAGTCTTTGGGAATAGATAGTTGTAGGTTTTTTTGATGTCACGGTTTTATAATTATGATTTTTTATGTGTATAAAATTCGACCAACTGTGAAAATCCTACAACGAATACAAAAAAAAAACAATTTGTTGTAGTCGTTGTAAATCTATATGCGTACACCATACATTTCAGCGATTCATTTTTATTTAGATGGATTAATAATAATTCATTTATTGTGGAGCATAGGTACAATATAATGGGGTGGTGTTACATAAGTGCATACAGTTCTGAACTGTATGCAAAGTCCCTGCCATAAGGCGTACAATTACATAATCTTGAAATATTAACTAATAGCAAATACAAATAGATATAATAACAATATTGATACGAGAACCTCTGTTCCGAAGCAGATGGACGAAGAGGACCCCGTGCCGGAAATAAGCCGCGCCCACTTCGAGGAGGCGATGAAGTTCGCGCGCCGCTCCGTTTCCGACAACGACATCCGCAAGTACGAGATGTTCGCGCAGACGCTGCAGCAGAGCCGCGGCTTCGGGACCAACTTCAGGTCAGTACAACAAATTAAATCTTGTTTGGGGCGCGAAAACAGGTTTAAACAGGCCGAGCTGCTACGAACCCTATATACACCTGAGGATTGATATTTAAAAGAAGTTTTGTTGTCTCATCACTACAGTTTTAATATTAATAAATACTCATTGTTGCTCTGTAGTTGCATAAACACTCCTAAATCCTAAAAAAAATTTTTTATTTAAACCGAGAATACTCGTTATTTGAACCCAGTATTTGGCGGAGTAAGAGTAATTAAATGAAAAACTTCAAAATACGCCGAGTACCGACCATAAAACGGGTACTCGACCTATCTGTAGCGCCCACTTCGAGGAGACGATGAAGTTCGCGCAGACGCTGCAGCAGAGCCGCGGCTCCGGGACCAACTTCAGGTCAGTACAGACACACACATTGTCATCATCACCGGATATTAGCTGCGCAGACACTGCAGCAGAGCCGCGACTTCGGGACCAACTTCAGGTCAGTTTAAACACACACTATCATCGTCATCACCGGATATTAGACGAGCCCACTTTGAGGAGACGATGAAGTTCGCGTGCTGCTCGGTAAGTCTCGGCAAGGGCTTTTTTCTCCCTAAATTTAGACCTGCGCACACGAAGTAGTTTTGTCCACTGAGGCCAAAAGTCCCTGAATCGTGGAGAAAATGTCCACGGAAGACTTGTCACGGACTCAACGCACACGATGTGCGAACATTTATCCCCCGAAAATATAGAAAAAAGCACGCTTGGGAAGTGGGAAGGGATATTCTAAGATTTCGTTGTGTTGTAATAATTAACATAAAGTTTAATAAAAAGAGAAGATGTTTCGAAAGAGAATACTGGGTCCTTCTCTTTAAATCAGATCGAGCTCGTAACTTTGTTGCTATGCCTTGTCATGTGAGTACTATTGTTTTCGGGGCCACCCACGTATTTTTGTCCTGTCCGGTCTCGGTGACGTCAATTGTTCTGGGGAAATTTTGTTCATGCTACTTTTAATCCGTCGTGTGCGTGCTCTATGCAGTTGTAAGCTTTCTTTTGGCGGGCAAAGAATACCGCTGACAAAAGTCACTCGTCTGCGCAGGCTATTATAGTTATGAGCAAACATGTCAACAAAAATTGTATGTCCGGTAAGTCCAGTTATCAACGCACGCACAAGTCAAACGCACTCATATCCTAGTAATGTTATAAATGTGAAAGTTGATTTGTCACTCAATCTCTACACAAAAGCTAAATAGCGGTATTTGAATGATATTTGGTACGCATATAGTTTACTAGCTGTGCTCCGTTGTGTTACCCGCGGTTTATTAGGGATATTTTCCCGCACTAAAACGTAGCCTCTGTGTTAATCCAGGGTGTGAGCTAACTCCATACAAAATTTTATTAAAATCGCTCCAGAAAGTAAAGAAGTAACAAACATACACACACTCACAAACTTTCGCCTTTATACTATTAGTGTGATGACCTGGCTCGAGACATAGAATGTTAGCTTGCTGTGGGATAGGGTATTTAACAAGTTTTAGAAATCGATCTCACGTTATCGACTAATTTTTATGGAGTCCGTAAAAAGTGGATAATCATCATTCTGTAGTGCATTTCAGGAAAAATAACCAAATCAAAAACTGCATTTTCAAATTACCGCGAAAACGTTTCTCTGGACAATATGGCGTCTTACTAGTGTGTGACGTCACACGACTGTTATTAAAACGTCAAACGATACAATGTAATGTCACTTTAACTGGAAGTTTACTTGCGTGTGACGTCATTTTGACTACGCCAATCCCAAGCGTTTTGGGTCACGTGACAATAGATAAGAAAACTATTATCGTTTTCGTGGGTTTTTAGTAAAATTATGAATATTTTTTTGTAAAAATAGTAAAAACCCCTGCCAATATTCATTCTAAATACAGATGCTAACAACTGGCACTTTATTTTTAATACTGTCAAATACCCTATTCTCAAAAACCAAAGTTGTCGCGGACGTCCGATAGTCTTTTATAAAAAATAAACATATAAATAATAAAATTGTCGACAGATTCCCGTCGAGCGGAGGCGGGGCGGGCGGCACGGGCACTTCGGGCGGCGACCAGCCCACGTTCCAGGAGGAGGGCGGCGACGACGACCTCTACAGCTAAACGCTGGGCGGACAATGCGCTCATTACCACTGCATTATATACTACCGCTGCTATAGACTAAACTACGGGGGAGGGGAGGGGGGGGGGACACTGGGGGGTGTATTCCGAAATATACACCGGTACGCTGACCAGTGGTAATAACGTCATGAATCAACGCCATGCTGTTGATTCGTTCCAAATACACTGATCGTGTTTGTGTGCAACGATCATGCTCCAAAAATTATAAAAAAATTAAGTAATTTAATTATAGTATGTTTTTATAAGAACTTCACTAACTGCAGAGCGTATACACCTGGCTACGTCACAGTATTCACACCAGCATAATATGGTGGCACACCAGTGCAATATGGCGTCGAAATCATGACGTCATTACCGCTGGCCAGCGTACTGGTGTATATTTCGGAATACACCCTGGGCGTACACTACATTACTCTCTAAAACATGGCTCAAAACTCATACCCTCTTATTAATAAACGAGGAATAAGCTTAGACTGTATTCCGCTTAACTTGAATACTAACGCGACACGCACACACGAAAAAAACTGAAAACTCAAATATGTGCAAATGAATTCGGCTATCCATTCTTGGGTAAGATTATGTTAAAAGGAAATCCCAACCAGTCCCATGGTTCGCGTGTTGATCGCAGTTTTTTCGCCCCGCCCACTTGATCGCAGTTTGCATGGAACCGGTTTTTTGCGCAGTTAGTATTCCATACCATTTCTAATTTAATTTACTAAACAATACTTTATATTTTCGAGACAAAATGGAAAATAATTAAATACTTTCACATTATTTGTACAGGCAATGTGTAGTCCCTTTGGTCTCTGTAAACCAAATAGCATTATTTGCTTTCAATTATACATATAATTGTAATTGTCTATTTATCGCAATCTCATCGAGATTCATATGAAAAGTTGCGGTAGTTATTATTATGTGTGGTTAGAATGCGAGTCGCGATCGGCGTCCGGGTGACAGTTCTAGGACTGACATAATTAGTTAAGGATTCGAATTGTTTTAGATCCGATAAGGGCTAGGAGAGAAGGGCCGGTGTACGTACGGGAACGCATACCTACAGGTTTAAGGGTCGTTTTACAGAATGATAACTAAGTCTTGATCCTTACTTGAGTACAGTTAGAAAGGGATGTCGTATATTTATATCACATAGCAACATCCCTTTCTCACTGAACTAAGTAAAGATTAACACTTAGTTGTCATTCTGTAATACGAGCGTAAGTCTCCCGTTTATGATCGCGCAAAGCGAACTGCGCGCCTATATTATTATAATTATACCTACTGATAAACTTCACTGATTGTAAATGTATTTTAATTTTGTAATACACAATCTATAAGCATTTTGGTTTTTTTTCTCTCTCTTAGTTTCTTTGTTCCGATTCGCTTACGTTTAGCCGTAAACAGAATGTTTGTGAGTGTAAAGTTTTCGTTCACGATGTTACCACGCTTTAATTGTTTTTGTGCGAAATATAATTAGATGCATCGAGATAAAAAGTATTTTATTGGTGTTGTAACATTGCATAGAGGTGTAAAACGTATTTTAAATACGTTACCTAACCCTAACATCAACGTTTCACAACCTAAAATGTATTAGTGGTTTTAAAGATGTTGAACATGTTCAACACATTGTTTTTAACATGATTACATAAAAGATAAAATTTACTACATTTCTTGGCACGATGTTAACTCAAAAACATTAGGCGACGTTTGACGTTTTAGATAATTTAAGAAGAAATTGCAATATGGCAACACCATTGCGGAAAATACTCGTGAACGGAGGTGCGTATGATGTAGAGAATTGTTACTGTATTGCCAGATCGTCCGCAAGCGAGATGTCAGCATTCGCGCAGACATTACACAATATCGCAGTGATTTTATAATAAAAAAATTTTTAGACCCACACGTGTTTTTATTTCAATTCCTATCCTACTAAGGGTGAAGCCAAACGATTGTAATTTTGTGAGTTGTGAGTCGCTTATTTTCGGTCACTTATTTTACGTTCAACTGAATTTCTGTTGAGCTGCCATACGAACGTAATTTATTCAGTTACTATTGAGCGTTAGTACGGGGTGTTCGTGTCGTCGAGTGCAATGGATCCATTAAAAATATTGTGTATTTACGAAGCATATTCAGAAGATGAGGCCAGAAAAAGAAACTGGGTAAACCCACTGAATAGTCAGAGGCTGATATGTGGACAGTTCCATACTTTATATGAACGTTTATGTGCAAATCCAGATATGTTTGCAAAGTACTATCATATGCCATTACGTGTTTTTCAAGAATTATTACACCACGTAAAACTTGTAACAAACTGTTGCTTCCGCACTCCCCTTCCTTGCCCTACCCTCACCCCGACCGAAATTCGGACGAGCTTATGCGCATTGAGTCGGCAGACAACTAGGGACACGATATCGAATAGAAAGTATCGATACTGTACTCATGAGTAGTATCGGTAAAAAAGTATCGTACTCGTAAAAGTATCGAAACAAAAGTATCGATACTTCAAAGTATCGAGTACATTTCATATGGCCTTATCGGATCCTCTGTGGCCCGATGAGCAACCCCCCCCCCCCCCCCCGGGTTAAAAATTGAAAGAAAAACAATCCAATTTTATTATAGTACGTATAATAACAGTAAAAGGACATATAAATTCACAAATTGCTATATTATATAATGAAAAGAAAATAGCTGTGATTTCTGACACTTAAAAAGTGTTCATTAATATCACATTAATAATTAAAATGTTACTTGAATCTGACACGCAGTTAACGGCGGCCATTGGCATGCTTCACTCAATATTATAATTATAGAAGAGGTTACGTCCGTCTTTTTTTCAGGTCCGTGGTTTCAAGTAGGTATACACAGCACAGACAGAATAATAGTGTTACACTTGAATACATCAAATGCAGTCAAGCGAAAAGCACAATAAACGGCGAATCATCAATCACAATTCCTAACAATATGGTCGCTAAATAAATAACTATGAAACAAAACAAAGCGCAAAGTAAACACAGTCACAGATTGGAAAGAATTTGAATATATCATAACAATATGAGGCGCTTGTCCAAATTTTAAAAGTATCGATACTTACTTGCCAAAAAGTACTCAATAAGTAAAAGTATCGAATACAAAGTATCGAGTACAAAAGTATCGGTATCGAAAGGAAAAGTACTCGATACCACAAAGTATCGATACTTTTTTCGTGTCCCTACAGACAACTCATTTTGCGTTGTCGTGTGGCACCAACTGCCCATTTGTATGAAACCGAATGCAGCAGAATTTCTGCGACCGAAATTCTGCGACTCACCACTCACAAAATTACGCTCGTTTGGCCTCACCCTAACCTACACAAACCCCTTGATAAGATCAAGCAATTTTGGTCCCCTTGTTCGAGCAAGGTATTTCAATTTCGTGTAAGGGCCTGGCGCTGCGTTAAAGGTTCATTCCTTCAATCAACGATCACTAATAGTATTGGTGATCGAATGTTCATTCAGACAGCGGACGGGGTATGTGTACGTGTGTGGTTGGTTACCACACACGTTATGGAGAATTAAATATTTTTTTTTATTGATGTGTAACATCTTTCCTCAAGCTTTCCTGCAATTTGTGGGTGATTTCGTGAAATGGGACGGAAGTGTGTAACAGGAAGTCGCGAAAGCGCGCGCTATTTGATATGATTTTAGAACAAATGGCTTATTTCTTTTGTAGTAGGTTTTATTTCTTTTTTGACTAATATGAGGTGAGGTTTCAAATTTTACACATACGCGACTATTTGAATACAATCTTAAACAGCAAATTTTCTGCTAAAAATGCATCGACTACATATTTTCATTTTAAATCAGTTGGGCCTAACTAGATATTTTGCATAAATTCGTTTTTGAGCGTTTCGACCAAGAGCCCACTTACTAGGGCCTATTACTTTGTATAAACCTAGGGTATTATTCTGTTTAAACACAATGCTCTCTATTGACATACATAATAACAACATTGATATTATAGTAATACAAGTTATTTATCATGGCGTTTGCAACGGTGCCGAAATATCGGAAACTCGCTAAAACAAGGTACATGGTAACAATCCCGTAAATAATTTATATTACTATAATGTTAGTGGCCATGAAAGATTACAACAATATAACATTGATATTATAATGAAGCGTTTTAAAAGTATTTGAAAAGGATGTCTGAATGAGGCTTAAAAATAGCAATCCTTCTTTCTAAAGATTTCTTCTAGGTCAGGAGAAGTGGCCAATAGATTCCTAAGTGAATACGCTCTATCAGTTGCAAAATTACTAGACGTTTCATCTATATTCACTGCTGGGAATGACCCGTCGACAATCTGGAAACTCCCAGTCTTTAGTTCTTTGAACAATTCTCTGTAAAGACGGTCTACTTCGTCGTCAGAAATGCAAGTGCATAACAGATCAAACTCGTGATCTGAATATTGCGTGCAAATATCTCTAGTTTTGCTTTCAACTTGAATCGGTTTCTGAGGTGTACGTTTGCCCTGCCTTTTCTTAACCAAGTGCTTGAGTGTCGTAAGCGAACAACGTTCGTAAAGTGGCAATTCTGACGATTCGAAAATTGACGTATTTCGCATATAAGCCGGTAGATGTTCTCGTAAATTCTTTTTCGCGGTCTTGGGACATTTACACTTCCTTGGTTCAATGTAATCCAGGTAACTCTCCCATTTGGGCTGCCTATCGTGTCTTAATTCCACAGCTCTAGATTCTATTTTAATACCCGATGGAATACTATGCGAAGAGGGCTCTTTCTCTGTTCCTGTGTAGTGCGTCTCGGTTGGCACTCCCTTGGCCTCCACTCTATCGCAGAAGCAGTGAGGGACTTTGCATAAAAGACATTCAGTCTCTAGATTTCTTAAATTTGGGTGTTCCTTTTGGAGGACTTGCATCAAAGAACTTTTTAGTTTCAACTCTGCCAGCTGTGTCGACTGAGTAAATTTTACTGGTACATCAAAAGTGCTGTCGTGGTCATCAATAAAATCTTTATCGTCTCCACGTTTACCATGAATGTACTGCTTTATCTTATCAGTAAAAATTTCAAAGTTATCACAAGCAGCGTATATACACCTTTTATTGACTACAATAACAGGGAGTTGTGAAGCGCTAGAAGAGCAGTGTTTTGGGCAAAGATCCTGGTCCAGAGTCGGCTTGTAACCCTTATCGCAAAAAAGGAAAAAAGGATGCGGTCGTGGTACAGGGGTGTGAAATTGGTCATCTTCAACTACGAAAACACTTTCTGCGCTCGGGTTTTCCATAGCTTCATTCAATTGCAACATCATTAGTTTCTCCATGTTCACAAAAAATTCTGCGTGGTCTGGTAAAGAATGCAGACAGTACGCAATAAATATTTGAAGCTTCTTGATGACTTCGCATATTTTCTTCTGCCAAATTTTATTAAACGCTTCCCGTTTCGACTCCTTCTCATTTGCGAGTAAAATCTCAAAGTCTTTCATAGCGATTTCTTCTTTTAAAAGTTTAACTTTTTTCTCATGCTGACGTTTGGAATGTTGCATTTCTTTTTCACAAACTTCTTTTTCTTTTAATGCTACGTATACTCGACACGCCAAGTTTTGACATTCCAAGTAATTTCTTAGCTTTTCTATGGCCAGATGTTTTTCCACGTTGATATCATGTAATTGTACACCCATGGCGCTACGTGATTGTTCTAACTTCTCTATAAACAAAGCCTTCAGCCGGGCCTTTTCTTTAGCTAGTTTCTCTGAGTAAATGTCGTAAAGCTCGGTTGCTTGTACTTTCACAAGTTTCTCCAAACGCATAGTCATATTCTTGTGCGTCTCATCTTTAATTCGTTTTATTTCCTCAATAGCTGCATCGTAAAGCAATGATTCTATTTTATTAATCGATGTAGAATACAAGTAGGTAAACTCATGAAAAGCGTGTCGAATTTGGTTAGTATTATAACTTGCAGATTCTTTGGAAGTGTCTTCCCATTGTTGTCGGCAAGCGGCCTCAATCCGCCTCTTCCAGTTAGTATCACTATCAAGTAGCGCTTGTTTTTTTTCTTCTTCCAAGCATTTTTTGTAGTGAGCCACTAGTTTCTCTCCAAAGAAGTCTATACCATTGTATCCTAACTTTGTAAGGAACTCTTTCTTCATCGGTTTAAGGACAACTCTGCCTTTAAGCAGTTCACTAGGGGGCGCAAACCAGTCGCTACCGCCTCCTTTCATCGGTGGTTCTAAGCCAGCAAGTACTTTCAGCTTCGGTCTCATTGACTTGAAGTAGACATTGGCAAGCGCAGGGGACATTTTCTTTTTCATAACACTCTGCGTTGGCACTTGTTCCCGTTGTAGATAACATTTCCTCTCATAATAGTTATCACTAAAATTAAACATTATTATTAATTTAAAATAATTGGAAAAACTAATCTAAAATAAATCTGTCAATAAAAAAGCTTATCTCTTGACAGCTTGAAAAACAAGACTTCAAAAAAGTCAAAAAAAATGTGACTTCAAAAATTATGACTTTCTCGTATTTATGGACCATTAGCGAAATCCTAGGTCTGTGGCTGTATTACTTGTAGTTTGTCTTGAATAAGGATCTTTTCCTTTAGCATAGTTGTCACAAAGAAAAAAAAACGGTTCTGTAACTAACAGTAATGGCTCAATTACGCTTGGTCGTAAGCCCGAATTCAATTCGATTGCTAATGAAATACGGGTAAACGAGTGTTAATGAACGGAGTCGAGTTACCCGACATCGTCTTCCAGTCCGTATTCCAGTGTAAATGTAGCTTCGGGTGCATGAAAGACATTTTTTTCGTGCAAACGAATACGGGCCATCGACAAAGTGTAATCGAGTCATAACCAACCAATTAGAAATGTAACTGTAATCATTATTCTTTAACAAAGTTAAAACCATAAAACCTAAGTCGAAACTCATACAACAAAACTTCAACACTAACGCAACACGCACACAGACAAAACAAAAGCGCAGTAAGTATTCCAAATGATTTCTAGTTCGCGTTGTCTGTAACTCGTTCGTACGGACATACGGACTCGTGACATACGGACAAACAGAATGACAGCAAAAGGGGCCTGTTATTACATTTTTGGGTACAGAATTCTATTAATATGATTTTTAAACTATCGATAAATGAAATAGACCAACGGAGAAGTCAATCCACAGAGAAAGTAATTACTGTTTTGAATCAATCAATCCATCCTCCCATCCGAGTAGGTGTTTGGGTGGAATTTTATTCCTATTGGACGACCCGATATCCATCTATTGGACACTTAGGAAATTTGAAATACCTCAAAAACGAACCTCAGAGATTTATTTATCATTTAGGAGCACTTCGAGAAGAGCAAAAACAAAAAAACAAAATTACAAGTCGAAAATACTTTTTTATTTTTTACAAAATTATAAATAAGATTTTTTCTTACAATCTACGTTCCAGTTTCATAACAGTAAAAATTAGGTCACCTCACCCACTGCCATCTGTTGCAGTAAGGACATAACGTGGCAGAACCTTTCCTTGATCTCGGAGACGGATCGATGCGGCAAAAGCTCACCTATTCGTCCGAAAACAACCTCCGAATCCGCTTCGCACTTGATGACTTGCAGCATCGTCTTGTCCTCATCTCTGGTCCAACTGTTGTTTTTCGTCACCGCGATTTTAGTTTCAGTTATCACAGCAGGAGGTTCGACTTTAGCCTGCTTAGCTTTCGAGCTCTCCTCTTTTTTCTGGCAATTGGCTGCTCGGTTATCTTTCCTATCCCTTTTGTTATTAGCGTCTTCCTTTTTGCAATTCTTTTTGTTGTTCTGCGCTTTGATTTTCGTGGTCTTAGGACTATTCGCAATGTTGGTTACGGCACAGTCTTTTAACTTGGTGTTATCGTTGACGTCTTTCATGTTTTTCACGGGAGATTTGAGCTGTTTCTTCGTTTTTCGGGGGGTCGCTTTGGCGTTTTTGTTGGCTCGTTTCGGTGAGGACCGCTCGTCGCCGGAGTCAGGCGGAGATAGGTGGCAGTGGGCCGGGGCGAGGCGTCTGGTATGCACTCGGTAAGGTTCCTTGCTGTACGGATATGTGACGCTGGCGGAACGAAGTAGCCTGCCGTGCTGGAGGAACACTCGGCCGTGGAGGTACTGAAACAAGCATTTCATCATTTTTATCTGAACTCATTCATCTGTGTTTTGGTGCCTGCGGTACCACTCCAGAGTGACTGCTGGATGGCGACGAAGACGTCTCGTGTACGTCCGCTCCAGAAAGGGAAGTGAGACCATAGGCACATAAGAGGCAGGTAAAGAATAATTGGTAGGGAGCCAAAAAAGTACGAAAGGTGGAGGCTATTATTCCGCGCGCAACTCTTGCTGCTTCAGCCTGCATAACCAGAAAGATTCATCAGGCCATGGGAGCTTGGTGGGATTTGTACTTACTAATATAATTCGGGCGGGCAGACTAGGTGGGGCACATGAGTTCGCGGTTACCAAGGAGGAATTGCATAGCTTCAAACTCTGCGCCTCTGAGTCCGTCCTTGCTTAATGGCAAGAGCGTTTGGGATACATCTGACCAGGGGAGTGTTATATCGGTTTTTCACGTAAGTGGAGGCCCGATTCAAGGCTCCTTGGGTCGAGCCTGACTACGAAACCTCGCAATTGCTGATAGGACACAACTGTTTCAGGAGTAGGCTTCACCGAGTGAAGATTGCGGAGGTGGGGTTGTGCTACTGTTTGAAGTGATAAGTAAGATGAGAGGGATTCTCCGCTCAAATTGGAACGCCCGTCTTGTAGTGTTTGTTTTTAAACAGGGCGTGACACTGACACACGTAAGACAGCTGTTTTGTCTATGATAGCGAACCGCTTACGTCGGCGTAGCTGTCAAACTTCATTGATTGGGTTGGTAGCCTTGAGGGAATAGTCGATTTTTCTATTCGACTAAAATATTCGCCTTGAGACTTATAAAAAAAAAAAGTAATCAGGCAGTGAATCTCTGTGGGGGCGCGTGGATGAATGGATGGAGTTTGACAGTTGTTGAATTTTGAATAGTTTTTCCCATATCGATTTGAGTCCTCCTTATCGGGCGCTGTTTTTAATCGATTTTGAATTTTACTCGAAATTGAATTTCCTCGCTGATTTGGGTAGGTATTCCCTTTTCCTCAGCTTACGGCGAGCGTAGGTATTTAGTTTTGAGTTTATTCTTCGGTTCGTCTCGAATGCGGCGGCTGTCTGTTTGACTGTGGCCTTTGCCTTCAGTTGGAGTGAGAAACAAATCATAGGCACATGTTTGGGAGTGGACGACACGTCTATCATCTATGAGCAATTGTCAAAACAACATTTAAAAAATTTCACAATCTGTTTGTGGTACAGTTATCTTTTCATCGTTTCTTCTGCCCAAAGTATATTATAAGGCATATTATAGTCGTCGGAGTCGTGAAATAGATCCGAAAAGTTTATATCCTGAAGGATATTGGCGGAAATAGCGCGGAGTCGCTAACCGAACTGAGTTTCGCAGGTGGACGAACACGAACCTTTGCAAGGCGTTGCAATAAGGCAGTAACTTGTGATAGGAAACAAAATACTTACGGATAGTTTCATATTTCGAACGGCTTGTACGTTCCCCTCAAGAAATACTGGAGGAATAACAAGGAGACTCTTTCTCTGTACACGGACCAGAAGGGACGCGGGAGTTTATTTGCCAGCCGCTCTCCGGTTTTATGTAACCCGGCCGTAACAACGGACAGATCATACACTGCTAAACCTATCCTAATCAAGGTATTTCATTACTAACCCCGGGTGAGCGTGGAGAAGAACCACAAGGCGAGGTTGGACCCCGAGCTACCCATTTCCATATATATACATATATCTATATAACTGTTTATCTCACTGAGAACTGGAATTAACTAAGTTTGTCACCAATATCGATCAATCGAGCTGTAGAACCTCTGAAATCCACTAAATAGCTTATTCAGTCTAGTCTATGTGGTATGTGTGGATAAAATATATTAGATATAGTTGAGAACTCATGTAAGTACATGGTAGAGTGTTATGAATGTCTGATATTCATATAATTATAACATCTCATGACAACTTGTTGGTTTATATACACTTTAACTTTGAACTACTGTATTCAGCTTAGATATTTATAATTAGTGAAACATAGTTATTATATAAATAATAAACATAGTTAGGCTTGTTGATTTATATAAGCAATAACTTAAAACTACTGAATTCATCTGCTCTGGTATCTAAAGTTGATAAAATATACTTATAACATTATCTTAATTCTTTTGGTTTTCTTTCATTGTTTCTCCGGTGCTCTGAGTGCGCTTAAAAGAGGGCAGTGGAGAAGAATTTAACATCACATGTGGCGCCCGAACAGGGACTCAAATCGATATGGGAAAAACTATTCAAAATTCAACAACTGTCAAAATCCATCCATTCATCCACGCGCCCCCACAGAGATTCACTGCCTGATTACTTTTTTTTTTTATAAGTCTCAAGGCGAATATTTTAGTCGAATAGAAAAATCGACTATTCCCTCAAGGCTACCAACCCAATCAATGAAGTTTGACAGCTACGCCGACGTAAGCGGTTCGCTATCATAGACAAAACAGCTGTCCTACGTGTGTCAGTGTCACGCCCTGTTTAAAAACAAACACTACAGTCTGGGGAAGTAACCTCCAACTTACAGAAGACCACAGTAAAATAACACTACCTTCTGGTGGTGTAGTGTATCTGTCGGTGAGTAAGCTGCCAGAGCTCTACAGAGTAGGGGATTGGGTCAGGGTAGGAAAATGCGCAAGTGATGTTTTTGATATCGCAAGCTTTGGTACCGCTTACCATCAGGCAGGCCATATGCTTGTTTGCTTCCCTGTTTTCATAAAAAAAAGTAGAAGACGCATACTACACTCTTTGGGAGTGTCAAGCTCTACGGGAAGACGCGTAGGGAATTTCCAAACAGTTGAAGGTGCTCGAGGTCGGGACTTTGTGCCATACAAGAGTCCGAGTGGGCTCGAGAAGAAGTAGAGTGAAGTCTGAGCATTGGAGTTAGCGGTACCGGTATGGTTGCACTCGTGGGCGGCAGTTATTCGTAACCAAGGTAACGCATTTATTTACTCTACGAATGACGTTATGATCGTAGAGCAATATGGCGTCCACTGCGTTCAGACACTTTTCAAAAAAGTTAAGTTGGTTTTTTAGAGTGCACTGCTAGTAGGGTTGCCAACCCTACTCTACATTAGAGTATTGTATCATGCAGGCATACCCTATAATCTATATCACAAATAAAGGACGCCAAGGCCCGTATTATAGAAAGATTCTCAGTGATTGATCTAGTCTTGAGCATAGAGTTCGCGATCCAACGTCGAGGAGGACGCATGCGCAAAAATTGTTGTTACAATGCCGACGACGGAACGCTCCCCGCCTCAGGCTAGTTGTGTATCCAAAACAAATAATAAGACTGTCTGTAATCCAAGATGTGATCAGTGTAAAGTGGTGATTAATGAGTTGTTAGCCTTCGTGAGGTTCATAAGGTCGACACACTGCCAGAATCCGGAATTATTCAAATATGTCTCAGTAGTTTTTCTATGGAAGAAATTGAGAATGCAAGATCTATCGCCTATGCGCTGATGGCTCCTAATAAGAAGATAATGAGAAGAAAAGAAGGTGATGAGCGAAAAAGTGTCCAAGAAATTATCAAATTAATAAAAGAATATGAACCTGACTGTTTACCTATTTTTGTGGCAAAGAACCTAAATAAATTACCTGCTGTGTCTTTTGACCACGTTGACGTAACAGCCTTCTTAAAAGACATGGCATTGCTGAAGATGGAAGTGGCTTCTATTAAATCTAAAAACCCTGTTTTGGCTGACAACTCTGCATTGACTTCTATCTTCGAGTCAGTGAAACAAGAGGTTAATAATTTAAAACAAATGATATTAGAGTTAAAAAACAGCTGTTATGGTCTAATTTCCGGCAATAAGAAAGATTCGTTCTCGTTGCCTAGCTGTAATGAAAATCAAAATGCAGGAAAGGAACTGCCGGATACATTAACATTATCATTGAATACTGTAGATAAGGGGTGTAAGGGGTTCTAAATACACCTGCAAGAACCCAAGCCAACCTCACCTTCACGCGGTGCACCCTGTTGACCAACAGACGAGGCTCTGGCAAACCGACCGATGGCGGTATAACCATCCAACGACGTAGGGGAGGGAAATCTCACTGGTGCCGGGCAGCAGCGTCATCAGTGAATTAACCTACGTTCTGCGATCGCCAACCCGCCTGCCCAGCGTGGCGATTACGGGCAAAACCTTCAATGCAAACAGACCACAAGCCACGGCCCCCAGTTCCCGGCAGCTCCGCTATTCCTGGTCACGGTGGCGACCACGGTGACGGCGGGGCAGGGGGTGCCAAGAATCTCCGGGCTACGGGAGGCCACCACAATAGACTGACCCTGGCGACGTACAACGGACGCACGCTTCGGCTTGATTCGCATCTGGCGCAACTCGAGGTGGAACTTGGGAAGATTAGGTGGCACATATTAGGGTTAAGTGAAGTCCGAAGAGAGGGGGGAGGACACCATAACGCTCGAATCGGGCCACCTAATGTACTTCCGTGGAGGAGACCAACAGTCCCAAGGTGGCGTTGGGTTTTTGGTGAATAAGTCTCTTGCCGATAACGTTGTGGAAATGTCCAGCGTGTCGAACAGGGTAGTGTGCCTCATTATAAAGCTCACCGAGAGGTATAGCCTCAAGGTGGTGCAAGTGTACGCACCGACCTCGACACACTCTGACGACGAAGTGGAGGATATGTTCGATGACATATCGAGGGCCCTCTACTCCACTACTAAGACCCACTACAACGTTGTTATGGGTGACTTCAACGCTAAAGTGGGAGTACAGAATTGCAGCGAATCGGTAGTAGGATCCCATGGATTTGGAAGCAGAAATCATAGGGGGCAAATGCTCGTCAACTTCCTCGAACGGGAAGGGCTCTTCTTGATGAACTCTTTCTTTAAGAAACAGCCCCAAAGGAAGTGGACGTGGCAAAGCCCCGACACTATGACTAAAAATGAGATCAATACAGGTAGTGATCACCGACTCGTCCGGGGTTCTCTGAATATCAACTTTAAGGCCGAGCGCGTC